ATTTGTATAATGAATACAAAGAAATTGCATATTATTGGGAAATCATTAAGATAATCTAAAAAGAATTAATTATTATTGTACTTACATTTTATTAAGATTAAATTATTGTTAAATCTGTATTAGCCTATGGAATTATCTTTATTTACAATTACTTAACATTATAAATATTCCCATATTAATCTATGTAATTAAACATTTTAGATCATTAATCAACCAGAGTTTGTGGTTTTTCTATTGTTTTGGCTATTGGAATATATGGATCATTATAAAGTGGCATTATCGAAGTTTAAATTCCATTTTATATTATAATGGCAATCATCAATTTTCTATTTTTGGCCAAGCTAATCTTATAAATAATTAAGGCTTATTTTTAATAGTTTGAACTTATAATTGATATCATCAGAGATCTTATTAGAACTAAAATCCCATCATTACAATAATATCCATTCTTTTAAAAATTATTAAAAAACCAATAATAAACGAGATTAAGAGCTTAAAAGAATTTTAGAAAAATCAAAGTCTCTGTCATATTAATGTCAAGATAAATTCTTCAAAATAAAAAAGTCAACAATAATAACAATACTTAAGAAAGAAAAGGAACATTTATATTTTAGACTAATCTTACCCATTCTTTAGATAAAGTATTATTTTCAGAATAATCATCTAATAGACTAAACAAGAATATTGCAGAAAAATAAAAATTGATAGAATGAATTCAATTTATAAAAAACTTAATATCTTAGGCATCTAAATCAATTCTCTTGATTAAATTTCTTCTCTTCTTTATTACATATCTATAAATAATTATATATCCAGATTATTTAAAAAAAAGTTCTTATTTAATTAAATTATAAATCAAAATCTTAAATTTAAAACAGGATGTAACAACATCTGATCTTTATTTTTTTATGGATAAGGTAATAATAGCTTGTTAATATTAAAGAGTACTAAGCTAATTTGATGAATTTCCAAACCACTTATTTAATAGCGATAGAAAATAGAAAAGATTACTCTAATCAGAATGCCATTATTCCTGTTAAGAATGTGATGGATCTACTGAATAAGATTGTTTATCTTGTAATTCAGGAGTTGGCCGATATTATGATTCAATAAAAAGAATATGTTATTGCGAGAATAATCTTTTTGATGTTGGACTTTAAGAATGCTAAACTTTCGTTGATGCAGTTCCCTCTGGAGAATTAAATTAAGAAAACTATCAAAATGAAGGATTTTGTAAATTTGGACAATTTAAAGTTCTGTTAGAAAACAATACAATCGTTTGTTTAAATTGGTACTTAATCAATATATGTTCAGTCCAAAGTCATTAAATGGCAATATCAATTGTTTAGACTGCTATCTTAATCCAGATCTCTGGTATAAGGAGCCTAGATGCACTTCGGATTTTATAAGGCTCAAAGTAGATGAAAATTATGGTTATTTGATGTAAATAAGAGAGGAAATCGATTTTGAGACATACTTTATAACTGAAACATTTTCTTTGATATCAAATCCCTACTATTAAAAACTATGTTCAGAATAAGATTTGATTCTAGAGGTATTAGATTGCAAACTGATGAATTAAAAACATTTAGATAAGGAAATATATGCTGTATGCAAAGATAATTCCTTTTACACATCTAACACTTGCATTTTATGCCCAATGTTTTGTTTAAGGTGTAATAAAAATGAATGCATAGATTGTATTAATCACTCATACTTATAAAATGGTGTATGTTTTGAATGTCCTTAAGAATGTAAAGAATGTGAATATAATTATGATTTGAATATTGTATAATGCAATTTATGCTATGAGTAATTATTACTTTTAATTAGGTATTCTGGATTAGTTTAAGGAAAATGCATAGAGTGCGGATTAAATTGTGTTTCATGTATGTTTTGGAAATTTTATGATGAAGATTATGGAATTTGGGTACAATAGCTCAGATGTATTTAATGCGTTGATCCTTCCAAATACTTTCTCTCATTCAACGGTCTTGATTGTTTAGAAAACATGCTTCAAAATTGCCTATATGCATATCAAACAGATGACCTTTTCTTTTATTATATGACAACTTATGATTATAAATTTAAAAGCTTTTCAGATATTTTATCTGGATGTGCTAGATGCAAAGAAGGGTATGACGTAGATTATAAAGGAAAATGTGTTCCTTCAGAAGACGCAAATGGTCCTTGCTTGTTTATTTACAGAAATTATTATGATGAAAATTTATGTCTAATAAGTGATTAGCAAGGGAGTATACAGAACAACCAATGTTCTGAGATCATTTCAAATTGTTAGAAATGTATATTAGAGTCTTGGACTTACAAATTACTTTGTATTCAATGTCAACCTGGGTACTATGCTCATAGATTATTCGGTTATTGTATATAATGTCCTGAAGAATTGAATTGTTAAGTGTGCTATCAATAGTAAACTCTCTTTTAAGATAGTTGGGTAGTAAATATCCGAAGCTTTTATGAAGGTGCTATTGATGCTGTGTATGTTTAAACGGAGACCACAATTCCAAAAACTTTTAGAACATATGCATAAAGCTAGAATATTAGCGATTATGAGGTTTCGTGCGAATTATGTTTCGATGGATTTTAGCTTTATAATAATATTTGCATTGTAAAATGTCCATAGGATTGCTTGGAATGCAAAATTGAGAATAATTAAAACATCTGTATAAGATGTTAAAATGATTAATATGGAAAAGTATAATCCTTAGTTAACAATAAATGCTTGTCCTGCCCTTCAAACTGTGAATTATGTATACCAAGGAGTCTTGAGGAAATTAATAAGTTAAATCCTTATTTTGAAGATTAAAAATATGATAATTTTGCTAACCGATGTGTAAAAAGCTCTAATCAATAAACATTTGCTTATTATCCTGACTATGGATATTTTATTAATTGCGAAACTAAAGATACTTTATGTTAAAATGTTTTGGCAATTACTCTAAAGTTGTATTGCAATCAAGAGTAATATAATTAAGATTTAGAGCTTTCATCTGATACTTTGGAAAAAAGGAATACATTTTTGAAAACCACATTATTATTAGATGATCTTCTTATTAATTCGTTTTAATATTTCGAAACTGATTGGTTTTACTCTTTATTGAACATTAAATAAATAAAGATACTTAAAATAATAATTTAAACACAACTGAAATAGGATTGTTATATAAAAAATAAGGTGACAATTGCTTAAATTTTTCGAATGCATGTATTCTCCTTAAGGTATTAAGTATATTACTATTTAGTTCTGTAAATCTTGAATTTATTGGGGCTCAGGATGCTACTTTTTATATCTTTGACACTTTAGAGTTTCACAACTTTACAAGCATATCTTTTGATGCAATAAACTTTGGTTTCAAGACATCACCGATTATACATCAATAAAATTTTAAGTTTCTAAGTATTTTGCAATAGACAATACTATTTAAAAATTTATAAATTATTTAGGAGGCTAAATAGATTTAAGATATAAATATTTAATTTAATAACATCGAATTAATTTATATTTTAGATGTGTAAGTCTTAAATCTAAACCTGAATTCTACAAATGGATTATTTTAATTTACATAACCAGATTAAACGAATACAGGAGTAATTAAGTTTGAAAACTTAGATATTTAATCAACAAATTTAATCAATTCTACTCTAATATCTTATGAGATTACCAATTCATTTATAATTTATTTAGAGAACATCTCAGTTAATTTAAATTTAACAAATTCAGAATTTTTTGCATGCAAATAAGTGATTAGTTTCGGAAATTTAATCATAAACAAATTGGAACTTACTAATTCTGTAATTAAAAATTCTTCGTGCTTGATTTAGGGAAATTTCATCAAACTAATTGATATAAATGCTATTACTTTACAAAACAATCAATTTGATCAAAGCAACTTATTGTCTTTAAACAACAACATTACATTATCAAATTTAAAAATAGAAAATTGTGTTTTGCTAAACAGTTATTTAATATTGAATCATTTAGCTGAAAATAATCAAAAAGATATTATGTATTTGTTTAAATTCAGCAATTTTGCAATAATAAATAATAAATATAATTTAGGTACTAAGTACATTACCATCTATCGTTATACTTCTACTACTTCGAAAATTATTTTAGATTAGCTAAAAATTAACAATAATTAAATAATTGACACTGAAGTGAAAAATTAAAAGAAAGAATCAAGCGCCTCAATTATATTAGAAAGTGATCAAATATCTCTTAAAAATTTTGAAATATTTAAATTAAGAGGGATAACTGATTTTTCTATAATAAATTCTCAAAGTTTAACTATTAATGATTTATACATCACCTCTTAGATCAGCAAAGAAAAGTTGTTTTTATAGAAATCATCATAAACCAGCGACTTAGGAATAATATTTAACATTTATTCTGTAAAATTGATGAGATTTATTGGAGTACATATAGAATCTCTGTTTCTTCATAATTACCCTATTATTTATTATGAACAAGCGACAAAAACCTTATTAAATCAAGATGGCTAAATTGAAATTTTTAATTCAATATTTACAAATAATCTTTTATTTTAAAGTAATTCTTAATTTAGTACTAACCTAATCGAAATTTTCTCTGGATAAAAGGTAATAATTAATGTCATTAATTCTACATTTGAAAATAATATTATCTATTTTTAAACATCAAGTATAGGCGATTAATCAGCAAATCTGTTAGATATTGATTGCTCTGAATGTTCAGTTAGTTTTAAGGAATTAAACTTTTTATCCAACGTAGCAATTAATACAACTTCTTCAACACTCTTTATCAAGGCTACGTAAATCTCAATCAGTGAGAGTGTCTTTAATTAAAGTGGTTTTGTTAGTAAATACATAATAAGTTTCTTAAATCAAATATAAGTAGATTATGATAATAGTTTATTTTATTAAGGATCTGGAAGTGGAGTGTATTAAACTGATACTATGTATGTAAATAATTGTAAATTTTTGAATCAATATGGCTCAAAAGGGGCATCCTTCTTATTTTCCCCTTTAAACTCAGGATACTTAAGGATTGAAAGTACTATAATTGATACTTCCTAAAATTACTTCATATAAAAAATTGAGAAAGGAGGTGTAATTTTTATTAAGTTCTTCCACAGTCAAATTTTAATTGGAGATCATTAACTGCTAAGTTTCAAACATTTATTCAATTTAAGGGGGGTTAATAATGATAGAAAGTCCATAAAACAGCATTTAAATTTTAATCAATAACCCTCATAGATTGAGAATTTTTTCTCTCTAATTGGATCATTAGTTTACTTTAATTTTGAAGAATTATATGCTAATACCTCTTTACTATAACTTTAAAATTTAAAATTATCAAACACATTAGAGGGTTTTTCCAAGTATATTTAATTGTTTTATAATAATAACAATATTAATCTACAAGAAATAGAAGCATCAGAAAATTTTTTAATTTTATTGTATGAGAGATCTATAATATTTTCTAAGTTAGGTAGAATTTCAATAATGAACCTAATAATTTCTGGACTAATTAATGAAATCATTATTTATGATTAATCTATTAAAATGTTACAAGTTAACTCCATTTTTATAACAAACTCATCAATAGCCAATAAAGGACTGATATACGTAGCTCCATTTTAAAGTAATATTTAAATATTGATTTTTAGATTCAAATTTTTCTATTGATATAAATTCTTTTTTGGTAGAAAACCTAATAACAAATACAGAAGAAATTAAAAATTCATATTAAAAGCATACAAATATAAGTAGGGAAAATATCTAAGGTATCATAAATATTATAAATATTCATGAAAATGGGAAGATAAAATTTAGGAACATAAAATTTTAGGATAATTATTGTTCTAATTGTTTAGCAGGTCTAATGAATTTTCAATTTAATACCTATAATAATTACAATTTAGATATTTATGACATCACTTTTAAATAGAACAAATGTGGATAACGAGGCTGCCTAAACATAATTTAGGATAGCATCTATTATTATCATATCGATGATGAGGATAACCAGAGATTATTAGAAGGTGAAGAAGTAAATAACGGCATAAATTATGCTATCGCAATTTAAGATTATTATTGACTATTAAAACTAAGGGACATATGGTGTTTGCCTGCCCTTATAGAATTTAGCAGGATAGATCAATGGAGCAATATTTGCTTAAAACACTGCTATAATATCAGGAGGTGCAGTATATTCATTTGGAAATAAATCAAATTTGCTAATAAAGAAAGCTCAAATAGTAGAAAACATTGCTGCTTTTGGAGGTGGTATGACAATTCGAAATCACTTTTCTCCAAATTTAGTTTAATATGAAACACTTTTCTTTCGAAAACTCAGCTCTTTATTTTGGAAATGATTATGCAGAATATCCAACTCATGTTATCATTTAAATAAATAATTACAATCAATTTATATATAAATAAAATTCTATATACACAGAATAAAATAAAGTTAAAATTTACACTGCTACTTAATTGAAAAATGAATCATAACTAAAATGGATTTCATTACCAAGTGCTTAACATCTTAATTTATATGAATAGTTTGATTGGTAGAATAATGATTATATAATGATGAATTATACTTTACGATTAATACCATATGATTAAAGGAATAATAGAATAAAGAATTTAACATCAAGTAAATGTACTATTAAAGGAAGATTACATGATTTTAAGAAATTGGAAGAAAGTGAATAAAAGGATTTTAGTAATAATTTCACAAATATAAATGAAGTTGTTTATGATAAAACATTGGAAGAATATAATTTTGATCATTTAATTATATATCTTGATCCAGATTTACCTGAAAATATAGTATTATAATTTGAATTTAAATGTGATTCAATTAGAATACCAATTATAAATGAAGATTAATAATAAATAGATACAATAATTTAATAATCAGAAGAATATTATTTAAGATTAAATGTTAAAACATTACCTTGTTAAATTGGAGAATTAAAAAATGATGAAGATTACTCTTGTCATCCTTGTGATTACACTTAAGATTATTATTCTGTTAATCTAAATTCAAATAAATGTAAAATTAGAGATAATATTTAAATGGAATAAGTAAAGTCAGCATAAATCAAATTAAGACCTGTAAATTATTTAATTTAATTATTATTATAGAATTTTTGGAGACCTTATTTCTATGCAGATCTTGTTGAATATTGTTATAATTTTGAACTCAATTGTTTAGGAGGATGGAATTATGGAGATTCTTCTTGTTCTTTAGGACATATTGGAGCATTATGTGAATAATGTGATATTTATAATACAAGAGGATATGGATCATATTCAATAAGTTAAAAATATAAATGTGGATCTTGTGATGATACTGATTCAAATACTTTAATCATTATAGCCATTTCATTATGGTATTTATGAAATTAATATAATAGGACTCTCATTTCTATTTCAATATCTGTAAAAAGCACAGTAGAAATCATTAAACAATTAGCCAAAGCATCCAAATTAAAGTAGATTGGTATTATGATAATAGTAACAAAAAACAATGCTGTTAATTTCATCAAGATACTTACCAATTATCTTTAAATTATTGCATCTATTAGTACTTTTTAATTATAATTACCTTAAAATATGGAATCAGCTATGAATTCTTTAGGAAATCCAGTAGAAACAATGGCATATTCTTTAGATTGCTTTTTAAAAGATATATTTGAAGGCATTTCAATTCATTATTCAAGAACAATATGGTAATTAATTATGCCAATTGTTTATATTCTTTTATTCTTATAATTGTATGAAGTAGGAGTAATTCTTAAACAAATTGATTTTAATTGTTGTGTAATTTCAACATCATTGATTTATATGTTCATATATTTTCAACCTAATATCATTGCTGGATAAATTGGATTGTTATCTTATAGATCAATCTCAGAATATAAATGGATATTAGGTAATGTTGCTAATAGATATGATACAAATGATCATTATAAATGGTTACTTTCATTCAGTTTTCCAGTTTTATTTACTTTTGGTGTTTTATTACCTGCATTACTATTTAATAGACTTTATAAAATTAGAAATACTTTATAAAATATGAAAAATAGATTAATTTGGGGTTATTTGTATAATGAATACAAAGAAATTGCATATTATTGGGAAATCATTAAGATAATCTAAAAAGAATTAATTATTATTGTACTTACATTTTATTAAGATTAAATTATTGTTAAAGCTGTATTAGCCTATGGAATTATCTTTATTTACAATTACTTAACATTATAAATATTCCCATATTAATCTATGTAATTAAACATTTTAGATCATTAATCAACCAGAGTTTGTGGTTTTTCTATTGTTTTGGCTATTGGAATATATGGATCATTATAAAGTGGCATTATCGAAGTTTAAATTCCATTTTATATTATAATGGCAATCATCAATTTTCTATTTTTGGCCAAGCTAATCTTATAAATAATTAAGGCTTATTTTTAATAGTTTGAACTTATAATTGATATCATCAGAGATCTTATTAGAACTAAAATCCCATCATTACAATAATATCCATTCTTTTAAAAATTGTTAAAAAACCAAAAATAAACGAGATTAAGAGCTTAAAAGAATTTTAGAAAAATCAAAGTCTCTGTTATATTAATGTCAAGATAAATTCTTCAAAATAAAAAAGTCAACAATAATAACAATACTTAAGAAAGAAAAGGAACATTCCTTTTTGAAACTAAATTAACATTAAATTTATTAGAAACAAAGCAAAATCAATAACGATCTTCATTAGATGAAGATAATAAAAAAATTTAGGTAATAGGATTAAATGTTAATTGAATTTATAAAATAAATTTATTTGAATTTTTATCATTATATGTTAAATCATTCAAAACATTTAAATCCATCATTTGGTATAAAAGGAGAAAATTAAATTCTTGCAGGTAATTTGTATTCTTTTTTAAATAGAGGTTATTAATTATTTATTGAAATATTCTTGATACTATTTACTAAAGATTCAGCTTCGATGCTTGCCTCTAATAAACCAATAAAAGGAGGAATTATAATGTCAGACTAAAATAATTCTGAGATTACTTGATCTTCCTTCCCTAAGATCATTTTGCTTCTCTCCGATAAGTAATTTTAGTCATCCTTTTAGTATCCATTAAATATGCGATGATTATTAGTGATTTAAGGAGTCTTTATTTCAAGACTGGGTTATTCATTCATTTTCTTATCTTTTCTAACTGGATCAATAATTGATGGCTTTAGAATAGATTACCCTTAATCTTTTTTGATATCAAAATAGTATTACGTAGATATTCCATTGAAAATATATTTTCAAATAGCTAAATAAATTTACTTCATACATCATGGCGTAATTCATCAAAACCTTTCTATTCTATAAGTACCATAAAGTTAAGATGAATCTTTAAACTAGTTTCACATGTCTCAGAACACATTAATCCAACGTTAGATTCTTATTATATTAATTATTTCTATATATTTTCAAAAGTTTAATACATGGATATTTTCTACAATTTCTTTGATCGGAGTGTTTTACACATTAAAAAAACGCTCCACCTCTATTTTAGGGGGATTAGTCCCAGCATAAAAAATTGCTTTAATTTTATTTTTGCTAATTATTTCATTAATATCAGAAGGCTATTTAGGTGGCCTTAAAACAAAAAGAGAAAAGCTCTCCATAGAATGCCTCACTTTTTCTATCAGATATATCAGGTCTGAATTCATGATGGAATAATATATTTTATAAAATTTATGCTTCTAAAAAGTAATAAAAACATCTTATTAATTAATAGAAATTCAAAATATCGATATTAAGGCGGTTCTATTGAGACCTAGAACTCCCGATACTAATCTTACTTGAGTGTAAGTTTGAATATGTTTGTGAAATGATCAAATAGAATTTTCAGACTGCTACCATCTCTATAATAATAACATTCTAAAATAATTAAATCAACTTTATAGCACCTTTATTTTCAAAAAATTAAATATACTCTACTATTAGTGAATTTAAATTGAAATTCCAGCGAAACATAATGTTTAGATTTAGTAAATTTAATTATTGCCACAATATCCTTTCTTGAATAAGGTATTCTTCTAATTTTATTATTATTGTGATTTAAAAAGTCCTTAATATGATGTATAAGTTATGAAATTTCAATAATTTTGAGTCACTAAAGTATTTTTAGCAATAATTCATAAAATAAATTGATTTTGATGATTTTTTTTCCATAAATTCGTAATCCAATAATAACTCAAAAGGAGATCAATCAAAAAGATATTGATTAAAATGTTTTGGATTTACATTTATATTATAGCAATTAATGTTGAATAATGAAGTTTATTGATGTAATTCACATTGAAAGACAGTGACTATTTTAGGAGGTTTTCAAAATCTGATGTATCAGAGAAAAAATAACTAGTTGGTTTTGACTTGTAATATAACAATATCGTATGATTAATCAATCAATGATTTATCTCTCAAATTTAATCTTCTTATCCATTTAATATGATATCAAGAAAAATTTAGCAAATTAAATTCATCTCTTACTTCATAAAATTGGAATGTTTAAATAGAGGAGCATATCGATAATTAAAATAAAATTGACTTAATATTAGAATCTTTCTAAAGTGTTACAAAGTGTAATCAAATGAAAATTTTCTTAAATTATTTATTTAAAACTGAAATTATAGAAAGATATTACAATTAATAAAGGCAGTATTTAGTATATTATTCTCTAATTTAATAAAAAGAATAAAATAACCTTCAATTAGGTATTGTTTGTGAAAGAAAATTATGTTAAAAATTAATTGATTATTGCTATGAAAATTAGTTAGAAAATAGTGTTATGACCAAAGAAGTACAACTTGATTACATGAAATCAATTGCATTTAGGAATAAAGAATATAATTAGAAAAATACTGCATTAATTCTTAATATTTATGTATCAAATAATCAAATTTATGTTTAGTATATTCATATTACCTTCATACTGGATTGAAAGATGAAAATATTATATATTCTCTATGTTATATATATTTTAATATCATGAATCACTTTGACTAATCTCTAACTTTTCTTGACTAGGTTTGTTAGAGTTCAAAGATAAATATTTGGATTTGACAATATTTTTAAACTTCTTCTCCTCATACATTTTGTTTCCTATTCTTCCTCTTGCGTTTATAAACCAAATTTAAATCTAATAATTATAATGGTATACTTGTTTTTAGGTTAGATTACACTTTTCAGCTAATTGTTCGACCTATTCCTTACTAGGATAAGGATAGGAATAGTGTTTATTTAACCAATTTTTTAAAATTAAGTTAGACTTCTTAGAAAACTTTTGACTCTTTTTTTCAATAGTCTTATCATTAATTTTCATGGTTTATCTTTATTAGGATAACTTTAGTTCATTCTACAAGATTTGGGACATGTAATCAAAATACTGTTGTAATGATTTTAATGTATGAAATTCCAATTGAGAAGGATTTTCACTTAATGATTTAAGGTACATGAGAAGACCTTAAAAATGCAGTACATTGGTGTGGGTTTAACTTTAAGAATGAGCTTCGTCAGAATGAGATTGTAATATATCCTCACTAAATGTAATAATTCAATACTTAGGACAATTATGTGAAACCCATTTAGTTAATTATGACTCTAGGTTGGAAACTTGCTATAGAACAAATTGCTTTCTCAATTCTTAGTGAATCGACAATGATTGAGACATTGAGATTTTGTGATTAAAAATCGAGAAATTATTAATGAAAATTAGATTTAATAATTGGTGACATAAATATTCCAAAAATATAATCGTTTCTATGTTAGAATTGCAAATATACCCCTAGAGAGTTCTACAATGCTGGAATATTTTGTTTAAATAACTAGTAAATTATAGAGTGAAAATTTATAAAGTTTTGGATATATTTATTATTAAATTTGTGTCTTAACTCAATCCCAACTACCTATGCATCTATCGGTACCAAGTTTTACAGATTAACCCTTATCGCATTCCTCCCATCCATAAATTTTGTTAGCTTTACAAGAGCTAGGATTACAACAACCTTGAATTATACAAACTAATAAACTTACCCTTTCTTTTTCCACCACAATTAACTCCTCCTTTGGTTGTGCACAAGTTGGTACAGAATTCATAATTGGCTTCATCTTTTGAGTATGTTTCATGAGACAGTCTTCTTAAGTTCTGCATTATTAGATAAACAATACATAATATTATTCCAAGGGTGCATATTAATACATAATTGTTGCTAAGGTGGCTGCCAAAGCAAGGATAACGAGTAATTTGATTTTTTACATTTTTAATTAATGAATATATCTTGTAACAAATATTGGTTGGAAAATTGCTTTTAAATAATTATTTTTAGTATATATATAATTTCATAATAATGAAATATACATGTATTTTGTGATTATTTAATAATAATTCACTTAATCGTTATATTATTTTGAATGCTAAATTCTTCATTTAATTTTTTTGAAGAGAATGACATAGGCAAATTGAGAAAATACGTACCATCTTAATATTTAATTCCAAGTTTATAACTAAAGAAAATGAGTGGAAAAAGGATAAGGCAGTTTTGGAATAAAAAACCTAATTACTTGAACTACAATTAGAAGACTATAAATTGAGAGAAACCAACCAAAGAAAACTAAATGACACTATCACTTAAGCCATCAATGACTCAACAGCAAATTAGAAAGTATTTGATTGTTTTTTAAATTTAGAAATCGATTGCAGAATTATAAAAGAGCATCGATATTTAACAGAAAGACCATAGTAAGACTAAATTTAAGGAGTAAATCAAACAGTTTGAACTTTAAGTAATGCTCCTGTTAAATTTAAGGTTAGATCATTATAAGAATAACTATTAGAAAAGGAATCCTAAGCAAAGGAGTTAGAATTACAATACTAAAAGCAATATTTACTTTATGATCATAGAATTTCTTAGCTTGAACAAGAAAAACTTACAAATAACTAAGAAAACCAAAGATTAAGAGAACAATTAGCCAAATAGGAAGATGTTTATAAATAAAAAGAATAATAATAAAAATTGTTAAATGAACAAGAACTACAAAAAGTAAAGGAACTTAGCATGCAAGATCACAAATCAAAGTAGTAGGATTATGAATCCAAATTTGTATAATTATCCACCTTACATGAAAAGGAGAAGGAGCAACTCTAATTAAGAATCAGTAAATGCTAGAATACAATTGCAAAATATCAGTAACACATTGAATAAAATATCGATATCATTAATCTTAAAAAATAGTATGAGGATTAAATTAAATAGATAAACAATAACAATACAGAAATCTAGGCACAATTCTAATATGAAAAACAAATTTTATTAAAATAAATTGAAGAATTAAAAAGACTAAACCGAGATGGCAATTTACAGGAAAGTATGTGTTGTCATGAAAGTACTTCTAAAAAGAGGAGTATCGATGCTGTTAAAATAAAGAGCTCAGTCTAATCATATGATAGTCCTGTTTAATGTAAAAGTTTTCACATCGCATGCCCTGAAAGTAAAGTCTAAATTTATAATAACTATTTGAAGAATTCTTCGACCTAATCTATCATTTTAGCTTAAAAATAGTAAATTTAATAGCAATCACAAGTAAACAATCAATCTTTTGATAAATCTTCTAATTTAAATGATGGAATCCCTATTTCTATGGATTAATTCAATTTAATGAAGGATAAAAAATAAAAGTCTTCATCAACTTTATCTATTCCAACCAGTAATAACTACAATCTTAATTCCTACTTATAGGAATAAAGCATATTTTAATAGAATCAGGAATCATTTTAATTAGACTCAAAAAGCAATCTGAAAGATGATACATACAAACCTAAAATTATAAAATAAATAAATCCAAATATCTCTAATCGATAAATTTAATTTGATTACAATAGATCAATTAAACATTAATTGTAAAAACACAAAGAATTAAATTATTAAAGATCTATGTCCTAAGAAGGAGTTAAATAGTAGATGTCAAATCTAAGTAAAATATTAGGTTAAACCGAAGTAAGTTATTAATAAAGTACATCTACTTAGCAGATAACAAATAATACTTCACTCAATAGTTTTAAAGTTCCTGCCTTCTCTCAAAATTAATTGAATTGTTTAAAGAATAGTTAATAATACATGTATCCTTGTACAACATTAAGAATGAAAGAGAGCCATGTACACAAGTTCAGAAACAATAACAACCATAGTACTCATGAAGAGACAAAGTTTAATAAAGAAAATTATTAACCAATTAAAAAAAATTCAAAAAATGACATCAAAGTTATCATAGGCAGATTGTTGTAAAATAAAGGGAGGTAAAGTGAGCATCAAGAAAATACAGGATACATCATAAGAAATGATAGGATTTGAACGATTTTTTTTACTTTATAGCTAATACAACCATAATTTATGTAAAATTGCATATCCATGAATTCTATTTATTATTCAATTATTTTCCTATAGACAAAATTATTTATAGTTGATCATATCTTGCAATCACTTAATTTTAACTCAAGAAATAAGTCTAGATCATTGATAATCTAATTTAATTATTTTTTACAATTAATATTTAGTCATAAATAAATTATTAAATAAAAAAATGTTAAAGAGTGTGATCAAAACCTTTAGGTTTTCTTTATTCAATACTAAAATCCAATAAGTTTAAAAACATAAATATGGCCCATTATAGGAAAAAGATTTTAAATTGTTGAATATTCGCTAAACTACATCCTTAAGGGAAATTTACTATTCATATATGAAACATATGAAATTATATGAAATTTAGCAATTAGAAGAAAAAATGGAATTAATTAAGAGAGCTTATTTAAGGATTTTGTCGAAACGATTAAATAATATAGATGAATTAACAGAAGAAGAATCAAAGGATTTAAGATTCTTAATGGACAATAATTTTGGTTTCCCCTTTGTTGAAGGATTAAGAAGATCAGAGATGATTGTAGAATTTTAGGAGGAAATAGAAGCCAAGAAGCTTTACCATTATCCCCGTATAACAATAGCTTTGCTTTGGCTAATATTGGGCATTCCTAGTTTCTATTTTAGTGACAATTATGTATATGAAAAATGAGTAAAAATAATTAATAAATCATTGTTTTTCAACTGATTAAGGTATTAAAAAGAATTCTGTATCCTATATTTATAGACATTGCTTTTTTAGTGGAGTTATTATATTTTCTAAAGCTTAGATTATTTAATTGTTTTTGTTTTGCAAATATTTACATTCGCTTAATTGCTTGGCATTTTGATTAGTTTTTGTATCAAATTCAAATATTGGAGTAACATCTGATAATATTATGGCTTTGTAGCTTTGAAATAACTCAAAATTAGTATGATCACAAATTAATGTAAATGGTTCTTCATTTTAGACGAAAGATTATTTTTAGTCGAACTCAATAAATTCTTATAAAGACTCTGAGAATGTCATATCGACAGACCTTTCTTCAGAATACACATCTTCTGCAACTTCTTCTTCTGAATCTAATTCGTATTCAATGAATGAATATTGACAGAAAGGTTATCTTGGATTGACTTACTTATACCCAATTAGCTTGCCATTGTAGTATCTACATGAATCAAAAACATCAAAATAGACCTTTCGTTTATTAATTTGTAGATGTTTTTTGGGTTTATTATTAGTATCATCGTTGAACAATTAGTGTGATAATTCAGAGAAATCCTAAATAATATTTGAATCTAAACGAGAGATTTTCTTTTCAAATTCTAATTATCTATCTTGATCCCATTTTGATGAAGGTTCTTAGCTCGACTTTTTGAAATTGTTTTTGGTTGATTTTCTCATAAACTTTTGTAGATTATCATTTTTAATTTTAATTTTAGTAGATTCCTTATTTTCCCTTTTTGATTTGATCAAATGATCATCTTTAGCCATTTTGTTGATTTCTACTATATGATAACAAGATTACTTTTTGTACTTTAATCTTAATTTTTGGACTAATCATTTATTGGTTTAGCAAAGGAAACTTTATTAAAGGTCTATGCTGATTCATCTGTAATGAGATCTTCAGAAATGTACTTTTCAATGAAATCTTCATTTACGGATGTGGTAAATGGGAATTGTAAGGATGCTTTGATATTGATATACTTTAGAAAAGCATCTTCAATTCTTGCAATATTCAAGGATTCAAGAGAATCTAAAATTTCAGCAATAGAATGAATAATCTAATAAATTTGTTGTCTCATTTTTCTGACAGCTATAAATGTTTCAACTTATTCATGATCTCTTAAATCTGAAATATTTTTGATTTCATAGTATCCACTTAATTCTGTTGAGTTGAATGTGAGATTATTTGGCAATGGTTGAACATGATTGATATTAAGCAATTTAAGGAAGAGGGCATAATTGAATTCTTGTTCATAGGTTAATTGTGAATAATCTAACCTTTTAATTTGAGCAAAAGTAATAGTATCGGTTGTCTTTTTAATTAAGCCAAGCATATGTTCTAATTCTATTTGTTATTTGGAGTTTAGATATTCAGCGATGAAGTTCTTACAGGAGTGAGCTAGTTTGCAACGATGATAGGATAATGGTTGTCCCTCTAATTTAATAGAAATGAGTCTTTGGAGTTATGGAATATCTAATAGGCCATTATTGATAGAGTCAATAAGTGTTTGGTTGGGACTTATAGAAAGAACTGGTAGGCCCATTTTGACCAGGCGATTGAATAGAGATTCATAAAATGGTTTTCTGGATAGTAGGGCTTCAAGAATTTCTTTTTCTGGAGTTACCTATTCTAATTGTATAATGGATTGCTTATTTACATGGAGGGATTGGTTTGTTAATGTAGTGGTTGGGGGAGGGCATTTGAACAGACATAATAATAATTAGTAATAAATTAGCCCAAAATATTTGTGTGATAATTTTGATTAACAGAGAGCAAGACTCTAATTTATACATAAATTAGGATGGGGGTAGATTTGATAATTTTGATGAAATTTATGCCATTCTGTAATATAGTGAGAGGATAGTGTGTTTGAATAGTAATAGGTATTTGAATATGTCTTATAGTAATATAATTAATCAATTTATCATGAAATATTCTGGAAAAGATGATGAGTATTTATGTGATTTAATCAATCTAATAGTCAGGAGGATTCCGATGACCAATAGAAAACAAGTATTTCACAATATTAAGCAAATAAATTGAAGCAACAAGCAAAGGAAATGCATGAAATGTTGATGTTGTTAAAGGAAAACTTTGAGGATGAAGACTGTGACAAATACTACATTTTGAGCAAAAAGTATTTGAATCTAATTTTATTACTTAGTTGGTTCAACCAATGGAAATAGTATGTGTCATATGATTAGGTTGTAAATGATCAACCACCTGACAGTAAATTTGGATAAACAATGTTACATGGTTATAATAATGATTTGCTAGACACGCGCATAAATGAATGCTTCAAATTTCATCCACTTAATACTCATCCATGGAATACATGGCTAAAACCAAATTTGTAAGAGGATAAAGATTACATTGTGATTTCATAATAAATCTAAGATTATTTGAATTAAAATTACAGAGGTACACAGATTATGAGAAACTCAATAGGATAAGGTAAAAATAAGAATGTTGTTGTGAATTTGTTAAGGGTATATATCATTTGATTTTAAAAGTTCAATGCCACTCTAATTTTAGCTAATACGATCATGTAAATTGCTTAAGATAATCTCACTCAATTCGAGAAAGAAATTTTGTAAGCTGATGAAAATTGTGTAATTAAGGATCTCTATACATTGATATAGAAAACAGTGCATACTTTTAGGGGTAATTACAATACTCAGAATGGTGTTAGAATTTGGAGATACAAACATTAAACTGACCCATTTAAGGGATTGTTCGCAGAAATCAAAAAGCAAGTTTAAGATCTTGATTTCAATGATGATCAAGTCTTTGATTTTTCAGGAGAACCTATTGAGAATTCACCAGATATCACATTGAAATCATTGAATCTAACTTAGAATGATCTTGTTTTAATTGAAGTAATTTTTTGATTTTATAAATAAGTTCTAACAACACTATAAACCATGGTGTATTAAACATCCCTCTGTTCCAGTTGAAGGGAAATGTGAAGGTTGTGGTTAAATCAGCGAACTTCACTTTCCGTGTAAATGCAAGAAGGTAGCATATTGCTCTGAAAAATGTAAAGTGAATGATGAACAATTTCATCTTCCAAAATGTGATCCTTGTGGTTCTGATGATGAATAAGTAAAATAGATCATTATCAATGATCAATCTGTTAAAGGAATAGCTGGATTGGCCAATTTAGGCAACACATGTTTTATGAATAGTGGTACTCAATGTTTATCAAACACATATTAATTGTCAGAGTATTTTATTACAAATAAATATTTTGATGAAATTAATGAAGACAATCCTCTAGGAACTAAAGGTTAACTAGTAAGAAAATATGCCTCTTTGATCAAGAAATTATGGTGTGGTCACAAGAATATTGTAATTCCAACTAGCTTTAAAAAAGCAGTTGGATAATTCTAACCCATGTTCAAAGGATTTCAATAACATGATTCTTCTGAATTAATTACTTTTCTATTGGATGGATTACATGAGGATCTAAATAGAGTCAAGAAGAAACCTTATGTTGAATCTAAGGATAATTAAGGGAAACCAGATTTCGAAGTGGCAAAGGAAAGTTGGGACAATCATCTTGCTAGAAACCAATCAATTATTGTGGATTTGATGCATGGATAATATAAATCAACTCTTAAATGTCCTACTTGTTCTTAAATTTCTATTACTTTTGATCCATTTCTGACTTGTGGACTTAGTATTCCAAATAAAAAGTAAAAGTCCATTCAAGTCAAGTTTATTAAATCAATAGTCTAAATTGAAACTAAAAGTTTAACCTTTGATGGATCCAAAAAAACAATGCCCTTACATGAATTTACTAAGGAATAGATTATTCCTGAATTTAAAATTGATCCAAATGCAGAATTGATATTTTACACATCCTTCTCTAATGATTTTCAAACTCTTATTGATCCAAAATCAGAAATTAATTCAGTGAGAAAGAATTCAAAGAGAGGATATCTTGTTGCCAAAATAATTAATGAAGATGAAAAGGAGATACCTGTAGATGACAGAATCTATTTGAATTATTCTTAGAAAGCCTTGGATGGATTTGGATAGTAATACAAAAGAACCATATTTTAATCATTCTATGTAATTATATAGAAGGAGTTTACTCTAAAATAAATACATCTTGCAATTTTTAAGGCTCTTCTTCCAATATTTTGCGATGTAGTTTCTCTAAGTGAAATATCAACTCCTGAACTAATAAGATAATACTACGAGCATTATATTTAGGGAAAAGTAATAGCATATATAAAATATTTAGTACTACAACCTATATTTCAGATCCCAGAGTGCTTATTGGTAATAATGTGGTTTTTGTGGATTGAAGAATTGCCAAGATTGTGAAGCAGACTATAAGGATGACACTTATGAATAGATAAAGACAAAAGTATAGGCGAGTGATCAACATAATAAGATGGAACTTATTGTGTTTTGGATTCAGAGTCCATTTCAAAATGTGAAGCCTGTTGACATCTATTCATATTATCAGAATTAACAATACAAAAAGTAAATGGAAGGTAATTGAATATAATAACTGTTTATAGAAGAGAGGAATGCAACAAATAATAATGAAGATGAAAACAATGATAATAATAATTAGAACAAAAGATATGTGATGACATCTAATAATTATGCTAATAATAATCTCATACCCAAAGTGACATTACAGGAATGTTTGAGATAATCAGAACAACCAGAGTAATTAGCTGAAGATAATGCTTGGTATTGCAAGGTTTGCAAGGAACATGTCTAGGCATACAAAAGCATGTAGATTTATAAGGTATCATGTAATAAGGATAATAAGGCATCTGACATTTTGATCTTCACATTAAAGAGATTCAAAGCTTCAAGTGGATTTTTCAAGCAGAAACTGGAGACATTTGTGGAATTTCCTGTAAGAGGGCTTGACTTAACAGATTTCATTTTGAATAAGAATAGACCTTTGGATTATGAGTAGGAAGTGAAGGATTAGGAGAAGATAGAAGAGGAGTTCCAGGAACAAAATGAGGGCAATAAGAAACTCATCTATGATTTATTTGCAGTATCAAATCATTTTGGAGGCATGGGAGGTGGACATTATACTGCTTTTGGCAAGAACCATGTACTTTAACTGTTTAGTGTTAGTTGAATGGAAAATGGTACAATTTTGATGACGCTTAAGTGGGTGAAGTGGATGAAGATTAGGTTGTAACTAAGAGTGCATATGTTTTGTTTTACAAGCGTCGATCTAAAGATGAAAATACACAAGACTTCAAAACACAAGATTGAAAATTTATCTATGTTTAAGTTGAAAATATTTATGTAAAATAAAAAACTAAAGTGGAAATCTGATTTCGAAAAATCTGTGATTATTGAGAACTTTGTGAATCGAGGGTGGATTAAATCATAAGACAAAGAGGAGGATTCTTCAGATTGGAATGTATATTGGGCGACTGTCTGGAATGTGAGGAATATCTTCAATCCAAAAAGTGGATTTAGATTGAATGATTAAGTATCGAAATCATCATCAATGATAGTAAATCATAAATCATTTTCCAAATCATTATGAACTAACAAGAAAAGATTGCATGGTTAAAAATTTGAAGCGTTTTAAGAGGGAATAGGATAAAGAGACTTATGAATAATAAGGGTGGAATTTCGATTTTTTACCAACCACATATGTTTTTCCAGGAGAGTATTCCCTCTTTGTAGAAGAATTTCATCGATGTCCAAATTAAACATGGATTGTTAAACCAGCAGCAAGGAGTCAAGGAAAAGGAATATTCTTACTAAGAAAGATTCAATAATTAAAGAAAATTGCAGGAACCACAGTAACAAACAATATGACATAACTTAATCTTGCATCTAAAGAAAATTATGTTGTTTCTAAATACATTGATAATCCACTCTTAATTGGTGGCAAAAAGTTTGATTTAAGAATGTATGTTTTAGTTACTAATTATAAACCACTAAAAGTATGGATCTACAACAAAGGATTCGGGAGATTTTGCAATGAATAATATACAACTGATGTAGCTGAAATTGAGAATATGTTTGTTCATTTGACTAATGTGGCCATTTAATAATATAGTGATAAATATTCCCAAAAACATGGTGGTAAATACTCAATAGATGCACTCAAATTTTATGTTGAGTCAGCTTATGGTACGGAAGCATTCTAGAAAATGATGGATGACATTCACAGTATTATGTTGACATCCTTGAAGGTACTTTTATATCTATCAGAATTTAAGTCAGTATAAGCTGTAATTCAGAATGACAAACATTGTTTTGAAATGTATGGTTATGACATCTTACTCGATGCCAATTTGAAGCCTTGGTTGATTGAAATTAATGCTAGTCCCTCATTGACTACAACAACTCCAGTAGACAAGAATTTAAAATTGAATCTAATTAATGATGTTTATAATATTGTACTCCCAAATGATGATTTTCCAGATAATGAATAGAAATGTAAGTTCTATTGATATTCAAGAACAACAAATAACCAAAGTAGGTGGTTTCAGCGTGTTATATGATGAGAGTCTGGATTTAATGAATCGTAAAGCTTAGAAAAGACAAAGTGTTAAAATATGGAAATGAGCATATATTTTCTATATTTATACTATTCTTTTTGTGCCAAATATTATATAATTAAAATTATTAACAACAATTATGGCACCAAAGAAGAAAGCATCAAAAAAAGAAACTTAACCAAGTATCATTTTATCCTAATTCTATAAGCCAAAAAATAACCAGCCAAAATAGAGAAAGTTCAACCTGCTCCCATACCTCCTAGTGTGGTCTAGAATAAACCAAAGAACATTAAGCCGGACTTCTATTTTGTGATTCCTCAAGATGAAGAAGAGCATTATAGAAGGGAAGTGTACCAAAGAAGAGAAAACAAGAATAAAAGTTGCATAGATATGAATGAAATTAGACAGTACAATTATAATTAAAAGGAGGGATAATTTCGCGCCTCAAGAGATTCCTGTTATTAATAAGGTATCTTAAAAAATTGTGATTGAGTAAGAATGTACCAATGATTCCTCCCAGTTATTTACACTAAATCAGTCGGAGTTGCCTACTAGTGCCTCAAGACAATTAAATAAACCTAAGATATTATCCATCAAACCAAAGAAGCTTACTATGACTGTTAAACCTTCAGATGATGCCATGGACATGGAAGATGATTGGTACTAAGAACTTAACAAGGATATCAATCATACTAAGCATTTCCTACTAGGAGTTCCAAAATAATAATCATCTCACAATGAGAAATCATTGACAACAGAAAGGAATTCAATGACCAAAAACACCAAGAAAATGGATCTTGATTTACAGATTGAACCCACTCAAACTTAAACAACTGTTAAATTGACTAAAGTTATGAAAACTAAATTAGATTCCATGAATGAATGCTACAACTCACTACTAGAAGCCACAATTCCAGAAGAAATCTTATGTCGAGATTATGAAAAGGACTTGATCACTAAGTTTATCGAAGATGGCATCAAGAGCAATGGCTAATCTTAAGCCTTATGTAATATTCATATTTATTAATCCTAGATATATCTGGAGTTCCAGGAATTGGTAAGACTGCAACTGTTATGGAAGCCTAAAAGAAGTTATCGAGCAAAAAAGATAACTTCTAATTTATCTATGCTAATGCAATGAATTTTGGATTGCCAGACAATATTTACTCGTATTTACTAGAAAAAATCACTACTATAAAGGATGCTTCTAAGGCCTAAGCATGCATCTTACTAAGTATTATATGCTTATTATACAATTAGCTGAACTATTCACCAAGGGTTCTTTACCTGCAACATACAAAGCTTATGATAAATCAGTGATCAAAAAGAATAGGGTTATTCTATTAGATGAATGTGATAATCTATTTACTCCTGATTAATAAGTATTGTATAATTTGGTGGACTGGCCGTAACAAAAGCATGCAAAACTTACGATAATTATGATTGCAAATACTATGGACTTCCCAGAGAGACTCAAACCAAAACTATAATCAAGACTTGGAAATCATAGAGTAGTGTTTAGACCATACACTAGTGCTCAAATAGAAACCATATTGCAATAAAGAATGAAGGATAAGAAAATCAAAGAATTGTTTGCCTCCAACACTCTAAATTATCTTGGTAAGAAGATAGCAACAATCTCAACTGACATCAGAAAGACATTGTGTGTTTGCAGAAAGGCTATAGAAATTGGAAGGGAGGAACTTCAGAGAACTGGGTAATTCAAATAAATTGAAGTCAATCATGTCAAATTAGCTTATGATAGAATTTATAACAAGGCCTATCATGCATGCTTAAATTCATTCAGTAAATCCCTGAAGTTGTTGTTAATTACTACTGCTTTAGAAATACACATCAAAGGTTACAATGTAGCTAACCTTCAATAAGTCCTTCAGAGATATAATCAATATTTGATATAAAACAAAGATGATCCAATTGGATATTAAGAGATGAAATAGATCCTCATGAAATTGAGTGAGTTAAATTTAGTTGAAATAAAAGAATAAAATATTCTGTTGACCAAAACTTCTTGGTAATAGAAAGTGAATGTAAAAAATCAATATTATTTTAGGATTCACTCCAAAAGGATAATTTGAGAAATATTAATGATGTAATAATTCATTTGAAAATCAACGTTGACGATATCAAGAATGGTCTCTCAAATGACACATTATTTTAATAGTTTTCTTAGTTTTTCTGATTTATTTAGAATTTATATTATATTATTTATATTTTATTATAATAAAACTTGTGCGATTAATTTACATTTTAATTTAAGTTGTTAATATATTTGTTTATATCTAATACCCAATAAATTGAATAGTAAATAGAAGAAGGAATCATTCACTAATTGTTCTTATTTTGTATGACTCTTTCAATAAATGAATCTTATAATTTACAATTAAATTTATTAGTTTGCAATTAGAATTCCACTTAATATTATATACTCTTAGTACTTTTAGTATTCTTATAAAAAAGATATTGTAATTATTGCAATTAAATTAATTACATAGATATATCAAAATTAATATATTTATTTAGTTGTATTTAGATTTATTTCTGGATAATTGTTGGTGTAATTATTTCAGAGAATAACAATTAATTGTTGATTGATGCGGTGATTTACTTATAAAAATGCTATTTTAATTAAGAAGGAGTGGAATTCAAATAGTAAGTTTTTAAAATATTTAGAATTAGGATGGAATGGTCGACTATTTTTTTGATTTGATTTAGATTGAATTTATATTTAATACTTTAATATGCATAGAAATAATTAAATGTCATATTCTTATTTATATTTGTAAATCAAAACAATTTGATCAATGAAGAGAAATTAAAGAAATATCAGTTGAAGTTAGATTGAGTTGTAAAGAAATTTCTGAAAAACCATTTTAAGTAGTTATAATAAAATTAATATAAAACTCAATTATGAATTCATGGACTCTTTCATTTATGGATTCAAATTTGGAATCCTAATTTTCACATGCTCAACAAAAACAAGTTCTGAGATGTTAAGATAGACAAAGATGGCTAATTATTGTTATTTTAGCTCTTCTGATAGTTGAATAGGTGTTGGCAGAGTTTTGGATTAGTGTTGCGATTTGGGGTTTTAGTTTTGGATTATTATTCATTTCATATAGATTTAGAAATGAAACGAAAATCATCGAAAAAATATTTTTTATCACAATAATTATGTTACTTGCCATATATAAACAAAATTCTAAATTTTTTGATGGTATATCAAAGGAATAATTCAATATTGACTCAGTCCTGACTACATCTGCAACTTTTTGGTATAATTATCATTAATTTAGTATCATTCGAAATTTTAAAATTGTGAAATAATACTTAATTTTGATGATCATATTTTTGTTAAATATGGTAATTTAATACAGAAATGTTGGAGTTTCAGCTCTCACTATTTTATAAAATTTAATTTATATAGCAATGATAATTCAACATCTTTATCAAAGAGAATAACATAGAAGAATTAATTATATTGAGGATATTAATTAAGTGAACATTAATCAAATACTCTTCAATTAATTAAATTTGTAATTATATAGAGTTGCTTATGACACGGCTGCTTGTCAACTTATTCTACTTCAAAGGAATTTATTATCATCAATCAATTAAGAGGAGTAAATAGAATTCAATAATTAGATAAGGTAGATTAAAATATCAATTAAAAAAAATAAGAGAATTTCAGAACAAATTGTGTTAAATCAAATTAATTAACAAATGACTTTGGAGTAGTTTTTGGTTTTGATACTAAACATAAAGTCTTCTAAATTAACTCAAGAGGTCTTGAATCAGAATGAGTATCAATTAGTGGGAGTATTGAACTATGAGGATTTTCAGATCTCCATACATCGAACCTTTTATATCATGCCAAGTGTGATAATACTCATTAAGAAAAACTACAAGGAACATCAAATTGAGGAGTTGAAATTGAAAAGAGATACACTCAAACGTGGATTAGACACAATTCAAGATATATTTGTTACTAATATCAGGCCTGTGTTAATATACTATGCTTGGATTAAATAACATTCAAATGTATAGAAAGATGCATCTAAAATTAAAGTACTTCATAAAATAATATAAGCCAAACTTTACAAAGCACAACATGAATATCAAAACTTAAAAGATTTCTTTTAAATTAATAAATCATTCTAAAAAACCGTGATCTTATCCTTTTCCATAGATAAGATCATGTCATTTATTATCGAAGTAGTTTGTGAAAATTTATTAAACAAGAAAAATCTCAAAATACAATTTCTTAACAAATTACAACATAAGGAAATTAATTAAGACTAGGCTTAATTTATTTAACTATTTTTCAATTTGTTATTCTTCATTTCTGAGAAATCAGAGGATATTAAAATCACAATTAAAGATTTTTAGATGCCTGAAATAATACATCAAATTCTACAGGTTAAGATTGATTATATAGGACATCCTATTTCAAGATAATTCTTATAAAAGTTGCCAATAATCAATCCTGAAAATCTGCAAGATTATATCCATAACAGTACTGGTACATTTAGTCTTGATTTGCCGATTGCTCTGATGATCATAAGGAAACTAGGGCCTTAAGATAAATTAATTTGGAAGTAAGTGAATAGGGGTGAAATTTCTTTAGAATTTTATCTATACAGAAATCTCCCTAGTGATCTTCATCTTTTACCTGTTATCTCTCTAAAACCTCACAAAAACATTATATACAAATCCAGCCAAACGAGAAGGAAAACTCTAATTTATGATCACATATATGAAACTGTTCACTTGCCAGCCATACAAACGGATAGAGAATTGCTATGAAGAATTTTATTTGTTTTTTTATACATAATTATATTGATATTAATCATTATGAGAGATTATCATATATTTTTTCCACATATATCAAAGTCTTTAGAAAACTGTCTTCTCCATAAACCGATTATGGTGGCAAAATGTAAGGTAATTGTCTTATTATAAAAAAACGATTCTTGAAAAATCGAAATAGTAAAAAAGATGCCAAACATTGGTAAATGATAATAATGCAAAGAAATAAAGCAAATAGCAATCGTCTTGCAGTGACTTCATGATCAAATTTATCTATTAAATACCATTACCCAGATGACATTATATTTTCAAATCCTATTGCTATGTAATTTAAACCAAATAAATCTAAAATGGTAATGTTTGATACAAAATCTGATTTATAATCGTTTTGAATATTTTCTCTAACCTTTTAGCTAAAATAATCTGTCGAATAGATCAATCCCTGAGTGAGTTTACCATCGATCACAACTCTACACATGTCATCTTTAATTAAAACACAAGCATCTGTAGTCAAGAATTACAATAAATCATAATAACTTGTTTATGCTTAAGATGTTAGTTCTTAAGTGAAGGTCACAACTTAAAGATAGGATTCGTTGACCAATTGTTTGTATTAACCAATTACATCTTCACCTAATTTAGAATTCTAATTATGGTTAGAATATCTCAGTAGAACCGAATCAGCCATCATCATTTAGTAAAATTATTCAGTATATATGATATTTTAATTGAATAGATCTAAATTATTTTGTAAATCGTTAATATTTTAAGAGTTAAACAATTTTACTGTTAGGAAATAACCAAAACCTAATAAATAAGTGATTATAGAGAACAAAAAAAAGAATCTTTAAAAATATGGCTTTTCATCAGCTATCAGAAACTGTTTTTTCTACTCTAATTATTACACTATCTATTGATAACGCAATGAGACCTTTTTGCTCCCAAAAAAATCATTAAAATTAGTTTATGGATTACATTTGTCTTTAAAGGAAAATTGGTACTTATATAGATTCAAATCAGCGGATTACTAGTAGTGATGTTGTAATGAAAGTAGTCTAATAGATTCTGTTTCCAGTGCTTTAAAAGATATTTATTCACAACTTCTCAGAATTCTATTCAAAAGTTTAAATGATTGCGAGAAAATCACCACATAAGTTATGACAAATAGAATTTCAGTCAAAGTAAATAAAATTAAACAGATATTCTATTGAATTTCCAAATCAGAAACATTAGAATTTAATTAGTCTTAGAACTTGATAGTCAATTCCTCATATGTTTCTTTGTGTACTTGATACTGTCTTATCAATGAGATCAATGAACTATTGAATCTTTAAATGGTTGTCACATTATTCAAATCTATTCCATACAATCCTTACAACATATAAATTACATAGAATTGTTCTGTCCATGCACTCACAATTTGTTCATTTCCACTGTATACATCATATTAATTAATGTTTATGTTTGATAAGGTTGATTTAACAAGACTGTCATCTAAATATTCTTGATAATGTGATAGATAGATCTCACTATTATTTTGCACCAATTCAAGCAACTTATCTTGATAATTGATTTCTGTCGTCATGTATCCCTCATATTAACTAGTGTCTATACCTATTGCCAATAAAGTATTCTTAGTGTAATCAGTAGTTACAAAAGCCTTTAAGATTCCAACAATTTTCATGTTATCATCCAATTTTTATTGGAAACTAAAGTAGAAAATAAAAGATAAAATTAAGAGCAACAACAAATTCAAACCATCAATCATCAAAATTACATTGATCAATCTGGGATTATTGCCTTATGAAGAAAACTTACTATAAAGATGTGTTTTCTACAGGATTGAAGGAAATCCATTATTAGGAGTGGTAGCTGTCTGTGTAATTCTAATTTCTTGTTCTTTTTAAACTTATTAATTTTCTGATTGATTATTTTCGACATCAAAGGATTTCTTGGATACCGACTTATAAAAGTAGGATAGTTGATGTTTCTGTTTAGGTTTAATATGTTGAGAACTCTTGTTTATTTATTATAACTGTTGTAGACTCAGCCCATCAATTTGAACACTGTTAATATTTTAGTCTAAATTTTGGATGTTTGGAATCTAGCTTTTCTCTTCATTAATTAAGGATAATAGATCTCTTTAAGAGTCAAAGGGACTGTGAAAATTGGGGCCTATCTGAAATTGATATTCTTGAAAATTGATCGATTGATTAAGTTTTTATTCGTCAATATTTGAAAATTCACAATTTTGATCACTATTAGTGAACATCCTTTCATCATCATGCTTTTCTGAACCAGAGAGTTCTCTTTAGAGAGAGGGGACAAAGTTTGTATCTGTTCTAGTTCTTGATTATAGATTTCTTGAAGACTCTATCCAAATTTAACTGGTGTTATCTGCAAATGTTATTTTCTATAATAAAATTAAGTATGATTTGTATTCTTTTTAATTGATTTTTCCAATTGTCATAATAAATTTACAGGATATACAATAAGTTTCTGGGGCTGTCCCTTCTTTAGGAATTCTAAATAATAGATCATCTGCAGAAACAGAAAAGTGATTCAACAGTTATTCAGCCTCATTATACTCTAATTTTTTAGTACAACTTCCTTACTCTTATCGTAGTGCTTCTTATTCTTGGAATTTCTTCTCTTTGCCATTCAAAAGATCTAAGTACTTTTTGAAGTTCTAAATTAAGTGGAATATCTTTTTTAAATATAATGATTTTCCATTTTTCATTTTAAATTATTCCAAAGCCATAGTAGATATCCCTTCAATTCTTAACTCATGATTTAAGAAGATATGTCCTTTGACATTTTCATAGGCTCCATCAGATCTAATTTATTTTAAAAAACAGTAAACTGGGAATACATCTCCTTGGATATTGAAACAAATGTCTATAAACATTTCTACAAATATCAAGTCTTTATTCTTTTTATATCCTAGTAAACCTCTCTTTTTCCTCAAGATTTGTGGTCTATTAGTCAACAAAAAGATCTCGATCAATTGATCATGAATAGCCGACAGATGAGGAATAACCAGTTGATGCACAGTCAAAACTTCATCTTTGAATTCTCTTAATCCATACCCAAACATATGAGGAGCATTATTTGAGAACTGAATGATTTCTCCTCTTGAGATCTTCCCTTTTTAAGCATGTCTTGCTAAATTAATTTTGAAATAGCACACCTTGGCTCCTTGTTGATGATTATTTGGTGCATTGAATTCGAAGAATTTATAATTCTTAGTTTTCAGTTGATTTCTCAACCTAATGAACTTATCGAAATCATTAAGGATTTCAATAGAATAAAACATATAAATTAATAGACTAGTTCTCGAAAATGAAAATTGATTAAACTATTCGATTTTCTGAATAACTTCTAAATTATACTTCACCATATTATTAATTACTTAATATAGGTTTTCATAGTTATATTTTGTATCAATTAATTTTCTAATAAAGTCATATTTCACTTGAATATTATTAAACATTTCTGATATGAGTTTATCTCTTCTGACTTCTGTTATTCGATAATCCTTGTATTGCAATGCTGCTTCTACCTCATCAATCTTTACTAAGGGATTCATCTTCTGCAGAATATGATGCTTGATGTAACTCAATAACACAGTCATTACTACATTATAGGATTGATTCTTTAAATTCATGACTTTCTCCTTGATCTCCATCACTAATAACAAGATTTAATAGCATTCCTCTGAAGTTCCAAGATAAGTCAGTAATTACGTGATTCGTATAATATCAAAGTTTTCTTTTTCTTTTTCCAATTCGAATATGAGTTTTGTGTAATATCTGATGTATCTTTTAATCAACTCAACTTGAATTGAGATGTTTTTAATCTTGATAGATTTATAGATTCTCATCTCTAATTCATGATAATTATTTTCAATAATCCTTCTGGCTTCTCCTCTAAATCCTTTGCAATAACAATAAACATTGTCACATACTATGATATGTTGTTTTAATAGCACTATCACATTCAATAGAAATTTAGATCTGCTTACATTGATGACAGAATTGTCTTTCTCAATAATTTATTGATTATCAAGTCTCATCAAATCCACTAATCTCAAATAATGAATGAAAAATATAGAATTTTGATTCTGTAAAAATTCAAGTTGAATCTGTCTTTGATTGTTCAATTCCTTTTCTATAACAAATTATTATTCCTCTTCAACTAGAAGTCCAGTTTTGGATTGAGCTCTTACTTTTGATCTCTATTTTTCTTTATATTATGACTAATATAGAATTTAGTCACTTCGATACTTTTTGATCTCATTCAAAAATCTTGAAACCAATGGCACTGCTATCAGAGAGATAGATATGATTTCAATTTGATTATGCTATGAAATTAGTGATATGATAACAGTGATAGTAAATGGAATGATAATGAGGATTGTTTCAGTTTTGTAAGTCTCCATAAAAGGAAGACAAATAAAGAACTCAATTAAATTCCCAATTTGAAGAATTAGAATTGTAGCATTGTTAAGATAATAATGAGTCGAATTATTATCATAATCACTGTCTTAGTACATAATGAAATAAAACTACTGGATGATTATTGGTAAGATAATGATGAGTTATGATAAATTAAACCAAAACGACTTAATTAGTCTAAGATGATTATTATCTCTGATTGTAAAGGTTTATTGGATTTGCATAGATAAATACCAAACTAATAAAGTTCCGATGTTATTTATGATGTTAAAAAAGATCATGAATCCAAATTGATAGCCAACTAATTTATCATCATAAAATATGATATTCCAAATTACGAAAGTCCAAATTAGCAATGGGATTACTATAATGTGAGGGTATATATTCAAAAATGAGGCTTACATGAATTTCTCCATTTGTTTAAATGAGGACTACTCATTGCCCATGAATTATTTTTATAGAAAGTATTCAATGTAGTTGTGCATATTGTAGGAACGATTCAATAAATTTAGATTATCTTAATTGATATATTTAATGCATTACAATTAAGGTTGTCTTGATCGTCAATTGAGGAACAGTATTTAATGGTAGAGTACTCGAACTTCTCTTTGTGCATTGCAAAAAATGTGAATACTATGGGTCCATATAGGAATAGGATAATTAGAGATTGTATTACAATAATCCCATCATAAGTTAGACTATCAAATAATAAGATAGTAGGAACAGATAATTTTGACATCAATTCAAACAAGGAATATTGATCAGTTGTTTTGATATAGTGATTGAAAATTCTAACTTGAAGAATTTCCATAATTACTTTGAATAGAAAAAGTAATGCTAGTTTTTAAAGATGAGCAACTACTTCAATGAAGATCCAGAAATATTTAGAGTCCCTTGAAAGTATGATCTATGAAAATCCGATTGTAAATTATTAATACTCCAGCCAATATTGCTTTATCATTTATAATAAATGATTAAATTCGGATCGAACTATGCTTCTAAAATATAGCATCTATATTCAAATAAGCCTTTCTCCTTTGCAGTATAGCAATCAATCAATCAATTAGATCATTGGGAGTGGTCCAGCAGGTCTTTATACGGCTAAACACTTGTTCAATGATATTGAGAATATCAACATTCATGTTTTTGAATAGGATCTCTGTCCTACAGGGTTGATAAGATATGGAATGGCTCCAGATCATTAGAGAATTAAACGAGTAGCAGAAGAACTGTTAACCATCAAACAGAATGAACATTGTCATTATTTTGGAGGAGTCTCTATTGTAATTAAGAATATATAAAAAAGGGTAAAGACATAACCATTAACGAATTGGATCAATTGTATTCAGCAGTTTTTTATGCTTATGGTGCATAGATTGATAAACCATTGAATATTCAAGGAGAACAATTATAAAATGTTTATTCTGCTCGTCAAATTGTTAATTGGTACAACAGTCATCCAGATTACTGTGATCTTGATATTGATTTTAAGAACAAAAATAATATTGCAATTATAGGGTGTAATTGAATTATTAATTTTTAGAAATGGTAATGTTGCTCTTGACATTGCTAGAATATTTGGATTAGATTAGGATGAATTGCAGAAGACTGATATTAATGAGATTTCCATAGATAAATTAAAGAATAATCAAATAAATAATGTAGGATCATTTCATTATATTAGATTGTTATTATAGGAAGGAGAGGTCTAGTCCAATCTTAATTTTCATTAAAGGAACTCAGAGAAATGACAAAATTATCCTAATTTAGATTCCTATTATATAAACCAGACTTACTTTGGAGTTTGAATGAGGAGAGTCAAACTGAATGCAAAGACTTAGGCGTAAATTATGGGAATGTGGTATGATATTAATGATGAATATGTAGACTAGAGGGAATAGAAGAAAACTAGAATTTATGAAAAGCTTTGAAATTATTGAGGATGAAGCAACAATGAACTCAATATTGAAACAAGGTAGTAATGGAAGGATCAATGTTATTTTGCGATTCTTGCTGACTCCTCTTAAAATAGAGTTGAAGGAGAATAAGTTGAATTTGAAATTGTAACACAATTAATTGGCAGGGAAACCATTTAATCAAGTTGCAATGCCATTGGATTAATAATCAATTTTGGAATGTGATATGATTATTAAATCAGTTGGTTATTAGTCTCACAAGTATCAGTATAGTTATTAAACATAGCATCGATAATGATATACCTTGGAATTCTGAGTAAAATATAGTAGACAATTCTGATGGGTGTATTAAGAAGGATCCTACGAAATTGAAGACGGGATCTTATGCTTGTGGTTGGATTAAAACAGGTCCCAAAGGAGTAATTGATTCTACATTTGCTTCATCTTAAGAGACGATAGTTAATTTTAAGAATCATATGGATGCTGATTTGATTAGGAATGTTCATGATCCGTACGAGCAAGTGGTAAATCTGTTAAGATAGAGATCGATCAATTATATTGATTTCAAGGTTTGGGATAGAATCAATGAATTCGAAATAGAGCAAGGTCAAAAGGCGAAGAAGCCTAGAATAAAATTAATGAGAAATAGGGACTTGTTGTAATTCTTATGATTATTGTGTTGGTATATTTAACATAAATATATTTATTCAAAAATGTATATGAGATCGATCTTCAAATTGAGATAAGCCTTTTCAGGTATATATTTAATGTGAGTGACTAAGTCTTAACTAAATACACCAAGGATCATGAATGGATTAAATATGACACACAATCAAAGATTGCTAAAATTGGAATTACAGATTATGCATAAAAGGAATTAGGAGATATAGTGCATGTTGATTTCCAAAAAGTGGGATTGGTATTCAAAACACACCAATCATTGGGAGCAATCGAAAGTGTCAAAGTTGCTGCTGACATCTATGCTCCAGTTGCTGGTGAAATTGTTGGAGTAATTGACTCATTTATAATTAGATTAACGAAGATTTAAAGGACTCTCCCAATTTGATCAATGAGAAGGCTGAGGAAACATGGATTTTGCAAGCCAAAGTGTAAAACGAATCTGAATTAGACACCTTGTTGGATAAATAATCATACGATAAGATCATCAACAAATGAGAATATTAATATTAGAAATACATCATAATCTAACAACCATTTCATATGTCTATATATTAATCACATAAAATTATAAATTCAATATATTATGCCTAAATGGTTTTCTCTAATCCATCCACAGCAATTAATCACTCTCTCGTGATCCATTATTGGTTACTCAACAAAGTACTTGATTATTCTTTATCCCTAATGATTTTGTTCATTTGCACCCTCCTGATTATCCAATATGGCTTCAATCAATAATTCATCTTCTGTTAATTATTTCCCATTCATCTTTGCCAAATAGTAATTCTCTTCAACCTCAGGAAGTTGAGCAATTCTCTTCTAAATTAACTATATAATTATTTATATCTAATTTACTTCTTCAATTCTTTTCAAATCAAGTTGTAAGGGAGCCTAACTTAATTTCTTATAAAATTCTATTGCTTGATAGTACTTCCTTGATCTTAATAGTTTTTTCACAAATTCAATTAAGATTTGCTTATCTGCTAAATTCTTAATGATTTCGTTGACTACATTATCCTATTCTGGTGTAAACTCTATCTGCAATAAATTCAAAATATCCTACTAATTGATCATCTGTATAACAAAGTATCTCAGAGCTTATTCATCCTTTAATTCTGTGACATACACATATGCTTACAAAGATCTTTTAGAGGCAATCAATAATTTAATAATGATGTCGCTATTACTTAGACAATTCCAATCTATTTTACTTGCTAATAATAACTCATAAGCATCCTATTCTTAATGCAATTCCATCAGTTCTTCGATTACTAATAATTTCCAATTCTCAATTTCGAAATAATATAACATCATGAGTTTGACAATATCTGGAAATTATTGTTTTGGATCTCTATCCATTAGGTAAATGGCTTGATAAAGTTGAACATATTTGCCTCTCACGATTTCTGCTTCTTGAATTTCCTTAGTGGATTGAATGTATGTGAGTATTAGTTCTTATTGATATATTGTTAATTCTGACATCATCCTTAATACTTATCTTCCAGTCTCTTCCTACAACATCTATTGTATTTCTGTCCTACACAAAATCACCTTCTATAATAGCTTATTTTGAGGTGAAGTCAAAAAGTCAAAAATACACCTCCAATTCTGTTTATAAAATTCAAAGTTCCTCAATACACAATTGATGTCGTTGATTCTGCTGAATTTCTGTTGCAAATTCTCAAGATCCTTTTATGCAAGAGGAGATGGAGGGAACTTACTGATTTCCTTTTTTTTTCGATCTATTTTAAATAAATTTTATACTTAAAAGTGAGTTAAAGAGTTTCACTATGCGATTCGATATTTACTTCTAACATTGATTATGTTCGATTGCCAAATCAAGCAATTAATTCTGCATGTCAAAAATTATATGAGCCATATCATCAAGTGTTTTCAAGTAGTAATAACCATTTAATGGTGATATATCCCGCCTATATAGTAATTTGATCAAAATATCCAAGCCAGTGTCATATTTTAACATTGTGAATAGTAACTTCTGCCTTTCTTGTTGATACTACTCAGATGACATCACTTCATGATTTATTTTCAATTTAATTGTGATTTTATCCAAAATATCTGGTAAAATCATAAAGTTCATATCAAAGAAATAATGATCTTGATTGGCTATCAAAGTCTCTTCTTCTACTTTTTAGAGACCAAAGTTCCACTACTACTATTAATAATTTTATGGGATTTCTTGATCCATTTATTTTTAATTATTTAAACACTAAAAAATAACTATTCCAAATCACAACTATCCTACTTCAAATATCAATGAAATAAAAATTGAAATTCGATGAAACACTATATGCAGATGTAGAATATTTGGATGACAAGGGAAATTTCGATTTTAAGAAGTTTGCTGATGCTGCATCTGAATCAATCAAAATTAAAAATAAAGACAAAGCTTAAAATAATTTCGTTCAAATTCAATAGAAATGGGATCAATAAAGATAAGCCATTAAAAATCAGAAGATGGAAATCAAATCTAAACCTGTTAGTGAAGTAAACAAAAAGTAAATGGAAATAATAGATGAACTAAAGAAAAGAAAATCCAAATTGTAGGACCTAGTCAAGAACTCTTAAAATATAGATAATTAAATCAAAGAAACTAGTCACAAAGTTGCTTAAATTAAAAAATAACCTTCAGTGTAAAAGGTTGCTTAATAAATGGATAAACTAACTCCAGATTAGGCTTAAGTCCGACTCTTCAGATTTGATTAAATGGAAAAAGTCTAATTTCAATGAAAATTATAAGACTTATTATTATCATATATGTTTTGTGATTTTATTTTTTCTGTACTCTTTATTTTAAGACTTGTTAAACTGCCTTATCTTGTGTATTTGTTTTAGTTCTCTAGATTGAACTCACAATTAGATCTTCCCTTCTTATAGAATTTCAGTTTATGATGAAACCATAAATTAATTTCAAAATTCTTACAGTCTTACAATATCTAAATCCCTTCGAGAGCTTAGGAACAATCAATTCTTTCTTTTGGATCTGATTTTAGAAATAACTTAACTAAATCAAACGGTGGACTAGTCTCCTTGATCGTGAATTGACACTATTTATTGTTGTAAATGGTTTCTTTTTCATTATCACCTTTGAACAAAAGTTCCAACGTCAGCAATTGGTAAAAGATACACCCTACACTAAACAAATCTACTTTAAAATCATATTAAGCTTTCTTATTCCAAGCATTAAGTACTTCAGGAGCTGAGAAACCAGCAGTACCACATGTTGGATATTATTCAAGTTAATTACCGTTTACACATGCCAAACCAAAATCAATAATTTTTAATTGATTATTATGATACATCAAATTAGCTGGCTTGAGATCTCGATGGATAATTCCAGCAGCGTGAATACTCTTTAATCCTGTTAAAATTTACTAATAAATTTAAATCTTTATTACTTCCATAATATTTAAAGATTCCTATAATGAAAAAGGCTTTTACTTATATTCTAAGATTTACTTGAGATTGGAACCAGGAATATATTCTGTTACAATATAATAATTGTGATCGTCCCTATATATTTCTTATATCTTCAAAACATTCTAAGAATCCTTGAATTTCTTAAGAATCTCTATCTCATTTTTTATTGTTGGACTGTGATTATTCTCAACCTATATTCTTTTGATAGCCACTGATTTCTATGTAAACCGACAAATCTCTTTCGTAACCTAATAAAATAAATTATAGGTACACCTGTCCGAATGAACCAGATTAAATAATCTCTTCTTTTTTATAGAACTTATCTATTTTCTCATAACAAACCAATAATGCCATCTTAATCTTCAGATTCTACATTTCGTTACTGTTTCCAAAAAATTCTTTAATTTGTCCCTAATAGGGAAGTTAAAATCCTATAATTTTGTTATCTTTTACTATCCAAGAGAATACATTGTCTAAACTAAGTACATATCTATATTTTGGATTCTATTGATTTTGTTTCTATTGGTTCAAATAGTATTCTTACTTCACTAAGTGTTAAATATTGGTTAGTTAATTGCAAATAATATTTCTTATTTAGAAAAAAGTGCTTTCTTTCTACAATACATTAATACAATATTTGTATTTTGGTATCTGCTGAATTTTATTATTGAGATTGTTGATGAATCGAGTGTTTTTACATTTATTAATGTTAATATAGATAGTAATTTCAATTAACAATATTTATTCTATGGAGTTTAAGATAAAATCTTAAATAATAAACTATTGATTTTACTATATAAGTAGGAATATAAGAATAACATTAAGATTAAACCAAATCTAAAATAACAGAAAATATTCAATCAATATCTTTGAAGGAGCCTTTTTAAGATGATATTTATGTTGACTTGTTAATAAAATCAAACTATTCTTTTTTATCCTTATGAAAATAAAAAATGATCATCTTTTTGAGACTTCTATTATTTGCATTTAAAACATCCACAGGAAACATCATATTTATTTTTGACTTATTTATAGAATTTATCTTAATCATAATGAGTGAGTTTTAAGATATCCCTCATTTTCTAAACGTTTATGATACATTTTTATATTAGATTAACCAATCATTGATAAAATATAAATAAATATTTAAATACCTATTTATTATTAATAATGTTTATTTATAATTTATCATATTACTTATTGCATAATTAATATTAACATATTATTTTTACAATAAATTACTCATTATTTAGCAGCATTTGATAATATACCTCTGAATATCTTGGACCCACCAAAATTAAGGACCTAGATATTATAAATTTAATACAGGTGATTATTATTTGCTTGTTTTTTTCCTCTCATTCCTTTACATGCTATTTACTGGTTTGTGCTCCACAGATTAAGATCTTTCTTTTCGATCTTCAGGAGTTGGTGGCAAATTCACTGGATTTGGCATAGGAGTAATGAATTAACCAAACTATTCTAATTTTCTTTTTCTTTTAACCTTATTCTCAGATATCTTTGCTTTTTCTTTATTCTCCTTTAATATAAAGTTTTTAAATACTTTTTATGCTTTTTTATCACTTTCTTTTAAGGCAACTAAAATAAAGTTTTTATATATTAATGATTCCCTAACTAGTTTGATTTGGGTCAAATTTTTGAAATATGAATCAAGTAGCTATTATCTTTGTTATATAAGTTAAATATTAGAATTGACAGATTTCCACCAATATGATCCTGGAAATGCAGGTAAGTCAACTTTTAATGTTTCTAGGGTTTCATGAAATCTTTTAAGTTCTGAATATCTATAATGATTTTCGAATGTTTAAAGTGACTTTTAGTTTTGAAACCTAAGAAAATTAGCTAATCGTTTTACTGAACTCGATATTAGACTAAATCCTCATTTTTCTTGAATTCTGGGACTGTAATGAGGATGTCTTTTTCCTTATCTTACATAAACTTATTGTTTAAATTCACAAATATATAAAAATAATTATTTAAATTCTTTAGTAAAATGTGTTTTGAATTTCAAGAAATGGTTAAAGAAATACCTAAGATTATTGAATTCATTGGGTATTTTCTATGAATTATTAATGTAATGAATAAATCATAATATTAATAAATTGAATAGATACTTAAACTAATAAGTAGTTTGAGTATTATAATTATAAACAATTGTGATTCATTTTTGATATTTTTAATTAGATTCTTCTTGTTATTATTATAATAACTATTTTAAAAATTTAACTTCCTCTTTTAAACTATTCTTTTCTTATTTCCAAAGTGCTTCTTTTGTTTAATAAGAGTTCAAGATTTTAGAGGTTTTTAAATATAATTCTTAGAGAAGATTTTAATTATGTTATTTTGAAAGTGACATTCTTTTGTTTTCAGCAGAATGTACTTTATTATCTTTAACTTTTTTTACATGTTTTTCATCTTGATTTCGAGCAGTACCATTCTCTAATATAAATTAAACTCATACATTTTTTATGGCTTTTTTATTGTATATATTATCTTAGGACTTCGTTTAATGATCCAAATACATTCATATGAGTCTGTTTAGAATGAGTACTTGTAAAAAAGCCTAGAATTAAAAGCAAAGATACCTGATGCAATTTTACTCATATAATTGGGACTCTTTTAAAGACTTTTTGATGTCATAACATGTTTTTCTTTAGCATAATCATCTTCTTATATAAAATCACCTAATTGAGGAGGTCTTTTCTTTTTATAATCAACTTATGCACTTTACTCCTTTTAAGCTACATTTATTTAAGGTTAAAGCAGCTAATTTAATGAATTTCCATTTCTTTTTATGGTATTTTCTTTTACATTTTGATTTTGTTTTAAAACATGAATTAAATCATTTTTCACATTCCCTTAAGGTTTAGCATTTAATGAGGCTTTATTTATACTATGTCTTAAAAGAGACTCAATTCCTTTTGATGGACTAGGAATTTTTTATTTTAGCCTATTGTTGATGACATCTTTTTAAGCATTGCTCATGCATTGCTGAGATTTCTAATTGCTTTTAGAATCTGAGTGCTCTTGATTGCGCATTTCATGTGGCTTAATTGGTGAATTAACAGATAATAGTTTCTGTAAAGCGGTTAATGCTTTAGGTGTTATTTGCATAAATAAATATTATTTCGTATATTAGAATAAAATTAAACAAATGATAACGAATAATATTATCATTAAATATTATATATCATTTAAATATAGTATCATTATTAATTTATTAATCTATTTTTGATTCACTATGATTACTTGCTTTTTCATTAGATCTTTAAATTGAATGATGATATCTATCATCATTTTCTTCTTGTATGATGTCTAGATTATCATTATAAGCAATGACCTTTTTGGTAATGAACCCTTGGATTTCTAAATGCTCTTGTTGATTGTTTTTATTGGATTATTGTAATTAAGTAGCACAAACTGTTTCAAATTCATTCTCCAATTCTTCATAATCCACTAATTGGTCTTGTCTATTGAAGTTATTTGAAGGAGAAGTGTTTTCTTCTATTTATACATCCTCCTCAAAACTATCCTCAGCATTTTAACTCTAAGAGTATTAAGGAGCACCATCCAAAGGTCCATAACCAGTAATTTTATGATCAGAGAACATTGCCTTCTGTTTACTCAAAGTGCCATTCATATCAATCAGGTATTATTACTGTCTTGATTCCTATTAAAAAATGTGGATAGGAATTGCAAAGGTTAATTGATTGCAACTGTAGAAATTCTATGAATAATTAGCTATCAGACAGAAGTTATAATGATAGATGATTCTATCACTAAAGAGTGTGGATTGAGGAAATATTGATTTTGGATCATTTGAATCCTATTCTAATTTCAACTTATATTCTAATTATCTTTTTTACCCTCCTTTTACAACAACTACATAGAATTAAAATATTACTATTATGCGCTTATTTTGATAGACCAAAATAATTGGATATTCTCAATTTTAAGACAGGATAAAGGATTATCAATTAGGATTAGACAGAAAAGGTTAAATTTAATAAATTTAAATCAGTTTTAGTATTGTCGACCTCGAGATTTGCCTCAATAACGTCGCCTATTGCAAATCCTTATTTATTAATTTGTAGAGATATTTAAGCACTCTATTTAATATGAAATATTGTACTCCGCCATTGAGAAAGCACAATTTCTTTAGTTCTTTTTGTTCTCCCACATAGCATATTGATTACATCAGTGAAGGTGAAGGTAGATGATGAATATGAATCGTTATTTTGTGCGATTGATCTATTTTGTAAAGAGTTTATGAAGTTTCATCAGTAAAATAGACTGATAAAATGTACTACATCCTACATTGCACAGTTTTGTAATAGTTTATACAAAAACTTGGGATTTCTTAGGGAGTTTCTATTTCAAAATGTCTTTTTTAAATTCCTTGTGTAAGGTGACTTTAAGATCAAAATAACAATTACGAGCCGAAATTGCAAAGCCATTTATGTTTGGTATAAAAAATGTCCTTGAATCTAAAAAACTAATTCTATTTATCAAATTGATTGACCTTCTGGACTCCAATTAACTTAATGAATTAATGCAAATTACTTTTAGAAATAACATGCTACACTCAAGATCTGGAGTTTTGGCTTTTAAATAGATAACACCTTTAATAACATCTCCTGCTCTATAATTAGCCTTATCAACTTTAAGAGACACTTATAATTAACCGTTATCTAATTTCGTAATCATCAAGAATTTTTAAATTTTATTATAGCAATTCACATAGATATACATTCATGTCAATAAATATTTACATAATATTTTGGCACTTCAAATTAGATGTCGAACAACAGTTTTTTATCAACTACATACATTTATTCCCTCTTTGGAGATTTAAATACTAATTAATTCACATATTTCACAACTACGTTTTTTGATTCATTGTCCTATTGAGAAACAGTCGACTAAGGTTAGACTTCAAAATATTAAATGGATTTACCTTGTATTTCATTTTTATTCTACTCCAAATGAGAATAATCTGATGATGCGTTTTTTAACTAGAAAGAACTATTTAAGTGATCTATTTGTTTGATTTCCTCCTTTTCTAAATAGGGTTCTTATCCTTCCTTTTAAAATCTCAGCACTCCCTTGAATTTAGTCACCTCTCCTTACTGAAATATAGAATTTAATATACTTCATCGATTCCATTCTCAAATTAAGTATCTTATTATGACATTCCAAAATTAGTGGGTGTTTCAGGCAACAAAATGTCAGATTAGATCTATTCAAAGTTTTATTGCTGCTTTTATTGATTATCTAAATCAGCCAAAATACTGCTTTCATCAATTTGTTAAGAATTTTTCATTTCTACCTAACTGATTATTTATTGTTAATCAAAACCGACGCCTTATTAATTATCTTATTATACTGATGATTTAGTATTCTACTTTGATTCACTTACTATTAATAATAATAATAACTTTAATTACTTTATGAACAACTCAAACTTAATGCTTTATCAATGGAATGTTCTTAAGCATCATTAATTTTATCTAATGAAATTGATCTGTTAAGTTCCACCTATTAATCTTCTTAACTGTTTAATATGATTTCATTTTATTCTCTATTCTCTGATTATTATTATTATTATTTTTATTCCTCATTTTCTAATTATTAATTGTCTTCATGGTTTTGAACTTCTCTACTCTCATCACTTTCTTGAGGTTTAACCAACTATGAAAAATTGAAAGAATGCAAAGCTCCTGATGCAAATTCACATCCTAAAGCACCTGGTCCTCCCCAATTGAATTTAGGTTCTAATACAACAACTCTTGGCGACTTTTTAGTTAATGGGGAAAATATGCAGAGCTTAAAGATGGATATGATGAATACTTCAATTGATTATTTAGAATATGCTTATCCTGTTACAATATCTGAGAATTCATCAATTGTTTAACATCTATGAGATTTAACTCCTAGTAGATAATCTTGATTGCTTTTTAGTCCACTTGATTCTGCAGGACTACCCTTTAATACTTTGGTAATATGAAGAATCAAAGGATTTATTGATTCGTATCTGATATAAAGACCCAATTTAATTGTGGATCGTGGCTCAGAAATGTAGATTTTTCTGGTTTCCATAGAAAAAATATTCAAGATAGACAACTCTATTGGCTCATCACTTTCGAGTAATTTGAGAGCATTCACTTAGGAATCGGATTTTATCTGGACTATATAATCTAGAAAGATTTCCAAATCTATAATGTTGTTGACAGAATAATACTGAGGTTTGATCCAAATGAATTGGGTTCAATTGATATGATTCTGTATCCATAGCCATTGCCAATTTGCGATGAATTATTGCCCATTTATAATATTATATATATTATTATTATATATATTGGTCATAATGCACATGCAAATACATTAACTATGCCTATCATTGCTTCAGTTTCATGTTTGATGGTGAGTGATCCATCAGTTTCGTTATCCCAATAGCAAGATCCAGAAATGTTGAGACCACATTCAGCCTTCTACATTAGGAGGCAATTCACAATGAATTTGAAATTTTTGTTATTAGTTGTTAATTGTTTCAATATCGAATCACAGATTTTATTACTTCTAGTTTGAGCATCGGTGTGATCATATGTTATTTTATCTAATTCTTTATGTAAGGTTTATTAAACAAATTTCTAGACTTCATTTTTGAGAGGACCATTAAAACTAACTTAGTTTCCTAGTGAATCCATTTATATATTTTTAATTTAAATTATATTATATTAATCTATAATCAGTATGATGATTTAATTTAGAACTTATACACACCTCCTTAATGTTTCTTTTTTGTGAATAACTACTAATTAGAGATGGGAGTGTAATCTAGTCTAACATTATGAATGTCTTCAACATTAGTTTGATGATGATCAAGTTTCGTAGTTTTAGATGAAGAAAACTAATTTTTATTGATATCAATAGTTGGTTAGACATTAATGGAGAGCTTTTTGAGTTTGTTTTACATGATCTTAGCATAAGTTAGAGAATTGAAATTCGACTAACTTTGGGATCTAGCTTAGCCTTAAGTCTTAATGCTGGATCTGAGACTAAGTTACAAGTCCTTGCTTCTAAGATCATTTTCAGATTGCATTTGTGTTCTGTTTCTTTGATACCTAGTTTCAGATCTGATGAGATTCATTTCATTTACATATGGATCACTTCTGAAAGGAACTAAGAAAGAGTACTTATCAGCTTGGATAGTCTCAATGTTTTCAATGCTCTATTTCAGATTCTCTATTTCATAATAATAAATAGCCTTTTGTGCTTATTCAACAGTTCTTTCCATTTTCTTTTTCAACTTGTCAATTTATTATTCTACTTTTATTTTCTTATAATATGACGATTTGATTTAATCCAGATCAAATTAATACACTTCATCCCCAATTCTTTCAGTCAAATTCGGATTTTGAGTAGTTCTCTGACCAAGATGACTCTGGATCTAGAATTTCACATTTTCATATTTAAGGAAATCATCGATGGATGAATAAAGTTGGAAATAGTCTAATAGTTATCGGTATTTGATCCTATAGTAAGTGGAATCTGTTTTGGCCTTGGCAGTAGTAATTCTACAGTTGAGTTATTTGAAGTGTTCAAAATCTCCAAAAAATTAGCCAGAATTGATAATGGCCATGATACTAGGTTTAGGTACAAAATTGTGATGATTGGACGCTTACTCTTTATTGGGACTTGACCATTAAACAACTTCAATCTCCCCATTTATTACTAGATAAATGTATTCATCAGGTTTCCCTTTTTAAAAAACAAATTATCCAACCTTCTTATTTTAAACCTCAAGACTTTATAATAAAACTAATTGATTCTAACGTTGCCACACACTGAAAATGGGTATTTTAGAAATAAAAGCTATTTTCTGATTTGTTAATTCATGTTGGAATGCTCCAAGTATTCTTTAATACAGATCATACGTGATGACTGCTAGAATGACTTCTGTTTTAGCAGCAACTGTAGCTGTTCTAGTAACTTTCTGTTCGATTGCTATTTCTCCAAATTAATCCCCTTCTATTTTGGTTGCAACTTGTGTATAATCAGCAAAAACAAATTTGACCCATTCTTCAAAAGAACTAATATAGAATGTGAAATACTTGAATTTTTGTTTCTTTTGAGGTGGATTTTCTGTAGTATTTTTAGTTTTTGGGATTAAGATTACTAATTCACCTTGAAGAACAAAGTACATTCTTCTTCCAGGATCGCCATGTCTGAATATGATTTTTGTGCTGTCATACCATTCAAGTGTCATCTCTCTGAATAGAGATTTGCAACTTTCATGATCCAACTTCTCTTTGAATTTACTAATCTAATATCATTGTCTTTGTACCTATAATAAGGGAAGTTTTCTTCAAAATAGGTTTTAACTGCTTCCAGTTATTCATCTGTTCTATTTTACGAGTATTACTTCAAAATATATATAGTTCTTTGTAACTGTATTGTTTTAGTGTGTGAACTATCTCTCTACCAAAGAGTAGCCACCTTCTCTAAAATACTCATATTTCGACGTTCTTAATCTTCTTTCTATTTTGCCGATATTACAATTTATTAGAATGCATTTGTAACTCCTTTTAATGTTGTGCTGTTTTTCATATTAATTTAATTATGTTTCTATTAAGGTTTCAAAATCTATACAATTCTCATCTTTAATATCTCTAAATTAAGTCTTTGGGGTCAGATTAATCCAAATATTAATAACTCCGATGTATTAAGATCATTAAACATATTTAGTCTGCCTAAAACAATTCATTCTAATAAAGGATTCATTTGATAAGATTAAGTAATGAAAGGAGATGCTGTACATTACAAGATTTTTGATGAATCTCATGATCAAATGGATTATAAAGAAATCTATCATTAAGCCGAAGATTTGAAAGGACAAGAATATAATAACTATTTATAAAGTCTTTTTGACTATTCATGCAGTCAAAGATATCAAATTTAAACTATAAATAAGAAATGCCTAATCCACCCAAAAGATTTTATCTTGGTTACTCATCTAGAGGGTTTCTCAAATTATTCCAAAATAAAATGTAATTTATCGCAATCTGCGTTGGTATGTTTCTACTCATTTTTGTTATGTATCAAGCCCAATAATATTCCTAAATAATTCTGTATCTCAAATGCAAAATAGGAGAATGACTAAATACTAATTTATATAATTTGTTGAAACAGCAAACCGTCAAAGAAGATTAGTAATTTTTACGAAAATCACAATTCAGATAAAGAAGACTGAAGATTTTAAATAGTTCCGAAATGAACAACTTTAGATATAAAAGGAACTTAAAGATCAAGTAAAATTGGTCCTGAAATTCAGACTTTATTAAATACAACTGATCTTAAAAATGGTTGTATAAAAATTAATCTACTTACTAAAAGTTATATAAATAATCTATGGGATTGTTGTTGGATTATCATTAAATATTCTTTTAATTTATATATTGTATTGAAATTTGAAGGATAGGAATCAGTCATTGGTATGGATTAAGAATATAATCAGGGGACTCAAGATTTCAAATATGATATCTACATTTATTAAACTTAATTAATAATTATTTTAACAATATGAATAATTAAGTTCTCTCCGAATTTTAAGCAAATTTTTCTGGGATTTAACTAGAGGATAAGAATTGATTAACCAAATGTTTAATTTATAAACAAGTGGTTCTTATATTAATAAGTACTTATAAATGTATAATAACCAGATTTAATTAGAAAATACATATATAGAATTAAGAATGATCATATCAGGTAAGAGAAGTGGAGATTTAAATATAAATATATAGATGATAAGATGCTTTAAATTATTTAAAACACAAATATAAAATGATGTATTACAATTAACCAATATTTAGTTGAGTTGAAAGAAAAAATTATAAGGTTTGATTATGAAAACAATGCTATTTTTTCATTACTTAATTAATGAATTGGATAGGAGAAATTTCTAAATCTATGATTATATCTTTTAAAATATGAATCAGAAAATTGTTAGAATAATTCAATTAACTTTAACTTTCTTCACAAAAGAAAAAATGTAAAATTTTAGATTAAGCTATTTCAAGTTTATAATAAATTCTGTAGAAATACAATTAATAAATCAAAAGATTTATTGTTGCCCAAGCTATCTGATCTAAATAGTAAGTTTAAAACTAAAGGGAAGTATGAAAGTAAGGGCTGCATTAATTATCTTAAATTTAATTGGATATTTAAGTTAAATAAACAATTATTAAAATATTCGTTGTATGTTTAAATTCAAATTAAATAAATATTAAATACAACAGAATGTTCAGACATAGGGATTTAAATGCATTTTTATCTAATTACTAGTAGTTTGATCGATAAAGCAAGAAACCCTACGAATATCTAAATCTGTCATATCATCAATAATTTGAACATTCACCCATTAGAAAGCAAACATATACTTCAAAACCTAATGATATACAATATAAGAGTCTTCAAGAACCTTCTTTCTTAAGACAAAACTTATTGCCTAATTATGAACCAACAAAGTGTTCAAATTAAAGAAATGGAATCATCAAAGCTTATGCTGCAAATACAAATTAAGGGATTGTTAGAGATTACAATGAAGATAGAGTCTCTATAATATTAAATATTATCAAACCTCAAAGTAGAAGTACAGAATAATGGCCAAAATGCTCATTTTTCGGAGTTTATGATGGGCATGGGGGAGCTGCATGTGCAGATTTTTTGAGGGATAATTTACATTAATTTGTAGTTAAAGAACCAGATTTCCCATGGAACCCAGTTGGTGCCATCACTAAAGGATTTGAAGCAGCAGAAAAATAATTTTTATAAATTGCCTAAGAATCCTATAACAAAGGAGTGCCTGAGAGAAGTGGATCTTGTGCTATTGTAGTATTAGTAGTAGGAGATACTTGTTATGTTGCAAATGTAGGAGATAGTAGAGCCGTGTTAAGTGCTGCATCTGGAAGGAAAGCTATTGCATTATCACATGATCATAAACCTGAGTTAGAATAAGAAAGAATTGTGAAAGGTGGAGGATCTGTTTATCAAACTCATGGAATTAATGAAGATGGTATGTAGATCTTGGGACCTGTGAGAGTGAATCCAGGTAGGTTGTCAGTATCAAGAACATTTGGAGATATTGAAGCTAAATTTGAAAAGTTTGGTGGAAATCCAAAAGTTGTTATTGCTGAACCTGAAATTAAACAATTTAAAATAACTAATGAACATGATTTTATTGTTTTAGGAAGTAATTTATTCAATTTTACCTAAAGGTGATGGAATATTTGATAAACTAAGTTCTTCTGATGTAATGAATATCATCTGGAAGGATATTCTAAATTGTCAAGTAGGAAATAGTTTACACAATGTACTTTCCACATCAGTTGAATCTGTACTAAAGGAAAGCATCTAAAGAAAGAGTTAAGATAATGTGACTTTGCTGGTTGTTGCTTTCTCGGTTGCTTCTTTAAAAGAGGAAGAACTCAGAATGAAAACATCCTCGTCTATTGAGAAATTGGTTAAAGTTCCATTAACTAATAATATTCCAAATATGAGAATGAGGTATAAATTGAAATCTACTTATTTAGTTATTCCAAAAAGACAAATGATGAAAATAATCCTTTCTTACTTAACACATAGAAGATGAATCCGCATCAGAAGTTGAAAGTAGAAGAAACAACCCGATACAAACCTAGTTATATTAACTGATTATAAAGATTAGAATAATTAATTATTTTTTTTATTCCAACTTCTCAATTTCTTTTTACTTTTTAACTGTTTGGTCTTTAAAAGTCTGTTTATGTTATTTCATCACTCAAAAACTTACTTCTTATTAATGGCTCCTAAATTTCTATTCAATATGCTATATCTATTTAGCTAATTTTGCTTCCAACTCTTCTTTATCTTTAGGACTTGATTCAAATGTTTTAAAAGATGCATATTTTCCTAGGTTTTCTAGTAGATTTCTTAATCTCTCCACAATAAAAGTTTTTTAAACTTCTTATCGTTTTTTGGGAATATTTGACTAAGAATTGATTTTATCTGCATAATTCATTAGTAATTTCACCTGTCAAATGTTTTTGATACAATTATTTCAATTTTTGTGGCCAATCCTAATTATATTAGTTAGATTACAGATTCTCTTGAATTATGAATATATTGAAGTGATATCTTTGATAAATAATTTGATAGCTATTTCTGCGTTTTACTTTATTCAGTTATATTTTCTGAAATTTATTAGAACATTTTTCTAAATATTTAATAGAGTGGCTTATTTCTTCTTTTTTCTCCTGATAGCAGTTTTAATATCAATAGTAATTAATTTTTGATAAATCCTGATACTTCTTACAATTCTGTTTTAATTTCTGCATATCTTCATTCATAACTTTCCTTTAATTAATCATTTTCTTGACTTTTTCTTCATATTACTTATAATTCCTATCTGATTTTTTCAGATTCTTTCTATTTCAATATTTCTAACTCCTATTATTATTATACAACATCAATTTCTTTACAATTAAACTTTTCAGATTTATAAATCATGAATTACTTATCTTTTGTTTAGGTATCCTTTCTATAATTTAGCAATCTTTTATTGAAAATGTATTTTGTAATTTCTATATTCATCTTATATAATGGATTGTTAGTCATTTTTTTATTTGCAATGATATAATTTCACTTTTATTGGAAATTATGCCATCATATAGCAATTTAAAATCTGATTGGAATCTTTGTGTAATCATATTCCAATCCTTTTAGGTTCTACTAAAATTTCTATATTTCTTCAATTAAAATTTGTTCCAACTAAAGGTATTTCTCTTCTCAATTAATATTTTAATCTTATACAAAGTTTCTAATTCTTAAATTGCTTTCAAATTGATTGTAATATTTCTAAATAAATTAAAATGTTTGTTTTCTTTTTGAGTGTTTTCAATCTTGAGTTACTGATACCTAAGATCTCTAAATTTAATCTCTTCATTTAACTTCGATTCAAATTCAGATTACTGCATTAATTATAATTTTAATATAAAATATTTCAATATTATGACTTCATTTTCCAAATAATGTGCTTCTGATGATGGGCAATGAATCTTAAAATGTTTATTCAGTTCTAACATCTAATGTGTTCTTGCAGACAATCAAACCGTCCTTGGTTGTCATCAAAATACCACCAAAACACTTTTTATCATTCTCAGTTTTTGATATCACCTAGCATATATGGATGTCTTACTTCTGATGCTGATTCTTGTATTGAGTAATCCTAAACACTTTTTGTTGAATTGTCAATAAGAGTTCTTTCATCCAAACATTTCTCTTCATCAATCTCTATTTTGACTTCAAATTCCAATCCGTTCAATTCTTTCCTCAGAATATCTTAGAATTCAGAAATAGCATCATCTATGACATTTCTTACATGTCTGATATCACGATGTAAACATCTTGAATGATATAAAAAATATGTACCTCACTACAACCTCATGTTCAAATAATTTAATTAATCCTTGAACCATTAAATTTTTCAATAATTCCTCATAAAACTTTTCATCTTATCTAATCATTTTGTAAATTTGATATTGCGACTAAATTAATATGCATATGTACATCTGAGAAGATCTTAGTCAAGGCTTAGTTTCTGGCATTCATCAATCTCATTCTAGCTCCATTTACAAGAGCACTATGTTTGATTCTCTCTTGTTAAGCCTTCTTCTTATATTTTGTATTGATTTCTTCCTATATGTTCGATTTCTCCTTTTCCACAATTTGCTTTTTCTCCTTCTCAAATTACTTGAATGCCTTGACTTCAATTTCAAAGCATTTCTCTCTCGCTTCCTAAAGCACAAATTCAGCCAAAGATATCTAATCTTACAACATTATTAATAAATATTTATTTCTTGTGTATAATTAAATCCGTCAGTCTCAAGAAATTCTAAACTAAATAATCAATAGCATATAAATATATATATAATATGTATCAACAAAATAAAAAGTTAGGATCAATGTTATACTTATCAGTGAATCTTTAAAGCCATTTATCTAATGAAATTGTCGGTACAACCAACATCTATTAATTTTTTTCATTATAGTATATTTGCTTAGGATAATCTTAAAGGAATCTGTCTAAGTTTTAGGCTATTGCCATAAAATAATATCCCTGTTTTTCAGGTAACATCAGAATCATCTATTACAAATTTGGATCAATCTATTAGAGTTGAATCACGAGCTTTATTTAGGCTTGTTTGTTTGTATTAGGATTAAGACTAAAACTAGTTGAGAATATATCTGATGGTCTAGCATTAGCTATTGCTCCTAAAAGTTCGAGTTGACTATAAGGAGGATAGGAATAATATAAACAAGCAGCAATACCTTCTTCTAAGGGCTACATCAAGAAGAAGGCTATTGAAGTTATTATGGCAGGATTATTTACATCAACTACAAAGCTATTATTTATCTAAGTGAACTAAGTAATTGCCAATTATCCTGGAATCATTACAGAAAATGGGGTTATAATAGGTTATGAAAACATCAAAATGTGAAATTATTATTAATAATATATAAGTGTCATTTTTATATTATGAAAATTGCAAGAACATTCTAGAATTCAATAAGTCCATTCTGATATTTTCTAATCTTCAAATATCCTATTTTCATTTTTGTCATTTGTTTAAACACTGAAATATTAGATTTACTTTGGAATATTTTTTAATTACCATGCTGACTATTATTATTTATTAATTAACTATTTATTTTTTGTTAAATTCTTTTTTTCTTCAAATTTCTTCATTATTTCTTAAGCTCCTTATATCTTCTCTAAGCTTATAGAAAATAATTCATTGATTGCATTATTATCTTGATTTGAAAGGAATTTATAAAAATCTTAGAATTTAATAACATTTTCATCATGCTTACTATATTCTTTAGTGACCAAAAAATAGGTATAATGATCAACTGTAAGGTTTTTATTCTTACAAAATGATAAATATACATTAAAGTCAATTTAAAAATGTAATTACTATTTTATCTATTATAGTTCCATTAATTTTGTGCAATAAAATTAAAGAAGTTCAAAAACTCTTGCATTTATTAGTATTATGCGTTTAATTTTATATTCAACCTTCCTGAAAGTAACTTCTTATCTCAAAGTTGGATTATCTATTGATATAATCATGTCGAAAAAGCTAGTAATGATATATAATATTGTACTCTGAAAAGTTTAGATTGCCATCAAGATCGCTATCAAATACTTTAAATATCATCGCTATTCCTTGTACAGGCAAGGTTGGAAACTGATCTTAAAGTTAATTAATATTGAGGAGCATTGAATTATTAGTCAATATACTCCAATAACTATATGACTCAAAGTTCTCAAGTGAACATAAAGAGTGTTTAAGGTTCTCAGCTTCTTAACCTAATTAACTTAGAAAAATGAAATATTAATCCAAAGTGATCATATAATAGTTTTTATATTAATTGTTATATAATGAGAATAAACTCAAATAAATCAGATCAATATTCTTCCTCCTCTTCATAATTATCATATTCACTATGACAACAACTATGGAAAAATGGACCGTACTCTGATATTAGATCATTGATATTACTCTCTGCCTCAGTGAATTCCATCTCATCCATACCAATATTTTAATAGGTATATACAAATGCCTTCCTTCTAAACATCTTGGTGAAGTCTCCTTAGTAATATTGCAGATATTTTTTAAATCCATTAGAATTTCCTAAAAATCCAACAATATTTTCATGATCTATATGCTAAACGGTTGTATGCACTCTGTAATGAGTATCAAGATCAGGGATTTAATAGATATTGTCTTTTCTAATTAATAACGATGGAGAATCAGGAATTTCAAAGCAATTACCTCTTAATTGGATTTGATAAGAGAGAAACTCACTTGGTAGGTTATTCTCAAAATTGCACAACTTATATTATTTATTAAGAATATTAGTAATATTCCAATCTCTCTAATTGATGATCATGTAACTAGGTTAAAAAAAATGTAATCTTGGGAATGGTATCAAATTTAAAGTAAGTTTCTTCATTCCACCATTTAGAAATCCTGGAAATCTATATGAAGCAGTTGTCTAAATTAAACTCTCTGCCAGGATTTTGTTATAAATATCATAATTTTATTCTAACATATTGATTTTACATATATGTTATAAAGCAACATTATCGTAAACTGTTACAATATCTACAATTTCAATCATTGAATTCATAATAAATGCTGTATTATATATTTCTAAACAATTATGTGTAATTCCTTGTGAAAATATAGGATTGCAATGAACTATTTTAGTTGGGTCCTTTTCTCGAAAGTATTATATTAAATTAGATGCTATTCCTGAACCACTTCCTCCTCCAGTTGAAAAAAACATCATTATTCCTTACAACTTTCCTGATTCTTCAAAATACTTATCTAAGATATGTTTGCATTTATCCATCAATTCAGCTCCTTCTGTATACCTGCCAACTGCATAATTATTACCACTTCCACAATTCCTTGAAAAACAACAATTTGGATCTATAATCACATCCTTCTATATAAATAATTTATCAATTGATTCTATTCATATGAAATAGTGGTACTTGGCTCTAAGTCTAGAAACAAACATCTAGGTAAGAACTGCTATCTAGAATTTTCATTAAAGAAAACATTTATTTTCTGCCTATTTCTATCTTGATTAATTAATTCTTAATGATTATTTAAACAATGATCATAATTTAATTGTTTTATGAATTCTAGTCCTATACTTATTCCACATTATCCAATTCCTATAATAATAATTTCTTGCATGTAAAATATATAAAATCTGATTTTACATTTAAATGATAAATATATATATATCTAATTAAAACTAATTATTTTGATATTCAGTTATTAATCCAATCATCATTATCGTTTTGTGGCCATTGTTTAAGAAAAATGGATTAAGTTTTTCAATTATGCCAACTTCTTTTGCTAATTACATGTCATCTTAATCATTTCTGGCATCTCAGTAATTATTAAGTATTTATCAGCATTCTAATTTTTAATCAAATTTGTCTACTTTAATGATTGACTCCAAAACAGACCCAATTTAATCCTTTAAGCCCTTTTTCTTTTTATAGCAATCTTTAAATTATCTGCAGAATGCTTCTTAATTTGTAATCTTTTCTTGAATTATATATAAAAAATGAATGTTTCTTTATAACTTTAGTTTCAATTTTATTTCCAATTTTATTTATATTATCTCACAATCTGATGCATTTAACTAATAAAATCAACTAATTACACTCATTTTATTCAATTGACTCTCACAATCTTTTAATGAACATTATGATATATGTCTAATTGAATCTTCTTTAATATTCAAAATATTCTGTTGCACATTTAAATCTTGCAAACTGCAAAATTGATTTTCGAAAGATTTCAAAGCACCAATGACTTTTACAACGAATTATAAAAAAAAATCACTTGGCTTACGTACGATATACACTACAATAGACTATAAGATTAGTTATTCAAATTACATCTTAGTTTTCTGGGCATTTTTTATCCTAATTCAAAGCTTAATTGATTTTCATCAACTGATCTTCAGCCACTCTATGAGTATCAAATATAGCTGAAATTTCATTACTATTAAAAGGATAAGATTTATATAAATTTTTTATGGATTTGCATAGAATTTAAATGAAAAATACTTATGTATGCCTCAATAAATCTTAATATAAATCCTCATTTACAAACTATTTACGATGAATAATTTGATCAAATCTATTACCATTTTTTTATTAAAAAGCCTAAGATTTCTTATTTTCTGACATCAAAATTTGCTAATCAACTTTTGAATTAATTTCCAAATATTTTTAATTTCTAATAGTATAATAAGGCTCATAATTTTGATCATATACTTTTTGCTTCTAAACCAGAATACAAACCTACTTTGAACATCTTTTAAAGCAGTTAAATTACTCTTAAAGTATACTTAGTTAAAAGAACTTTTTATTTTATTATTTACTCAAAAAAAAGTTTTAATTTTCAACACTGTTTAACTAGTTTTGAAGTGGAAAAATCTCTTCATTTATTGGATTTATCTTTTATTTTATTTCATTTCTTTATGATTCAAGTTGATTTAATTCTTGAGCTAGCTTCTCTACAATTATTTTTTGAGAATTGATGCAATCTTTCATTTTATCTGCCAAAAATTAAATTTTTTATGCATTTTCTAATTCTATTCCAATCTAAGGATAATATAGTTATCCACTATAGGCTGTTAATTAATTATTCTCAATTCTTATTTATATCAAAAAATCCATTTAACAACTCATCAATTCAAAATAATCAAAAAGAGGTTGAAAGGCTTTCTAATTATTTTCTTCATTGTTTATAGATTCTAATTAAGAATGTAATCGAATTAGTTCACTTATTTAATATTATTATTCTTCAGTTTCAGTTTCTCCGCATAATTTTGCCTTTACTGATTTGAATCTTGACTGAAATTTTGGGTAAGTTTTTTAAATTTCTACATTATACAGATTAGGAAGTGAATTCAAGTTGTTTTAATTTTCCTGTTAATTCCATTTGGTTATTGATTTTGAATTTCTTTCTTATACTTTTAAAGTAGGTCTATCTTTGGTCTGAGATTTTTTTTCTAGCATTTTAATTTTTAATAATTCGTAAATTAAATGTAATAATTCATTTATTGATTAAATAAAATAAAAATTTTATATATAGATATTTATAATCAACATTTCATGACATTGACTCTCTTTTGGATTATTATTAATTTGTAAAGTTTTTACTTAACCTCGGTTTCTATTTATATACCTTGGCTTATTCCTTAATATAAATAAGTTTTTCTGGTTCTCCTTAATTATATCTAGTAAACGAGAGAGAACTTTCTGCTAATTTTATCTAGATTTATATTTTCATTTACTTCAAAGTTTATTTTTTGTAGCATAGATTGAGTAAATTTAAACAAAGGAGATTATTCCTCCAAATTCTAATATAGATAACTTTGTAATTTCATTAATTTGCCAAAATCAAGTGACATTTTAACGTTGTAAACAATTAATTTACAAGCATCCTTAAATTTCCAAGGAATTTATCCACAATTTTAATCAAAGCTAGGTAGATCAATTACTGGTTGAATTATATCTAGAAATTAGCTATGATATTACCTGCAAATAATAGTTATCCACATCCTTATATTTCAGAGAATTAATAATTAACTTAAACATTTTAAAAATTTCCATTTACATTAATTACACAAAATTCTCCATCTCCCTAATTTTTCTCTTTATAATCGATTAATAAATTATCTTCTTTTGGTTCCAATAAGATATCATCTTATATATCTGGCATCTTTAAACTTATCTTTTGCTTTTTTAAATCTAAGTTTGCTTCATCAAATGTTACTATGATAAGATTTGATCCTATCGATGATTAAGGTACTATGAATTATGAATTTTCTATAGAAATTTTATAATTAAAACTATCCTTTTCTTTAATGAAATCTTCTTCTTATTTAATTTATAATTATAGATCAAAATCCTTTTGGTATCTGTCCTTTAATTCATTTAAGTTTTTTTCTAAGATTTCCTCTATTCTTTATTTAAAAGCTTCTAATTCTTTAATGTATCTTGAAATCAAATAAAATTTAACATTTTTAAGAGTTATAATTTTATTTTCTAATTTAAAAATAAAAAGCTATTAATTATCAATAGGTTCTATTAGATTTTAATAAAGTTATTATTCATTGTTATTTTGAGGTTTCATTTCAACTTAAGACAATGACAATACTAAATTAGTTTAGTTTTTTTTCTTCATTTGTATTTGATGAAATTAAAATAAAAAAAAGTCTTGCTCTTGATCCTATAATTTAATAATTAAGGAATCGATTAATAAATCAATAGCATATTTATATGATTTTTTCTAATTGTTAGCATTTTTAACAAATAAATTTATTCCAATAGACTTCTCTTTTTATTCATTAATAAATAGTTCTTATTAAAAAATATACTTTATTAAGTGTTATTTCAAAGATATTGACTCCTCAATATTGATTAAATAGAAACTGTTTATGGCAATCAATAAATCTTAAATCTTTTATTAAGAAAGTATGATTTTAGCTTATTCAATTTGTAACTTTACAAGAGGGTAGGAATTCTAAAATGATAAATTGATATGCAAGGCGTATGATGCTCTTTAAGTTCCTGTTTCTTTCCCTGGCATAACTAATAGATTTTCTTTTTACCTTCCCATAATACTGATTTAAATATCATCAACTGATAAACTTAGTTCATCCTTTTATTTGGTTACATTTATAATTTTGATATCTATTTATGATACCTAGTTAAAATTAAATTTAATGAAATCACATCTTATTATTTAATCTTCATCATAAGAATTGACTGATTATCTATTTTTCTATTATTATACGCTTGAATTCATGGCTGGATAGAAGCTTTAAAATGATCTCTTTTAAAGAGAGTTTCCTCTAACTTTGCCCATCAAATGCACTTAAATAAATGCTCTTAATTAACTTAATTTAAAGAAGGTTTCATTAGATTTCAAATATATATTCTAAATTAGAGCACAAACGATTACATCATTGAGATGTTTTAATGGATTTTATTTCAATTTTAACTTTTCTTTTTCTTATCTAATTAGATCTTTATTAGTTAAATTAAATGCATTCTCTTAAACATTTTTTATTGTTAAAATATTTTTTAATATTGTGATAAGATTATAAGTTGCAAACTAATTACTGAAGATCGCTTTTATATTGTCAATTGCAAAAAAGATTTTTGTTTTTGAATTCTTCTCCTTGAAATAATCATCTATTACACAAGAAAGCAAATGAGATCTTAAGGGTATATGACAATAGTATAACATATAAATAGCATCTTCAAAATAATTATTAGAAGAAAGATGATCTGATTATTACATAAACTCTTTGTCTTTATCTTTATCATCATATTGTATAAATTCTTAATTGAACATTTCAATTTCTTTACTTCTGCAATAAAATACAAATTTATCATCAAGTTTATCTCCTAACGTATGGGATTCTTGGACTAATAAAGATGGTTGGAATATGATATTGTTTATATCAGGATTATTTTCATTGATTTCATCTTAAGAATATTACTGAAGTTATTTTTTTGGCACTATTTCTTTAAGAGATTTGTTCCTCTCTAATTATGGATGCTGAATATGATCTAATTTATTAAAACTACTTTGATGGGATGCATCGCTACCTTATGGGGTTTTCTTACAATGAATAGCAACAGTATCTTTAAAATATCCTTTGTCGTGAGTGATGATAAATAATGGCATTTCAACAACTGTAATATAACAAGTACTTTTTGTGGATTTTGGTGTACTAGCAAATTGGATTCTAATTCCATGAATTTTTGTATTTTCTTTCAATTCTTAGGCAAAAGATTTCTCATTTGAAGAATCTTTCGTCATTCTCTCTAATTATCTTTGAATTATCAATTTATTTTCATATTCAAACAGTGTAAACAAATTAATTTCATTATTAATTTTTGGAACTGGACCAAAAACTATGTTTTTTAAATAAAGACTCTTCCTATATTTTATTATGCAATGTTTGCAATCCTTCTTTTATTTTTTATGATCGTTTAATAACAATTGCAACTCTGCCTTTATTAAACTATCTTTGCTCATTGAATATCTAACATCAGAATATTACTTTTGATATCCTCTATTCAATTTCTTGTTCAATATCATTAATAGTTCTATAAAGCAAATCTAAGAATCATTTATTTATAAGTCTAATGATGGAAATTATATATATAGTTTTCTATCAGTCAATAAAGGGTGATTTTATATAAATGAGTCTAATTAAAAAGAAATCAATTAAGTTTTTAAAATTTAAGATTTAATACCAGATATTTTGCTTTAAGATTTTATGTTCGTTTAGCTGGGTAAATTTGATGATATCTTTTATTCTTAATTTAAGGTGGCCGAATGTTTAATTTGATGTGAGGGAAAGCCTTGGCGAATTGGATTTTTATTTTATTAGTTTTGAGAAGGGGAGTTTAGTTATTCTCTTCCATTCCTTTATCCTTACATTTATTTTTCATAATTTTTCATCTCCTCATTGTAATATTTATAATCTATTGAAAAGTATTTGTGTGCAACCTAAATTTGTTCAATTACTGCCTTTTTAATAGAGTAATACCTTTGTTAAAGAATGAAAGTAGATTTATGTTATTAATTAAATTCTTATAAATAACATTGATATTCTTTATCATCTAAATTGACTGTTTAAATTAGAATATTTTTTAATTGAAATTTTATTTCTGTTTTAATCTTACTAGAAATTGAATCAGAAACTATTTTTACTTTTAATTTTCCATCCATTCTTAAGGAAAACTTCCATTAGGGCTATATCTAAGCCTCTTTATTTAATGGTTTGCTTTTTACAATGCATTCTAGGAGTTTGTGATCTTCTTTGCATTATTGATATGCAGGGGACTTAAATATTTCTTATTTCTAATGTTAAATAAAATCTAATAAAGAAGTAACCGTTTTTGTAGATAACAGTGTTTAAAAAGGGTGAAACTAAATCATTATTTCGCTAATTTAAGTCTATTGGATTGGAATGGTGCCTTCTTTTTATAATCCTTTCTTTTAATCACTATTTGAAATGATTCTATATTCAGATTATTCCCCTTGTAGATATATATATACTTATAAAGTGCAAACTTCTTTTTATTTTAATTAAGAAATATTTGGAAATGTTAATTTGTCCTTTAAATTATAAATACAAATTGGGAGAAGAATTTCACCATATTCTTCAATAAAGGGAATAAATAATACTCTTCTGATTATGTCTACAAGCTTATTATGGGCATCCGATATGAATACACTTTTATCATTATTCTCTCCCTAGACCCAATTGTTTTGCTTATCTTTTTCAAAAGAGGATATTGCGGTATTTCTTATAAATTCCCATCTTTTTTCAACATATTACTATTTCGATATATGAATAAAGCAATTGTCTTCTTATTCTAATCTATCATCAAAATATTTATCATATAATTTAAATTACTCCATTGTAAAATCTTAGAAATTATTCTTATCTCTTTCATAATCATCAAAAAATGATTTAACATTACCCATCAAATTTTATTTTAAAAATTCTCCCAACAATTGATAGCAGAGTTCACTATTTAGAAATTGCTATGAGTCATTAGTAATTGAAATTTCAAAAATTTCATTAAAGAAATCTGAATATTTTATGTGGGACGTTTTTTGGTTAGTATCAGATTATTCCTTTTTAGTATTTTATGATTATTAACATTATGATTATGATAAAAATTATTATTATTATTATTATTACTATTACTGTGATAATAATAATGATTATGATTATTATTATTATTATTATTATTATTATTATTATTATTATTATTATTATTATTATTATTATTATTATGATTATTACTATTATTATTACTATTATTGCTATTATTATTGCTAAATTTAAAACGATGTGAGATTCCTTAATGAATTAGTTTATTAATTAATATCAGAAAATAAAGGGGATTATATATTTTTCTTATCAATTTCTTCCATTACTTTTAACAACATCCCAGGTGCAATTATTCTAATATCTCCTATATAAATTTTATCTAAAGGCTCTTTTGATTTTTTTATAGATGGAGTCTAAATTGCTCCATTTTAATAGATAAATAATGGCACTCTAATACCAATAAAATTAATCATTAACACAAATTTTTGATGTTATTGTTGATCATTTGATTATTTCAAATCAGTACTATTGCATTTTTCTAAACTATTGGAGGATTAAGAAACCATAGATCCTACTCCATTTAAATCTTCTATGTCTTCATAAAAACTGTCTACTTCTTTAGCTGTATGAAATGACTTCTCTTCATTTTATTTCTAAGCATCTTAGTATACTTAATTAAATGTATTGATATGGGATGATTATCTTGATTTTTTTCTAGAATAAGCTGCCTTTTTTAACAAACGAATATGATATTTACACTGACAAAATTAAAATATCTTTGTATTTTCAGGAGTATATTTGACATAATTTGCAGTCCTTAATTCAAATAATAAAATAAAAATAGAATGTATATCTAAAGTAAATTAAATTTTGATCTAATCAGGATGATTATTTTCTCCTTTTAAATAACTTGATAAGACATTTGTTTTATCTCTTTCTAAAATCTCATACAAACTAATTTTTTCATCACCTTCCAATTCAATTGGTATATCATCATTGCGTTTAGTGTGATCCTTAAAAGAATTTTGATTATTTATGGTATTAGTCCAAATTTCCAGTAATGGCTTAACACTCTATTTATTTTATCCATCTTTTGATGAGTTATAATATCTTTTCGCTTCTATTCGAATTTCTTGAAAAGCCCATTCCCTATATTTTAATAAGTCCTTTAAGGATAGATCTTCTTCGCACTTAGCTATTTTATATTCATCTTTGGCCGTCCATGATGATAGCCATGGAACTAAAATAATTGTTTACTTTCTTTTATACAATTCTATATATCGTTTCATCAGTACAAGCTTTTTGGATGAATAACCTAAGTCTAATTTTTTACTTTTCTGTTTAAGAATTATAGATTTGATAAAATATTTCCACCATTCTGAATATGCATTTTTGATATCTTTGGTTGGCCTTAAATGAAAATTATCCTAAATCACTTCTTAACTTGATAGTGCTTCATTTAATTTAATTAAATATTCTTTTTATTCTTTATTCAATTGAATAATTATTGGAGATTTTACTACAATTGATATAACTTAGATTGGCTGAGTTAGCTATTCATAATTTCTATTAAGCGTATATTTGATTTCAATATCTATTGGAGTTAGAATCATCTAGTCATCTTTTTTTTACAAAACGGAAGTAGGATCATTTTTATAAGAGATGCTTAGCTTTTTGATTTCAATTAACTTATAGGTACAATTAACATCACTATTGAACAATTATTTAAAGTCCTTGTCCGTTGCCTTTATTTACGCATCAAATTTAACTCGCAACATAGTTTCATGACCAAATATTGAATGATTAGAGAATCTTAGAGAAAACTACTTAATTGTTATTGTTAAATTATTGTATATTCCATCGACAATTTTTTATATCCAATTTGGTGGAGATAGTTTTTCAAAATATTTTGCCATTTGTTCTTCCCACAATTTAAGTTTATGTTTCTTCAAATTATCAATTCCTTGAGTCTAACTATCTTTGTTCTATGCAGATTAGTTGGCCTCTTATATAGTACAAACATGCAAGTCAATTCCTTCTATTATCATTTCTGGTTGCTGTTTTTTGTAATTTAAAGGCATCTTTAAACAATAAAATTAATGAAACTTACATTGAGAGTAATCTAATTGATTTTCCCATCCTTTATGTATAATGGAAATTTAAAATTTAGTAATGCTTGCTTTTTGATGCATAAATTCTTGAGCACAATATTAGACGATAGACCCAAAGAAAACTTAAAATAAGGGACTCATTACTTTAGCCATATTGTTTTATGAAAAATCTTACAAATATTCTAAAAGATAAGATTAAAGCCTTTTAATAAAATATTCTTCAATATCCTTAGCCATTTAACTTATTTAATTTAATCATATAATAAGTAAGAAATGGAAGAGATTCATTTATTCAAATAAATAGAAATAAAAATGAATTCTCTTTGTATGTAATAAACCATGTAAAACATAAGATGCAATTTTTAAACAAACATTTTAAATTTAACCATGAAAATGATGAAACATGATATATTAATACTTCATTTTGGATATAGAATGTCATAATGTCCAGGCCTGTATAAAAGATTAATAAATATAGATTTTGAATCTGCATCCTCTGGAATTTAAAAAATAGTGGCATCAAAAGTGGAAACATTTCCATCCAAATAGAATATCCTGATTGGAATTTGCAAATAGTTCTGCAACGCGATGATTTACATCTTTATTATAAATTTCTTATTACTTAATCTGCTTCCCTGTCAATAGGATCAACTTCTTATTAACAAAATAATTCAACAGTTCCTGTTTCTATGTATCCTTCAAATAAGAATGAATTTGCTTTTATATATCCAGATGTCATCATTCTCATATACATAATAAGATAGTCTGAGGTCACTTTATTGCAAAATGCATCAACTATTCCTTAAATAGTAATGTTGTTTGGACATAATTTTATTTATTTCATTATTTCCTACATAAATTTTCTTGCTTACGTCATAAAAATCATCAATTACAATTTATTCATACCCAACAGCCGTTAAATCTGCTTTTGAATTGGCAATTATAGTGCTAAACTTATCTAAAATTTGCTAATCTTTGGATTCTATGATATATTCAAATATTCTAAACAGAACTGCTCTATAAAAGCAGCTGCCATCCCTCCTCACTCTTCTGAATTATGGATATGATTATCGGATTTTCTAAAATTCCTTTCAATCACTTACTTGAATCTTTTGAAGAAACCCTTAATTTTGTAAATATTCTGATTCTAAAATTTATAGTTCTATTGGTTAAGTAATAATGAATGGATCTTGGGCTTCTATTTCATTTTTTATTTGATCCAATTACTATATGTGCTATTCATACAATTCTTAATGATATGCATATTGGTTAGATTATTATTAACTCATTATTATTATTTATTATTTTGTATAAATTATTATTCAAATCCTATTTCAATTTCTCTATTCATCTTATTAGTTTCCATTAAACAATTTTCACTGTATCGAGAATTCCCTCGTGTTTTTCTGAAGATAAAACATTCACTTAAATCTATAAGCCTACTGAATATAACTTTTTTAATTAAATATTCCTTTACCCAGAGCACATCCTATTATACTAAATTATTGGAGTTAATAACATAAAAATTGTTACTACTTTTTTTTATTTAAATAAAATGCTTCCTTAATTCAAAAATTTAAGAGTTCTTTTATCTTTCATCGATATCCAGAATCTATCATCTATATACTAATACTAATTCACTATAAGTTGAATTCTTTGTAATATAATATCTATTTGAGGTCATTTAAATCTGAAGAATTTAAAGAACAATATAGATTAAATACTAATATTAAAGTAAGGAGGTTTAAGAAACACATAAGTTTCGAATAAACTATCTAATAATTATAAAAATAAACAACATTAAAGATTTTAGAAATATAAAAGCAAATTTAGTAAGAAAAAAATAATAAATGAGGGTAGCATTTTACAAATTTTCAAAAAAAGAAATAAATACTCTCTTTAATTGAATACATCAATTATTTGTAATTAATAAAACTTAGTTCAATTCTCGTCATATTTTTGCTAATTTAAGTGCTAAATGGAAATATATTTCTGATTAAAATATAATCTAATTTTCTGATTTTAAATTTAATGCTTTTTATAATTACATATCAGACTAAATTATTTTAAACAATTAAAACTGTAAAGTAAACTCTTAAATTTACTTTCTCAGAATTATTTTATTGTTTGGTCCTAACAATCTTACATTCTATTCTTTAATATTTGTAAATTAATTCCACACCTTTATAAGTTAACTTTATTTCTTTAACAACATTATTTAAACTTAATTAGACAACTTTTATAAATTTTATTTTTTATTAATAAAAGATGCATTAGTCATACATTATCGTAATGAAGAATTTAGAATATTAAACAAATTGTTATTATGAGATTTTAGTTTTCATTTTTAACTATAATTATTCTATTTAGGTTTTTGCTTATAATTATTTGATTATAACAAACACTTATGGATGAGTATGATGATGCAGTTTGTAACAACGACTTTCTAACATTATTCATATGAATTACATTTAAAGTTTCATCAATGATTCCATCTAATTCAACCTTTTACTAGTGCTTTTTCAAGAATTGAATCAATTTGGTATCATTAACTTTTTAAGAATTATTTAGAAAATAATATAAAAACAGTTCTAAAGATATCTTTCCTGAAAATTCCTTTTATTATCATCTATCAAATGTTCTGTTCTTTTTGATTTTGTTCGAATTATAATATTTCTTATTCTTTGTTTGAAATCGAATTATAAAAATTCATTAACTCTTTATTTAATTGGTTAATTGATCAGTTAAATCTATTTTGAATCATCACAATATTGAACTTGAAATGTTTCCATCATTTATGCTTTTTCAATGAAGCTCTACACTATGGCATTACAAGATAATTTTTAAAATTATTTTCTTCTGATAATCTCTTGTTGAAATTTAAATTAATCATCTAGTAGTATCATAATAGAAAATTTAAAAAATTAAGACCAAAACAAATTGGATTCATGAGTGTCCACTGCCAGATTAAAAACAAATATTGGTATTAACATCAAATAAAGAGTTTTAATATCGAATGAATTTATGATTCTAAGTTTGAGTTAAAATTTTACGCGAGTGTTCCTAAGCTAATAAAATAATCATCTAAGTAGGTATCTAAATTTGGTGGAATTTTCATTAGTCGATTGAAAGGGTAAAAAAAGTTACAAAGTTCAACAATTACAAGTAATAGGTATTTATATTAACTAGATGTTTTTTTCACGTATTTATAAGAAACTATGATAAAAATAAATCCAAAAGCATTAAAAGCAAAGGATGACCAATTATTTTCCAACCCTTTTTAAATTGCAAATATAAGAAGCAATAATGAAATCAACACCTTTTAATTGTGCTAAATTTTGATTGTTTACTGATTTTTATTTGAGTGAATTATTTCTCTTACTTTTTATCAAGTATTTTATGAAAAAATAATGTCATATATTTTAATAATTAAATTATATTTTTAATGAGAGATCAGATATTATGAAATAATAGCAAAAACAATAGCATTATCACTTTTGTGGATAGAATTCAAATCAATCATCTTATTAAGCTTATATAATTCGTTATAATATAACTTTTTCCAAACCCATAGAATTTCTAAACATAATCTATTCATTCAATCCGAACTTCTTTTTAACTAAATTTGAATGAGGAAAAATCTCATCCATATATGAAAATTCTTCGAAATTGAAATATGGCTTAAAGTCCTGTCTTCTTGAATGAATTTAAGATAGTTTATATTATTATAACTTATTTGCTTATTAAACATAATTGCATATCTATTATTAGAGTTAAAATTTATCCTTTGTATTAAGGTTAATTTGATAGGAGGGTCTTGGCATTTTCTTTGCTTTCGGCCTTGGAATTTTATCAACATTCATTTTTTATCTTCTTAACTAATTAATCACTTAAGTGGGAGGTAATCTAAGCTATCTCTACTAATGTAACTAGCTGACCATGTTGTCGTAAGAGTCGTTTTCGGTTTTTAAATATTAATTTATTTGTGAATGCTTATCACTCTTAACATATTGAGTGATTGAAGCATTCTTATCTTATTTAAAGGATAGCTAGGTTTTGGATGTCCCAAGAAGTTGTTTATGAGTTTGCTTTTCTAGAAATATGATGGGAAGAATTTCTTTATTCATCAAGTACAATTTAATTATTAATAAATCAAAATAAAGAATGGATTTTATAAATGGATAAAGGAGAGCATAATAGGTAAATGAGCCAACAAAAGAAAAGGGAAAATGTAGTTATATGAAACTTTTAGTTACATAAATATTCAATTAATATAAAAAATTACTATAGTTTGAAATGGGAAATATTCGTTTTGAGCAATTATGGACTATTCTTACTTTTTAAAGATAAATTATATTCAAAATATAATTCAATAGATATTAATTTGAAAAATAGAATATATATATAATTTTGGAGAGAATATGTATATATATATATTATTTTAAGATTTATCTTTATTGGTTTTGTTATTTTATCTTAGTGGAACCTCAAAGCAACAATTTTAACTTTTTGGGAAAACATTCTCAATCAATAGAGAAGTTAAAACAATATTAAAGAATAATCCTAATTATTATCTCTTTTTTAAATCAACTTGAAATTGAATTTTATCTAATCTATTTCTATAGTTATAGAAATTATTTTAAGATAAAATTATATAATTATAAATGTAATAAGAGGATAATAAAAGAAAAGTTAGATTTGAAGGCGAGGAAGAAGAGAGGAGAGATGATGACGATATTAATAGGAATCCAAATAATAAGAAATGTCCAATAATTGGTGTAAATGATTAATTTTTGGATCCTTGTATTAAATACAATTTATGAAAGATGCTGTGAAAACATCATTAAAAGAAGAAGAAGCATTGGAATAAGAAAACGAAATAGTTTAATTTACAATATCTGAAGGAATAACAGCGGAAGAATTGATATAAAATTTAGATATTAGATTATATCCAGAAAGAGATCCAATTAAGAATAATAAATGTATTCAAAGGATTATATTTTGTAGTTGTTCCAGCTGTCCTTTCTTTAAAGACCAAAAAAGTTTCTAATAATTTAGACAGGCCCCCAATAGATTTAGTATGCGTAGTTGATGTAAGTGGGAGCATGATTGGTAGGAAAATTAATCTAGTAAAGGATTCTTTAAGATATTTAATGAAAATATTAGGTCCTGAAGATAGAATCTGCATTATTGTATTTACGACTGTCGCTCATATAGTTACTTCATTTATTAGAAATACTCAAGAGAACAAACCATTATTAAAAAAGGCAATTCTTGAATTAAAAGGGTTGGCATCTACAAATATAAGCGATGGAATGAATAAGGCTTTATGGATGTTAAAGAATAGGAAATATAAAAACCCTGTTTCTTGCATATTTTTATTATCTGATGGTTAAGATGATTATAAAGGAGCAGAATAGAGAGTTTTCGATTAGCTATAATTGTTGAAAATAGAGGAGAAATTTGTGATTCATACTTTTGGGTATGGATAGGATCATGATGCTTATGTAATGAATCAAATAGCAAAATATAGAGAAGGAAATTTTTATTATATAGATAACATAAATAAAGTAACATGAATTCATGATTATAAGGCTAGCGATTATTTTATACTTGCAATGAGCGGAATGTTATCCATATATGCCTAAAATGTTAGTATTAACTTAAAATCCAATGACTGTGAAATAGTTAAAGCTTTTGGTGAGGGATAGGTGTGGTATAAATAAGACGCGAATAATTATAAGATTTAATTAAATTATTTATTAGAAGGAGAAAGCAAGGATTTTGTGTTTGAATTATTTGTAAAAGAAGATTATACCTTAAATCATATAAACCTGCAAATTGAAATAAATGGATAATTGCTTAAATAAAATTTAGAATTTAGAAAAGATTCAAATTTTCAAATTAATGTATCCTAAGAAAAAGAAGGTTAATTAAATGAACATGTGGAAATTAATTATTAGAGAGCTAAAGCTGGACACGCCATAGGAGAAGCATGCCATTAAGCATAACAAAAGCAGTATTAGCAGGCTTAAGAATTGATAGAACTTCAAATTTAATAAATTAAATAATCTCCTCATCTTGATAGTCTAGCATTGAAGATAGCTTTAGAAGACTTAGAAAAATGTAAAATGTATTGCAAACCAAAAATATTTGAAATGGAAGGGGAAGCATTTTTAATGAAAAAAGAACGAAACCATATTGTTAGATAATCTTCTTTAAGTAAGTTTGATCAATTATGCAATTAGCTAATCTTTGTGATTGGAATGATGATCAATAATAAAATATGGAGCATTTATAAAATGGAGATTTGCAGTTAAGTGCAGCCGGAAGTATAAAGGGTTCTGATTCTGAGGTTTCTTCATAGCCAGACTTTTAAAGGGACATAGATTTTGATAATTTTGATCCAAAATTCATCATTAAATAATTACTAAAAATGAAACAATTTAAAAAAGAATAATTAGAACAGGAGGATGAAGAAGATGATAAAAAAATTGAATTATTGAAAGAATAATTGATTTTAGAGTAATAAGAAGAAATTGAAGAATAAGAAGTTGCAAATTAGAGTTAATGAAATAATAAACATTAATAATAAATAATTATAAAATACATTATGTCTGATTAAATATAAGAATATAAAGCTTGCTGGAAGTCAGCAGTTGATGCTGCTGAAAAAGAATTAGCTTAGCTTTACTCTTAATTTATTTAAAGTGATGGTGAACTTTTCAAAGAAAATTTGCAAAATTAGAATCAATTAGTGTAACCATCTCCATATTATAATAAGTAAGCGCAATGAGGTTTAAAATGAGCCACGCCCTTAGGATAATAATAATAATGATGAGGAAGAGGACTAATAAGATTAGATTGGTCATCAATCAAACATAGCAACATCTACAACAAAAGAAGACTTTGTAGTGAATTAAGAAATTAAAAGAGAACTTATTAGAGAAGTGCCATTTAAAGATGAAATACTTTATATTTATAGAATAACATATTAGAATGGAGATGTCTATGAAGGAGAGTTATTAAATGATTTAAAGGATGGATTAGGAACATATTACTATGAAAATGGGGAAAAATATGATGGATTATTTTCAGAAGATCTTATTCATGGCTATGGAAAATATTTCTTTATTGGAGGTCACAAATACGAAGGAGATTGGTATTAGGGAGAAAAATTTGGGATGGGAATTTTAGATTTCAGTACAGGAGACAGATATATAGGAGAGTTTTACAAAGATGCATTTGACGGGGATGGTAAATTAATGAGTAATCAATAGGGACTTTTGAGTACAAGAATGGAGATGTGTTCAAAGGCTAATGGAAAAAAGGAAAGAAGAATGGTCCTGGAGAGATGAGATACAAAGACAAAAGGGTTGTTATAGGGGATTGGATTGATGATGAGTTATAGCCCTTTTGATATTAAATACTATCAATTCTATATTAGAATTAAGTTTGATAGATTATTGATATCTTTTCTTTATTTCCAATTTTTATCATTATTCACTTAGGTTCTAATTTTGATCTTCTATAAAGCAAATCTGTAGGAATCAGCAACTTCAATAATAGCGAAATTTTTTCACTTTGATATCTATATAAATTTTATTTAGTTTTCGTTTACCACCCATTCTGAGATAAACAGTAATTATATGAAATTTTAAATATAGAATGAATAATTTGTAATTACCATGATATAAGGTTATAAAAATTGCAATTAATAATTAATTAAGTTCAGCCCAACATTGATGCTTCCTAGACTTCCAATTATTTGTTTCCATTTTTTTACACTTTCAAAATTTGGCTTATAGTCTAATTTTTAGATTAAATTATTACTTTTCTGCATAAATAGCATTCATTTGATTTTTATATAACATCTTCAGCACACTGTTAACAAATGCCTCCATGACGACAGGGTACAAATACTATATTTGGAATATTTTCATAGCAAACCAGACATTTGTCTTGATTTACACTTGATTCACCATCTGATTTAATTGATTTGATAGAGCGAACGGGTTCCTCTTCTTATTCTTATTTTGAAACGGTGGCCGTAATTTCTTCTCTTTTTATTTTTACTTAAATAAGTAGTTTATTTTATACCATTATCAGTAATAGCAGGTTTCTAAATATCTAAATCAAGTTCATCTTTTTTTTTATTTATAATCATGGAATTACTGGCTGCAGGTTTTTAGAGTATTTTTTTCCAAGTTTCTCTCACAGTTGAACCCTAAAGATTTGATCTACCTGATTCTAATTCTTAATGAGATTTTTGTCGTTTTTTGAAATCAAAAGAAGGTTTGTCAAGAACAGCAAAGTAAGTACAAGATAATTTTATCAGATATAAAGGTATTCCTAACTTTATAAATTCCAGCTTTTTGGATTAATGGGGAGAATTAAGTTATCTAGAATTTGGAGATTGTACAGTTTGTTATTAATCAATATCATTTTAGTCTTAGATACCTTAAACATCTTTTAAGTAAGCTCTTATAATAGAATGATTAATATTACTTAATTTATCTGTAGAAACATAGAGTAAAGATGAGAAGAAATAATGAAAACAAAGTGATCACAACTATATATTTAGCAGTTTCAGTAAGGCTAATTAATTGATTTCCCTCATAAAATTCAGCTGTTCTTAGTATGAATAAAAAAGGAAACAATGTAAACCCTATAAGCATTATAAATATCCATAGGTTGCCTGCCACTAAAGAATACTTTAAATATATACAGTAATGACATTGTTATTTTTTTTTGATGATATTGACTAATGTTTCAATGCAACTGACAAATGAGATAAATAACAATAATGCACAAACTACAAGAAACACCCATAGCAAGAGAAAGATCTAGATCCATGACCAAGATATTTTTGATTCCCATTTGAGTGTAATTAACAATAGTTAAAGACAACACATAGTTTTTAGGAATTATAAAATCTCAATTTATATAATTAAGTTACTAAAGCAGTACTAGTCTTTGTTGGAGTTTTAATTTTTTAGACTAGTTTCATAATCAGGAGTAAAGATGAAACTGCTAACATCATAATAGTGATGAAATAGATTTTAAATTCTTACACCTCATAATAAAACACAATAAAGATCTAATAAACATTGATGCATACTTTAAAGAAGAATAGAAACATAGTTTCTATAAGTTGCCAAATACAATCATCTCCTTTTCTATAGTTATAGTATATCAGAATAAAAATTGTTATTAAGTCCTAAATCCACAATTATAAGAGCACGTATCGATGACTGTATTTCCAATGCATATAAGTGAAATAATTTACGAAAAACGCTTGTAGGAATAGATTGAACATAAGAGACTTGATCATTTAAGCATGACAAGAGATAACCTAATTTTTATTTTGAATACCTTGTCATCTGTAAGAGTAATGATGCTGTTTGTGTAATCTTGTTCCCTATTTTAAGCTTATCTCGATTGTCTATTTTCATTTATATAATTCATACAATTCTCTAAAAAGGGGTAGATTTTGACTAAATGTTGGAGATAAAAAATTTCTTCTTCTAGTTGACGCTTGTTAATCGTCTTCTATTTGAATTTATGAGGGCCTCATTCTAACCGATCCCAATTATGATTCTGGCATTTAGCTAAAATATAATGAAGGTTTTACATCATAGTTTTTGAGATAATATAGTTTATTATCAATATTAATTCAAAAACACTAAAAAATTATTTTTTCATTTTCATTGTTAATAAAACCTGTAAATCACATAATCACTACTTTTGTTTAAGCCTCATTTCCTACATTTCCTACGATTTCCAAATATCTAATTTGCATTGCAGCCCTACTATTTAACATTTCAGCAGCTTCCTTCATCATTTTTGCTGATTACACATTCGATTATGCCATGAGAATTTTGACCTAAGCTGCTCTAAATATTAGGAATAAAATTAAACCTTGTTTCTGTGGCTACTTATGCCAACGTATTCTATGTCTGTTAATCCATTTAAATATTATTTATCATGATTGCTTCTATTTCTATACCCCAATCTGTTGAGTGTGTTTCCACAAACTCTTTTATCAAGATCTAGATTTCATTTCTTTCTGAAAGCAAGTCTTAAAATGTAAAAGCTCCAATTACACTTCTAATAGACGTTTAGGTTAATCCAAAAATTGCTTATTCAAAAAAACCATATATATTGAAAATCATTCTTTTTGGCTCTATAACCCTCATATATAAAGAAACACTGACTTCAATTTAAATGTTGTCTTTTGTTATTACTGATTAATTTTCGTAATTTAACAGTTACGTTCTACAATCAACAATGAATAAAGTATCAGTACAAGGATTCAACTGAAGTATTCCAGCAGAAGCTACTAATATTAGCAATTTAACTTGTTTTATAATATTTCCCAAAACGTAAAAGTACCCCAGCAAATCCTTGCTGTATTTAACGAAATGTTTTTCCTACAATAATGTTATATGGACAATATGTTCCAAAACACTTCAAGCATTCTCCACATTTAAATAAACACTTTTAATATTTCCCATCAAATTCTGGTTCATCTTCTAGCTCCTCTATTTCCTCTCTTGGATATTTGACATTTTTGTTTTTATCTTAATTTTAGAATTCTTCTTAATTAGCTTGAGGATAGACTAACTTGATTTATATATTGTACTTTTTTGTTAATGATACATATTTATAATTAATTCATTTAGTTATTTTTATATGCGTATTTTTAGAATAGTTTGAATTAGTCTCCATGTTTAATAATATAATTAATGATTAGTAAGAACAATCAGGGTTATCATTTGCCTTTGAGTAAAAGTGATGATCTATTGTTTGTACATGATATAGATTAAGAAAAATAATAAAATCTTCATGAATCATAATTAAGAAAAAGCAGTTTACATGACTTTGTATTATAGATACCAAAGGAATAAAATCATAAAAGGAACTCACATAATTCGATAACATTTAATGAAGAGTATAAAAAAGTGAAATTGGTGTATGTATTTATTGTTTAAATTGCAGTCATACTAAGAAAAAAATTCTAACTCAAATTGGATAATACGGGTATAATGTTTATATGGCAGAGTATATAATACAGAAGGAGAAAATTTCATTGGAATTAGATTTTTAAGTTATATTAGATTAAGTGATTGACAAAATTCATTAGTTTGAGGAATAATACAAATCTTGTTATGGAATGAAGATTCACAAAAATAGTTACAAATAGATTGTTCCTGTGTTGATTGAAGAACAATAATAAATTGACTAATTTGTAGTAGAGGTAAAAAGATAAAAGCAAGGAAAAGAATCTAAAGATTATAATGATAATTGTGGTATATGTTTAGGAGAGTACATAAATAAGTAGAAAGCTTTGAACTGTAGACATGAGTTCTGTTATGAATGCTTACAGAATTATTTAGACAATAAAATTAAGATTGGTTAAGTGCTGGAAATTGAATGTCCTCAATAAGGATGTGACAATTATTTTAATGATGAGGCTATAAAGAGCTTAGTAAATGATGAGTAATATCAAAAATATGATAAATTCAAGAAATAAAAATTGTTAGACAGAGATGAAACAGTTAGGTGGTGTATTAAACCGGGATGTGACAAATTTATTAAGGGAAAAAGTATGTTTAGCAATACTATAAAATGTGAATGTGGATAGGAGATGTGCTATGAGTGTAGAAGAGAAGATCATCCAGGAATGACATGTGAAGTATAGATTTATAGTTAGCTATAGGAAGCATTAGACAAATATTATGAATAAACAATGAAATAATTAGTTATTCAACGATGTCCTAAATGTAAAGCACCTATTCAAAAGAAAGAAGGATGTAATCATATGACTTGTTATCAATGCCGCTTTTAGTTTTGTTGGTTATGCAGAGCAAAGTACACAAGAATGCATTTTGATTAAGACAATTGCTTTGGATGTCCAGGTAATAGAGTTAAAGTTATAGAGAGATAAGCAATTTTCGAGTGATGAACCTTATTCTAGACCAAGATGGAAGAAGTACGGAGGGATCATTTTCGAATTCTTTGCTACCATACTAATTCTACCAATAATTCCATTCATTTTAATTTATTATAGTGTGATGACTCCTCTGAAATTAGTTAAACATTTTAATCGACAATATTACAGACAAATGGAAGATGGGGATAAAATGTGCTTACTCTTACTTGGAGTAATGTTTTTCCCTGTAATCATGGTGTTCTTGATCTGTCCAGGACTACTTCTGCTGGTGGCGTATAAGATTAAATATGATTGATTATAATTAAATCGTACTCACATCAAACATTGCTTGTTTAGTATTGATCTTATAATTATCAAAAGGAAAATGTTAAAATTAACAGAAATTATGGATTCGACTTGCAATTTTTGTGAGTATCAATATGTACAAAAAACACTAAATTAGGACTTTGCAGTCATCATAAAAAAAGCACTCTATGAGAAGTATTCGTCTTCGCAGAATTATACATACATTCGAATTATCAACGATCTAATATTTGCTCGTAGAAGTCGTATCACCAATACATTCAAAGACTATCTCTTTTGGGATTACCATGATGAGTACATGGAGAACTACTTCCGTTCTCCAAATGATTTACTCTACGATACTATCAAATCGAATGTATTGGTTGTAACTTAAAATAGACGAGCAGTCCCAAAAATTTGTGCCCCGCATATTTCATACTCCTATTGCCAAAACCATGGATAATTACTATAATCCCAAAATTCGATAATCTCGAAAATACTCCAATGCCAATTCCATTAGCGTTTCAAAAATACTGCAGAGCAGTCTTATCAAAAAGTAACAGTATCACATATTATGTTAAGACTATAATAATATAGTTCATAAGGGTCCATCTTTTATATCAAAAACCAGCTCAATGATATTGTCACAAATAGTTCATTATCTTTTCAAACAATTAACAAGTATTTCATTCCTAATTGTAGTAAGTAGGAGGTTGGAGTCCAGTTAAGAGTAATTTATTAGAAATTCTGTGACCGCAGACAGGAAATCAAAAAATAAAAGTAGAATAAGAGAAGTTAAGCTCATTCCATTGACAAAGAAACTCAAACTTAAGGATTTCAATTCATACCTATAATTTATCACAAAGACAAACAATTTCTATAAAAGATCATCAAATAATAAAAGGAAAAAGAGTCTACAAAAATCTAGTTTCAAAAATTGAACAAACAAAATAAAGCATCCAGATACAGAAATAGTGTAGAAATCAATAATAACAGATATGGTTCTGCATCTAAAATCTCCCAGTAATCAACTGCTAGAGTCTATGAATCCTATGCTTCAAGTCGATACAATTCTACTACCACATAACAAAAACTTATTCGATCATAACGTACTAAATCTTAAACTCAAGATTCAAATAACATTACAAAGGCTTTAGAAAGTTAATTCAATAATTAAGTTGATGTTAGATAAACATTAAAGAAGTTTGATAGCGGAACAAAATAAAAAAAAGTTAAATGAACTTCTTTTTATATTTTTATTATATCTATTCATAAAAATATATCATCATCAAATCTAATTATGTATAATATATGTCTAGACCACTTCTTATCATTAGTATTTGTAATTAAGATCATTTTATAGTAACACTATTATTACAATATTAAAAATACAAAATGTAATAACCATCTTAACTATAATAATCCTCATGGTCAAATAATGACGAAGTAACTGTACTATAATTTAGAATGACTTAGAACAAAATGCAGATGGCAACTAAAGCAAGCATCAAGAAGGATCACGAAAAAAGAAGAAACAAGATGAGCATAAGCAATTCGAAGAAAGATTGAAAAATATTCCTGTTGGGTAAAAGCCTGATCCTAAAGCATATCCAGAAGAATGGATTAACAAGTGGAGATAACTGTTGCTAAAATAACAAAATAAGAAATGACATATATAAAATTATATAAATATGGGTTGTTGCTAAACTAATCCTAATGGTATTATAGTTTTAACACTTCTTAGACATGAACTCTGCAAGCGAAATGGGCAAGGAGTTAACTGATATTCAATTAGCAGAATATGAACCAAACATTATCAGTTTAGAAAAGAAAATCAAAACCCCTGACTAAATCATTAGAGCCGAACCAGAAAAAGAGAGAGCCTTAATTAAAGAATCTAGTTACCACAAGGACACTAAAAGTGAAAAATAAGAAGAGGAGTCAAAACGAATTACTGAGTAACCAAGCGATATCAAATGGAGCATCAAACAAAGCATGTTTGTCAAAATCAATTCTCGTAAAAATGTTGGTGAATACTATGTAATCAAGGAGTTAATTGGACAAGGCGGATTTGGGAAGGTTTACAAAGTGACACATCGTTAAACTGGTTACATTTTATACTCATAACAGGCATGGTTAGAGCCATGAAGTAGATTCTAAAGCAGCGCATGAAGAAAGAAGACTAGCAAAAATTACTTCAAGAAACCCAAATTTTAATGGATATTGACCATCCTAATATTGTAAAGCTATATGAAATGTTCCAAGACGATCATTCTTATTATCTTCTAAGCGAATACTGTGAGGGTTATACATTATTTATATAATAAGGTGGAGAATTATTTGAGAAAATTAAAATTGCCTAATTTCTGACTGAGAAAGAAATTGCCTCTTATATAAAATAAATTCTTTCTGCAGTCTCTTATTGTCATTAAATGAATATCGTACATAGAGATCTAAAACCTGAAAATGTTGTTTTCGATGCTAAGCATTAGGGAGCCAATATAAAAATTATTGACTTTGGAGCTAGTGTCAAAATTGAAAACTCTGAAAAACTAAACAAAAAAATTGGAACCGTATTAATTGATATTAAATTAATATTAGCCATTTTATGTTGCTCCAGAAGTCTTGTATGGCTCATATGATGAAAAATGCGATATTTGGTCAATTGGAGTAATCTTGTATGTACTTTTATGTGGATATCCCCCATTCTTTGCCCAAAACGAAGCTCAAGTTCTTGCAAAAGTGAAAAAAGGAACTTATCAATTTGATTCTCAAGATTGGGCTAAAGTTTCATTATAGGCCAAAGATTTAATAAGAAGGATGCTCTTTTTTAATCCATCTCAAAGAATAAGTGCAAATGATGCTCTATAACATTAATGGATTACTAATAATAAGTCAAAAGGTTAACTAAATAATTTAAGTTTGAAAAAGCTTCAAGATTTTGATTCAAAAAATAAACTAAAATATGCAATTCTCTAATTTATTACAGTATAAGTAATTACAAGTTAAGAGAAAGATGAATTAATGAAAAACTTTCAAGAAATAGATAAAAATGGAGATGGCACTGTAAGTAAGGAAGAATTATTAAATGGTATGAGTTTTCACTATTTAGCTTATATTAAATTATATAAAGGTGATTAACTGGCTGCATAATCGATTGTAGATGACTTATTTCCTCATTTAGATGCGAATGGATCTGGGAAGGTAGATTTCAGTGAATTTATTACTGCTTCAATAAATAAGGATAGGTCATTGAGCAAAAAGAAAATTGAATAATCTTTCAAATTATTTGACTTAGTAAAAATAAGATTATAAGGTTAGGATGGGAATGGACTTATAACAAAGACAGAAATCAATTAATTGTTTGGGGATGAGATTGATGACAACATGTGGAAGGAGATACTAAAGGAATGTGATGCAAATTAAGACGGGATGGTATAAAACTAAATAATGTTGTAGATATCATTAAGTGAATTTATCAATTTATTGGAGAGCAAATTTAAAGGAAAACTTTGATTATAAAATAATATTGTGAATACAATTAGGTCGTTTATAAGTTAATTGCATGAATAAGGCAATGGGAGATATTTTATTTAAAAAGAAATTCAAACTTATTATTATATATAAATTTTTATTGTTGCTATTTATAGAGAAATATTGAATGAATATTATTTAGAAATATTCAGATTTATAAAATTCTTTGGAGCTCTTAAATAGTGAACCATAATAGTTGAATTCAAATGATGTTTATGAATATGTCGCAATTGATATTTCACCAAATTTAGAATGGTTGGCAGTTGGCGGTCTCTATATTGATAATATCGTTCTGTGGAAGATAAGTTACTAAAGTGAAACAAAGGTGATAGGAACTTAGATGAATGAAGACTTAGGATAATTAGAATTTTCAAACGATTCAGTGTTTCTGGCAGCTTGTGGATCTAGCACAAAGATAATAATTTGGAATATGAAAGATTTAGATGAAAATCCTGCTATTTTAGATGGACACTAATCAAGAATTTGGAGAATTTAATTCTTCAATAAACCTCAATTCGATATTTTGTGTTCTGGAAGTTCGGACTCATCAGTGAAGATATGGAATGTTACAAACAGATAATTATTGTAAAGTTTTAATATGAATGAAGATAATTAAATATATAGTATAGGAGTATCTGTTATGAATGAGTGGATTGTAACGACAGGAAATGATTCAAGAGCTTTGATTTTAGACAGTAAAAGGTTGAAGTTGCTGTCATAATATAAAATCTGCGACAATTAATTATACTAAGTAGGATTTCCTTATCATACTTCACAATACTATGCTTGTTCCGGCATGGATGAGTATGTTAGAATATTATCGAAAAATAAATTAATAAGAAAGATAAAGTTCCCAGAAAACTGGAAATGGCAAATTGAATTCACTTGTCAATCCCTCTTAGCTATATCTAGCATAAACTCTATATGGTTTTGGGATATTAGCAGAGGTATTCTATTGAAAGTGGTAGAAAACTTATTTTATACTTATCCTTCATTTCGTTTTAAGTATTTGGAAAAAGGAATCTGTGCGACAGCCAGCAAAACTATGATAAAATTGTGGATAAAGTGATTATAATGTTGTATATCACTAATTCAAAATTAATGAGGTTCTCCTTAAGTAGGTAGCAATCCAAATCTCTTTTTAAGTTCAACTCGATATTTCTAATTGACATCATCAGGACTAAATCTAGCTGATTAATAGATCATTTGTTGTACCAGGATGAGCATTGAATGTATATGAACCATCTTCAAGAGTATTCTTCAAAGTATAGACTCGTTTGCCCTCCTCATTCAAATAATACCTCAAATGCATTTTTATTAATAGTTTATAATAAATTGGGGTTTTTTTTATGTATTATATATATAGGGATACATAAAAGATATTAATTAAATATAATGGATTAGACGAAGGAACAAATCTAAGAATACTTTAATGTTTTTGACAAGGATGGAAGTGGTTTCATAGATAAGGAGGAAATTAAGGATTTGGCAAAAAATGTTGGACTCGATTGGAATGATCATAAGTTGGAGAAAGTGATACTTCTTAATATCATAGATTATTTCAGCTCTTGATACAAATGGAGATGGAAAGATTTCATTTGAAGAATTTTACGAATACTTTTTATATGGTGAATAGAAAGAAATGGACGAATTGATGGAGATGAAGTTTTAACATATAAAAAGTGTTAAGACTCTTCAAAAATAAATAAGTTAAGATTATGGTTTGATAATTTAATTTATAATCTAGCACACATCCTTTAAAAGAATAAAGAAGAAGGAAAACAATAGTATTCTGTATCCTTGAATATTGGAGATAAATCTAATTTATAATATGTTGTAGAATTTGCTCTTAGAATTGGTGAAGAGAATACCAACTTTACCGAGTCTCTTCTGAAACACTTCGAATAAATTGATAATAATGTAGAATTTTCTTTCCAACTTAGACTATTTAAATAGTTATTAGATACTAATGTTATAATCCTGAGGTGCTGAAAGGAAAGCTTTAAGAACTTTTCGAAACCTTAGTTGAAATTGGTCTTAATATGATGCCTCTTTAACTCTCATAGCAATTAGCAAATTTAAAAGATGATTTAAAAATAGATTACGCCACTTTACCTGATGAATTATTGATTCGAATATATTTGGATAATGAAATTATAGATAAACTTGTTTTGGTTTATAGATAATTATCAGGAATGTTTATTTAGGAGAATACTTCAATATTAGCCAAACTGAAAATTTGTAAAAGATTTTTAGATAATTAGAAACTGTTGAAAAGTTCTAAAATACCGATCCAGAATTTTTGAAGAATCTTGGCAGAGGACTTCAAGCTAACTTTGATGTCACTACCTCAAGCGATCTTGTAAAATTGTTTTATTTATCATTACAGGTCGAATATGCCCGATAAATTTATTCTACTCTATTGGCGAAATATCATGGAACATATAAGGTAAAGTTTTTAGAACATCTAACACCATTCACTATGATTAACAACGCTAGATTACAATTCAATTTCGAGACATTTCAAGATTTAGTAGAGGAAATAGGATCTCCTTTCTTAAATTATTTAAATTAATAACTTGCGATATCTTCAAATTAAAATAATAATAATAATGAGTTCAGCCAAATACTTAACTAAACACCAATAGCTAATGATTTCCTAAATTTGTTGAAATCAGAAAAAAAAGGTATAATTAATATCTAAAATTTCAAGGACCAGTTGATTTAGTATTGATATCAAAAGAAGCCTCAATAACCATGACAGATGCGTCAAATGTGGTTTGATTAATATTAATTGAAAATTGAGCATCACATTTATAAAAATTATAGCATTCCAAAGACGTGGATATAGATAAATTTACAATAATTAAAATATATCAAGGTCCTTCAGTTGGAGTTTCTGCACCCCCTGATCTTAATTTGCTGAAAATATGTAAGAGCACAACAATTCCCAAATATACAAGACTGATTATTAATACAGTATTAGGTTAAACTTTTAAAGACGAAACATCGCCTGAATAGAAATTTAATCCTGATTAACCTCCTGTTTCAGATGATTTTGATGCTAGATGATATTTAGCCAATTATCTTACGACTCTTGCCACCTCCTTGTCTTCTTTTTAAAGCCTCCTTTATTAAATCCTTCTTTTCAGACATTTTTTATTTTTATTAATATGAATAATGTGCACGTCGTTTAATTAATAAATGTATTAGAATTGATCATTATAAAAATAGAATATTGATACATTTGTGAGCAGAGGTTAAATAAAATCATTATCATTTACATGCTATTACAAAACAAAATTATAATTCTAGTTGTAGATAATACTATATGAAAATGAAATTCTTAATATAATCCTTTAAAAACACTTTTTCTTAAAGTATCATACAGATACTACACATAAGTATGAGAAAATTTTGATAAGATTCATTATTTGAAATATCAACATCAATAATCTCAAATTATATTTGATCATAGTAATTAGAATATATAAATTTTTTAAAGTTTATTTTTTAATTTTATTCAGAAAAAAACTTTTAACAATTACATAATCGCATTAATCAGTGTATTTATAACTTTAAAGTACATAAGAATTAGAACTTTAAAATGCAATTTATGAATTATGAACCAGATTTAAATGAAATTCTAAATAGGGATGTATATTTCACCAACCTCTAACTTTTTCTATTTTGAAGTTATTAGAAGCCTCATCAAACAATTATCCTAAGAAAGAGATATTTTGTTTTAAATCTATGCAAATTCATAAGAAATATTAAAATATATATAATATTAAAAAAGGAAGATAAAAACAAAGGATATTGTTCAGGTAGAGGTAAAGAAACTTTTTTTATTGGATAATTAGTTAAAGCAAGAGCAGATGAATTTAAAAAAGCAATTCTAGAGTACACTCACACTAAAGATAAAAAAAAGAAGCCTTCTTTTATACAAAATTTCAAGATTGTTTTTTTTTTATAAAATAAAGAAATTTAACATAATACTAAATATTATTTTGCACATGCATATGTATTAAAAAATGGATTTTTAGTACAAAAAAAATTACATTCAAAGTGTCCTTTAGTGAGTAAATAGATAAGAGTGATTTAGAGAAAAACAGAAATTCCAGAACATCATTTGAATAAATTATAAATAGGCAGAAAGAATATTAGGTGTTATTTATGAAGCTGATTGAGAAATAAAATAATGAAATTATGTAAAATTGATAAAAAAAGTCATTTTTTAATTAAAATTTTATGAATTCCTTTGGTGAGGTCTTGATGGAGTGCTTTTGGTATCAGTTTTTTATCCCTTGATGCCTTTTTTTGATTTTCTATAATATTACTTTGAAATGTTTATAAGTAATTGATATCATCCACTTATATCAACTTATAATCAACTCCATTAGGTTCTTCTATAGGTTCATTACAATTATGCTCAATATTCCATTATTTTTGCTCAGAATCCTTTTCGTTTTAGTGGTCATTTAAGTATATATCAGTTTGAATGTAGGTGATTTCAGGTTATTATTAGATAGTATGGTTCAAATGAATTTGGACTCTAGCAAAATTAGGTAATTCATTAGCTAAAGGGTTTTGAAGAGATTGTGGATTATATTCTTCTTCTATAGAAAAATTAGTTCCTCTTTTACCGAAGTTTGAGATGACTTCCGAGTCAAGGCAGGTTTCCAAACTTAAGTAAAGATCGTCAGAGTTTTAGGTTTTGGATTGACATTTTCGTTAAAGAGGTTTAATAAATTTTCTTTGGGTATATTCTATCACCTGTTATTTTTATAATTAAAAGGTTTCTTCCTACATTTAAAATATTACTAATCTAACTATTTAATTTATATATAATATATATATTATGCCGTAAGAGAAATAATAATTAAAATGCAGTAATAATCATACAACAGGAATATTTTTTAAACTTTTAGAAAATTTCTTAACAGCCTTGATTACTAAAATGGCTGTTTTAATCTAGAAAGATTAAGATCAATATAAATACTCTGGCAGGTTTACGAATGTAATTTTACATTTTTTTAGTTCTTCTGTCTAACCTAAGAATTCTTTGTTGTTCATAAGTTAACACATTTCTATTTTAGGTTTTAGTAAAGAAATTAGAGATTTCTGCCACTTTTAATTCATAACAATAGTATTAAGCATAAGCAATAAGTTCTTCTTCACCAAAAGTCTAAGAATTTAAAGAAACATCAGTCATAATTTTGGCTTTCTATTTTTAATATTGAGGTATAATTTTAGATATATTGCTTTCTGGATAATAGATATGATATTCATGATATTTTTCAAAATTAGGGATGGATGAGAATTCCTTCCATTCTTTTTTACGTGACAATGATATTTTCTTATGGAAATCTTCTAAATATTTATTAATCCTATCCAAAGCAACTTTATCGAATTGATCATCCTCTGATCCACATGAAATTGTTAGTTTTCCCTTGGGATCACGACGGATGATAGTGGTAACTTTATTTGTGGTTCTAATTCTACGTCCAATAGATTCAGTACTGCGGCCGACAAAATCAATTTTACGATGTTTCAGTCTCACTGACGATTTGAATCTGCGATCGAAATTGTCTAATCTATTGATTTGATTAATGGCATTTTCATCGTCTTCTTCAGTTCGTATACTTTGAACTTCTGATTACTCTATGCTTATTAACATGTGAGATTTGTGTTCTTAATAGTATTGTATCTTCTTTTCAGTGTTTATGTACTTATCCTAAATGCGAGATATAAGTTTGTGATGAAATCGAGCATTGAAATCCATTCGATCCTTTCTAACAAAGGAAGACTATTAAACATGCTTTACTTATTATAAGAATGCCAAATAATGTGATGCCTATCTAATATCAATCAATTAATTTACACTTAGAAGTGCAAAGACGGGCAATCTCTGGCAATATGATCATCCATCTAACACATATAACATCTTATGCTTATGGCACTATAATCTTTATCAAAAACTATTTTGTGTCTGATTTTAAAGTAAGTTTGAACATCATTACTATGAGATCTTGCTAATTTGAGAAAATCACTTGAATTGATTATGAAAATATTAGAGAAATCAACGCTTTTAGTGCTGGCAGTTCGTTTTTATCCAGAATAGAAACTGATTTCTCCAAAGAATTCATTCTTACCTTTCTTATCAACTGAGATATTTGTTTTCTGAAAGTAGATGTCCACTTCTCCAGATTATATCATAAATATGTCATATGATTCTTATTCAGACTCATCAAATATGATTTCCTAAGGACAGAACACTTTCTCCTTCATTATGGGCATCACTTACTATACCAGAAAGTCGTAGGAATGATTTGACCAAAAGATATCCAAATAACCAAATAATTTACCATTCACTTATTCTTATAACTCCTTTGATAAATCCACTGACAAAGCTCCAGTTATCTATTACAAAACTACTCCTCCATTCCTATCCCACACATATTCCAAATACTTTCTGATTTTATTCTGAAGTGTCTCAGGAATCTTGGCTTTTTTCATATATTTATTTACTTAACTCAGCTTATCCTTAGTTTGACTTGACTTTTCACTTATTTTTTATAATGCAAACCCAATTGAATTCATTGTGAAAGCAAAACCACCACAAGCAATTAATAATAAAAAAATACCTAGAAATCTTTCAGTTGGATTTAATGGACTTATGTCTCCATATCCAACTGTAGTCATTGTTGTCACTCCCCAATACAATGAATTTATATATCTGATATACCAATCAGCATCGTACAAATCTCCCAACCATGAAATATTCTTATCCTCCTATTATGCAGTAAAGTGGAATATACAACCTAACAGATGTGCAAAAAATAACACAAACAAAAACAACTTGCCAAATGTTAATATTGCTGCCAATATTGAATTCAATTGCAGTATCTCATTAAATTTATCCATTATCTTCTTCAATTTGGCCAATCTCAGTAATTTTAATATCTTTATGAATCTCAAAAACTTCAGTAATCTCAACAGTTTTGCACTCTGGATGAAATTTGATGATTCATCCAATATTATATCATAAGGGAATGTAGTTGTGAAATCTACCCAAAACCAAAATTAGACGTAATCCTTAATTATTGCATTCCGATTCATCTTTAATAATCCATCTTCAAAAATACCAGTATTGAAATTCAATAGGATATCAAATGCAAAGATTCCTGTCGACACTCTTGAAAATTCTACACTTACATCAATCTCAAAACTTATTTATAAAGGAATGCTTATCATCTCGTACATCACTAATCCAAGACATAATAAGTCCCACATCATCTTCAATGACCCATCAGGACTTAAAATATATGGTTTTTCTATAGTACATCCTTTAATTATTTTTTTCAATAATCCTCTTAAACGCAATTAAAATTTCTCCCAATTAAACTCCACATATGACATTGCACTTGATCTTCTCTAAACAAAAATCAATCCCATACTCTTTCTCCAATTAAGTTTTTTCTTTGTTTTCTAAAGTACTTTAAATTCCTTCTTCTATTCCTTAATTTCCTCTTCATCTGAGTTCTCACTCAACACCAACTTGTCTCCTAAGAAATTATACTCTTTGCCCTCCAACACCTAGAGACTTTGATTGTTAGCCTACTCTATATACTATCTATGAAGCATTAGTATTTAATTTATAATTATATATATAGATCACAATATTTTCAAATAATTTAGCTTATCAAAACTTAAAGTAATTTGATGTCTTAGATTATTAATAAATAAAACAACAAATAATAATTATTTATAATTCTTTGTACTTGAATAACATAATTATTTTTTTATTTAATCAATCAAAAGTCATTCTTATTGATTCTAACTCATTTATTGAAAACATTAAAATTATTAATAATAGTTTTGTACTTATTAATTTCCTTAATCTTGATGCTACAAAGATTATTAGAAAGCAAACTACTACTATTAATGCTAGAATGACTATTAAAATTAAGGAGAAATCATCTACTATTGCAATTGATACATCATCATATTTTATTATAAAAGCATTGCTTAGTATTATTGAAATTCAATAGGAGATTTAAATTATTACTATTATTATTATTATTATTATTATTATTAAAACCATTGATACTATTATGCCATCAGCTGTTATTACTACAAATATTATTGATATTGCATTTAATTTGAACTAAATTTTTATTTTTAGTCATATATTTATTAAAGCTATTTATTCTTTTCTTATTATTTAGTAGGTTTAGTAGATTCATTCGAATTGACCTTTTAAGCAAATCGTTTGACATTATAATTTGATAGAGAAAACTTTAATACTATCTAGCCATGATGATTGAGAAAATGACTATCATGTAACCTGTTCAGTAATGCTATAAATTCATTTCTATATTCAATGGATAAATATTCATAGAGCCTTTATATAGGATAATTAGCAAACTGATCATTCACCAATTTTCGAAATGAACTATGTATATCGTTATATATATTTTTACCTTTCTGAAACCGAAACTTCTTCTTCCCATAATTTCTACCTCCATTATTGTCCAGCATATACTATTGCCTTTTCTGCCACATTACTACCATACTTATCCATCGACATGGACACAAAGTCCTTGATTAGAAAATTATCTAATAGGATCCTTTTGTGAATTTCTTAGCCTTTTTCCAATATTTACTGAATGATGTAATTAGCATATTATCTTCTTATTAGACAGGATGAGTTTTGTATAGTTCTCATAATGATTTAATTTGCTATTGATTTTGTATTAGAATCAATCAATTTTGGGTAAATATCTATAATTTTATTAACAAGCAAACAGCCATATTAATCAGTTGATAATTCTAAAGAATATTAATTTTGATTTAAAATCTAGTAATTATGAATTATTGTACATATTTATCAAAGATTCTTAAGAGTTAGTCTAAATTTTGTTCTTCGAAAACGTCTAAACCTTTTTAATATAATTGATTTCCAATTTTATCTGTGTATAATCTTCTTGTAAAATTGTTCTCCTCCAGAATAAAATTGATGTATTTTTAATATTAAGATCTAGATTCTGTTGAATACAACTACATAATCTCTAATCCCTTCTAAATAACCTTACAAGCATGAAGATCAGTGACTAATTTCTTGATGAAAGTAAACATTTAATCTAAAATAATGTTTCTAAAATTAATTGGTCCTTATCATGATATTAATCAATACCTATTTCTATTATTTTCTCCAATATGTAATGCTAATACTTGTCTAAACTGAGATTAACTATATTATTTTTTATATAAGTGTTGAAGACATATTCCCTTTCTTTATTATTGGCTTACTCATACTCTTATTACATTCTCCTTGAATTCTTTGTGAGCTTTTCATGGGTCAAATATGAGGACCTAGGATTTTTAAATTTAATAACTTGTACATGTCAGTCTAGAAAGCTTGTATCAATGAGGGTCGATAATTGTCTGTCAGTAAGACACCCTAGAGTTACTTATTTAAAGATTCGAATTCATCATCTTCTATATGATTAGTATTTTACCATCTTAATTGAGATGATCCTCAAAAAGTTAAGAACAGAGGACTTTAGATGAAATAGTGTTATCGAATAAACTTGGAGTTGCCGTGGAATCACTTTTGCTTGGATTACATTGATGAAATTCGTCTTAGTCTGAATTAAATTCGATAGGGATTTGATTTAACATTTAATTAATAATAAAAATAGCATCATCTCATTGATTATTAATTAGAAACTATATTTTAATAACATTTCTTTGGTTAATCTAATTTTAAATGTTCTTTGTAACATTACGCATCATGCCTATTTTAACAATATCTAGTGCTTCACTTTTATAGTTTAATAAATAAATAATAATGAATCTTGATCAAGTCATATCAACTGAAGAAGATTGGGCTCATTAATCATATCATGAAAATGATGACTTTGAATTTTCATGTTCCCCTATCATGTTTGGTCGTCCATCTAACAAAAATAAAAATGAGTTTGAATTAGACAAAGAGGATTACTTTATAGATGCTCCCAAACTTGAAGAACAAACAGATGACCCTGATTTTAATCAACTTTTAAATACACCATCTATTCCAATAAAAAAGAGGTAAATTAGGAAGAATAGAAAACTTAAAAATAACACAATCACTACTCTTTACAAAAGGATGTTCTCTGAAATTATTAATGATTCTTCATCTTAAGTTGAAATTCAGAAATAATTAGAACATTGTTAAAGAATGAAGTCTCTCATTGATGGATTAGAAAAGACATTGGTAAATGTGAAATCCTTGCTTGTTCACAAACTGAATTAGAAAAACTAATGATCTAGTTTCATTACCTAGTTTTCAATCTGAGTTATCAATATAACTAATTCAAATAAGTAAAATTAACTTTTTGTTTGTTCTCTTTTCCAAACCCAATTATTAATAAAAAAAACTCTATTTTCTAAATTAGATATCCCTAATCTCATCTTATTTATACTATCCCCCTTGTTCTTAACCATTTTTTATTAATTGCTTTTGTTAGTCGTTATTCCTACATATTTTTAATTTATCATACATCTGAACCCAAATCAATCTTGGTCTTCATAAGAATAGAACTGAAAATAGAAGTCTGATAACAGCCAATTCCAAAAACCATTAATTTTAAGACTCTTCTCTCTTCAAGGAATATAATGAATTTCCTCAAAAAATAAAGTTATAAAATTTTAACAAAAATTAAAGTAAGAGTATATATATTCATTAATAATTATATGAGTTTAGAAACCATCCATCTGGAATGAGTTGATAATCTAAATCTTCTGAACTGTTAATCAATTATCCATCTTACCAATCTCCAAATTTCTTTTTCCCATCCTTATTTATCATAAGTCCTTTCCCATGCTATCTACCATCGACCCAATATCCCTAATATTGTCGACCATCTGGCCAATAAAATATTCCAAATCCGCATTTTTTATCATTTTTGTACTCCCCATCATAATACTTTCCATCCTTCCATTTATATAGACCTCTGCCATGCATTTAATTTTTAGTCCATTAACCTAAATAAGACTAATTGCTAATAAAATCCATAAATTACCCTACCATCTAACCATTCGTACTTTCCAACTCCTTAAATCATATTATCTATCCACTATCCTTCATAAACACTTTATTAAATCCATTTGTAACAACCACGCCCATTCTTCTTTCCATTTTTGAATTCTCCTTCATATACCGATCCATCTAACCACAGTTCTTTGCCTTTACCATCAGGTTTCCCTGCTTTGAAATCTCCTGTATATGTTGGACCTCGTTTGTAGATGCACTTTCCTTAGCCTTCCAAAAGATTGTCTATAAAGTTTCCGACATAAACATCCCCATTTAGAGCAGTCAATTGACCTTGACCATTTGCTTTACCATTTACAATATCTCCTATATAGGTTGAACCATCTTGAAGATTCAATTAAGTTTAGACGTTGTCAACTTCATCCTTTCCTTAATTTGAAAACAATGTATTATATTGTTCTTTGTAAAAAGTTGATGAATTAGATTTGTTATCTAGTGAAGGAGGCTTTTCTAAGAATAAAAACTAAATTACATGGTTTTTTTTCATCAACTTCATCATATTCTGGATCAGAATCTGAACTTAATTAATCATTTCTATTGACTTCATTACTTTGTATTCCATTACTTAATTAACATTTTTCACATTGTTATCCCATTTTTAATTATGATCTAATTCTCAAATGACTAGATTTACGTAATTTATAATAATTAAATGGGGAATGCAAGTACATGTTGTTCACATCCTGTTATACAAAACAAAGAGGCTATAAATACTTAATAAAAGATTATGATAGTGAATGAAGAGTGTGATGTTCGTGAATGGGAAGCAGATGATTTTGTAAAGATTGGTCTTTGTAAATCAATTAAATATTTTTGATTCAGAAAGTCACCCAGTAAAAGAACACAAGCTTTTTGATTAACCATCAGTTATTAGAAGAATGGAAAGTGTTGAAGGACCTAAATTAGGAGAACGTTTGGAACTATTTCCAGAAATCGAAAATCAAATTGTGCGAACTGTTTTGGCTTAATTGACTCCCTTGGTAATACCACAAGATATGGAAAGAGGTGAAGAGAATCCTCCTATCAAATTTGACAATGATTTCATTTATCATGGAGAATGGAAAGATAGTCAAAAGCATGGATATGGGAAATTGTTGTGGCCAGATGGTAGTTATTATGAAGGGGGATTTGCAAATGATGAAACATCTGGTTTTGGAAGATTAATTCATTCTTTTGGTGATTATTATGAAGGAAGTTGGAAACATGACTAAGCCAATGGTTATGGCAAATATCACAGGTACAGAAACTAAGCAACATATGAGGGGAACTGGGTCAATGATAAACAGTAAGGTTAAGGCAAAGAAACTTGGCAAGATGGATCTTCTTATGAAGGAGAATATAGTAATGGAAAAAAATAAGGAAGGGGGATGTTTAAATGGGGCAATGGCAATATGTATATAGGAGATTTCAAAAATAATAAAATGGATGGATATGGAATTTATTATTGGAAGAGTGGTAAAGTATACGATGGGGAATGGAAAGAAAATAAAATGGATGGAGAAGGAGTAATTAATTAATTCTACATATCATAGTAATTCAATTGGCCAGATGGTAGGAAATATAAGGGAGGATATAAGAATGATCTTAAAGAAGGGTATGGAGTATTCGAATGGTCAGATGGACGCTACTACAAAGGAGAATGGAAAGAAGGCAAATAACATGGCAAGGGAGTACTCAGAATGGATTAAACTAAAGAAATTTCTGCTGAATGGGCCAATGGCAAAATGCTTACTGAAAAATAAATTGAATAATAAAATACAGGGTCATGATACTTTTTATATATAAAATCATTCGTATACAAGAAATTCTATAACTCCTGGATTCTCAACTTTTCCATTTGAATAATGAAATAGTTTTTTTAATAATTTTATTATTACTTCCTTTTTTTAAACTACTTCATTGAAAAATGAGTGTGTTAATGATTCTGCGATTAATCCCATCTAAATAAATCCTAAAATTTTTGGATTTTCGAACAAATTTATGCTGTGAAAGATATTGCAAAAGTTGAGTAAAGAGCTATTAATTTGTTAAATTACTATTTTCCCATTTTCTAATTTATTTCTAAATGGTTTAACCTGGTAAACATATAATCCATACCCAAAATCTATTATAAACAAGCCCACAGAAGTCAAGGTGGAATTGGTGTGACAGTAAACTAAACATAATGGATAAAGTAATTTTTTTAGACATTATACATATAAATGAGAATCAATTCTGTATTTCTCTGGAGATTTATAAATTGGATTTAGTTTGTTATCCTTGCTTCTTAGAGTTATTAAAGTAGGCATTTTCACTGTATTTAAGATATATAAAAAGTATGTAATTGAACTTATGTTACTAATTGAGAATTCAACTATTTATGTTATATTTGAAATTCCCAAAGATGAACAAATTATGGCATTCATGCAAATCTCTAATCCACAAAACACAGTTAAATTTTATATTTTCCCAGATAAATTGTTTTTATTCAAATTATGAATAAACTTATTACCAAATATATGAAATTTTAATAGTAACTTATTTTATGTTCTTAGATCCAATGTTGATTATCTCATTATTTTGGACAAAGATTTTAAACCATAATGAGTCATCACAGTGAAGGCATAAACCTAAGTTATTGGCACTGATGTAGTTATAAAACTACCATTTCTTTCAAATTAAGTTGGAATGAAAAATGGATTATAAAGTGAAAATGATGATAGTATGTTATTAAATGATGTATTTTTGAATACTTAAAGAAATTCTTGCATATTTGGAGCTTAAGTGATGTTGAGATATTACTAATATTGGATGAATTACAAGAGATCAACAAAATTTAAGAAATTATAAATTTATCCCATTAATAATAAAGCAGGTAGACTGATAATAATAATATATTGAATAGTATTTGCAATATTTTAGAGAATATCTGTTGCTAATTATTCCGATTCAGAGAGTAAAATAATTGATTGAGTTCTTAATTAAATAATAGTATCTTATAAGGTTTGATTAAATTGATTCTTGATGCAATTTCGATCATTTATTTTTAATTGAATTGTTGGATTATAAACAGTTTATAGATATATAATGTGAATAATCAAGTTCTATGATTAATTAATAATACTTGAATTAATAAGACTATTGTCATCATCAATTAACTGGATTTTAATTATTTCATGTATATTTTTGCAAGCAATTTTGATTTCTTGATCAAAGGAGAGATTTATAAACTGAATATTATTGGTTTGATTAATTTACTATAATTACATAATAGGTTGAGACTAATAATAACAGTATTCATAAAAACATAAGGTATTATTAACTTCAAAAACTTGTAAGTTTTGAATTTATTGAGAGTATTGTGTTAATTGGCATTAATTATGTTCATTTAATGTGTATTCATCTTCACAAGTGTAACATACTCTATCAACACAATATTTACAATTAGATGAACAAACTAAGGTACAATTCTCACATAGAATTCGAGAATCACACTCTTCATCTTCAGTTTTGATGTAATCTCCACATTTACTATAACAAAGATTATCATAATCACTTGCATAGTATCCTTTCTCACACTTTTCCGGATCATAACATTGCATTTTTGATATGATCAGCTTTTCGGGAGCTTCACATTCAAAGCATTGACCAAATTAGCAATTTAAACAACTTCCAAAGCAATAAAATTAACAATTAAAACATCCATCATCATATATATTATTGTTATCATCACATTCTTCATCCAAAGTCTTTATCTGATCTCCACATAAAGGTTCACATGTATCAAGTACTGGATAATATCCTTTACTACATTAAAGACAGATATCATTTAGACAATGTTTACAGCTCTATTTACAAATTGGAACATTATTAATAAATTACTAATCCTCAATGCATATGGAGTTAATCAAAATATAATTATTTTGACAAACTATACAAGAGTCTGAATTGCAATAAAGACAATGTAATTCACAATGAAAATGAATGAGTTAGCATTCTTAATTAAATGGATTCCACTTAAAATCTAATTCGCACTCTAGACAATCAGTATGAATTTGAAATTTGCAATATCTAATAAGTGAATTTGCATTGAGATTCTCTATTAAATATTATTGATATAATTATTAAGACCTAACAACAGTTATGCTTTCACATTATTGAGTATATGGATTCAAGTTGTAATTCAATGAACATCTGTAACATATTCCATACATACAACTAATACATCCGTAATCACACAGATATCTACATTTATTGCAATTTTAATGGATCAAATCATCACATTCTTCATTACCATTTACATAACCATCTCCACAAACTGATGTGCATTTATTATTAAATAGATTTAAGGTATATCCAGTTTCACATTAAGTACAACCATTAGCAGTACAAGTAACACATTGTGATTAACACATTAATTGACATTTATGACATCCATCAAAGTAACTATTATTAGCATCATCACATATTTCACCAGATTTCACTATGCCATCACCACATGTGGGAACACATTAATTCTTAGTTGAAATCAATGTATAACCAGATCCACAGAGAGTGCATAAATTACTTGAACAAGTTGTGCAGATTGGAGAAGGTTGACACTGCCATTAACAAGTAGAACTACAGCCGTCATTTGCAATTAGATTGCCATCATCACATTATTCAGTATCGAATGAATTAGATATTTTTAGACCATCACCACAAATTGGAACACATTTGTAAGATCCAGCTACTGTTTTATAACCAGAATTCCAACAGGTATTACAGACTTTCCCATTGGCTGAACATTCCAAACAATCTGATCTACATTTGAATTTGCAATTGTCGCATCCATCATTTGGATTAGAATTAGAATCTTCACATTCTTCAGTACCTAATATTACTCCATCTCCACAATGTTCTATACATTTATTATTGATGATATCCAAAATGTATCCACTTACATTACATTTAAAACACTCTCCCTTTTAACAGTCTGAACATTGAGATTGGCACTGAAATGTACAACCACTGCATCCAATTGATTTTATTGCATCATCACATTACTCTGTGCCTGTTACATAACCATCTCCACATACATTTGTACAACTGCCACTATTACAACTAGGACAACTCAAAGGACATTGATATTAACAATTATAACATCCATCATTCATAACACTATTTAAATCTTCACATTATTCATCACTCATTATGATATTATCACCACATACAGATTAACATTTATAATTAATTATAGATTGACCAGTTGAACATACAGGAGTGTAAGCGCAATTTACATTAAACCATTAAATTGAACCATTGCAATCAAAATAGCAATCAAGTAATGATGGAGTTTCAATGGCAGGACAGCTATTGCAATATGTAGAAATTCCACTGTCGAAATATCCAAGATTGCACTTGCATTATAATTAATATAAAGATCTAGTTGAGTCACACTCTAAGCAATTGTTGTTATTGGGTCCAAAGCATTCCTTACAAGATAAATGACACTCTAATGGCAAATATATATTTTAATATACCTAAACAGTTCCCATAAGTTAGATAATAATGACTTTTACAAAGGCATTTACCATTACTCTTCAAATCATAGTTTTTTAAAGTGTTACAATTTGTACAATCAGTGCTTAGAGGCCCATTACAAGTTAAACAACTATTATCACACTTGATGCAAACATCACTTCCAGCTTAAGCATAAAAGGACTCTTCACAATCACATACTCCATTATTTGAGATTCTCTTGTTGATTTATAAACAAACCATACAAAAATTATATTGTAAACAATGCTAACATAATGGATCACATTGATGACATTATTGATCTCCAGAATCCAAATAATAACCTTATGAACATGTACATTAGTCAGATATTAAAACTAAGTTATTAATACAGGTATCACAAAGGTACTAATTTCTGCAACTGCTACATAAAGTATTACATGGATTGCAATTGTAATTTTGATAGTATTAATTTGACAAACAATCTACCTAACTGAATTTCGCTGTATAATAACTAGCATCCCACGAAGTGCATCCTATTTCTGTCGAATCTGTGCAGGCCAAACAAAAGGGAAAGCATTAATGTACAACAACATAGTAATCTGAAATACCACAATAATGATGTAATAAATCTCCATTACCTTAGCATTCAACTGTGGTAGTTAAAGTACTCAGAGAATGAGAAATGTGCCAATATTTATCAATAGAATATTCAGTTGGACTTCTTCCAAATATATTAATTGATGATGGTCCTGTTGTAATTATTTCTTAACCATTTGTATCAAATTCAATTATAAATTATTGACTAAATTAATCTCCTAGAATTATCTTCATCCTTATTGATATGGCATAGTGAGCATTAGCAATTGAATAAACGTTGTTAAATTTAGCATTTGTCCAAACATAAGGTCCTCCAAAGATTTTTTTAGTATATAAGCCAAAGGTTTGAAAATCTGTGAGAAAATTTTAATAGTTTTGTGATATCAATGTGAAATATGTTTCAGGATCTTGTTTAATATTATAATTGCTAAAATCAGATACTAAATAAGTGGAATAAGGGTATTCTGTTTCATAAGTAATAACATGAGTAACGTTCAAACTTAGTCTATCACTTTGCATAGTATTTGTGCATAATCCTTAATAAATATAGTAGCCAGGTGAGCATTAAGAACATGTAAAGTCTGATGTGCAAGTGAGACATTCTTATTAACAATATCCAGCCACTAGTTAGACTTAAGTAACTCCCCAAACTGTGGTAGTTATTTACATATTTCCTTAGATTCGCATGGTAAAATCACCTGTTGGAATAGGACAGATAATAATTAATGTGTACTATTATCCAGAACCAACTCCAGTGCATGATTAAGTTGTCTTTTTTATGATATACCCATTTTGCATTGTGATAACACTATTTGAATTATATAAATAGGCTATGTAACCATTATTTATAGTAAAGACAATGCCTTAATTTAAAGGGATAGGGTTGTAAAGATACAGTATTACTTTGATTCTTAATTTATGTTTGTATTAAGTGGGTTGAGGGATAATCTTTTCCATGCCCTCACTTCCAGTTAGTAAACCAAAATACTGAGAACATTTTAGTGTGGTTGTTAATCCTGCTGGATCATACAATCTAATCCACTAGACATTTGGGGAAGCATTTTTGAACTAATCATTGAGAATTGCCTGTTCTGTTATATCTGCACAATATTTATCAGAGTTAGGGTATTTATTGATATCGCATATTGGAACACAACCTAAAATAGGATCTAGATAGTCTGGGCATTGAGTACACAATCCAAATCCATTGAGTGATGTTCCAGTAAAACAAGATGAGCAACTATTTAAATTTGAACAGGTTTTACAACTCCAATGACATTTCTCAACTGCAAATATCAAATTCCTTATGACCACTTTACCATTGGCAGACATATTTGTTATTACTATATTCCCACTTGATTAGCCTGTAATTAAGACTTTCTTGGATTTAACTTCGTATTATTTATTATCACAAAATTCACTTGAATAGGGATATGTAGTTGGACTAGTATATGTAATAGTAGCAAATAAGACACTATTATAATTGACTTAAATAGCTTCATTGTTCCAGGTTCCCATATAAAAGAGATCAAACCACACAACAAATTTCACTTTCGGATACCCATAAGATAAACTACGATACATTTATTTATTTAGTGAATCTAAGTAATTCATTGCAAATCCCTCATTTACGCATGTATAATAATTCGGAGAAGCCTATTGAGTCCAACCGTCTAGATTACAACCTGCTGATCCACAACTAGGTGTTTTAGCATATAGACTAGAATGAAGGACTAAAAGTTCGCATTAAGCATTTAGTAATAAAAGCCAAAATATCATTATATAATAAACTGATTTAAATTATCCTCATTAATAATGCATATGATGCATATTATATGAATAGATTAAAAGGCTTAAATTAAAATTTTGATTTGACATAATACTTAAAGAAGTAATATGATCTTATAAGAATATACAAACTAAATGGAACAATCTTATTTCAATTTCATGAAGATGTTGTCAACAAAAATGATTGCTAATAATGAGATCAACATATCAAAAATTTTATGCAATGACAAGAGGATTCAAAATTAAGACAATAAATACTATTGGAATTCAAATTACGAAAAAATTGATATGTTAGTAACTAAAAATTAGAAATATATTTAAAACTAAATAAATTCTAGATTTATACTTTCTATATTAAATTGGTATGATGTACTATACTACAGTTTACTGATATTCAATAGGTCATTGTTCTTGCTTTAAACTTACTTAATTAATACAATTATTAGTTATAATATTATTATTAATATATCATTCAATCAACATTTAAGAAAAGTATTTTTATTTTGATTAATTTTGTTAAACTTTATTCCATTTTGAAAAATTAATCAGGTATACTTATCCTTTTTAAGACAACATCAATGTATTGATCAACCATTAAATGACGTGGTTGATAAATAAATATTATAGAAGGGTTAGATTCTACAGTGGATTTTAATCTTTTCAATCTAATAAAATAAATGGATATGGAAGATCAAGAAACTTCAATACCACTGAAAAATCGTAATTTTTAATCTAATTCTGACAACTTTGATAGCATATTAACTGGAGATTTAAATTTTATTGTCTTTTAATAATTAAAACTTTATATTTTGGTATTTAATTTCAGTAGTAATCTAGTATTCTTGACATTTTCTAAATTCATACTATTCCAAATGCTAATTTCAAATCCAAGTGTTAATTCTAAAGATAAAGTTGAATAAGTATTCTAATTTTGTATATAATTATATATTTCATTTAAATTACTTGATTATTTATGTTTAAGTTTAATAGGAAATCAAAAAAAAATTAAATAATCTAATGCATTGTTTTAAGATAAATTTGTAAATCGTTATTTTACTATTCTTGTAATCCAAGCTTTTAAAGAAACAAGACTAATGAAATTTCTGTATCATTACATAACCTATGTTTCAAGTAATCAATATTCAGATATGATAAGCTACAAATGACTTTCAAATTTTTGAAATAATGATAAGTTAAAATTTTGATCTAATTTATCCATGCTATAAAGTATAATATTACACATTTATTAGCAGATTGGACTAGTTGGTAGTATTTCTGTTTCCATCCTTCACAAGATCAAAATTAATAAGAATATTATCTGCTAGTTAGACAATATCAATATTGAAGAATTAACCCAGCTCTTAGATTGCAGAATTAGTAAATCTGAGATGGTGTTTTAATTCGATCAATTATTGGCTGCATATTTTATTTAAGTTTTAGGTCTGATTTCACTTAAAAATATTAGATATAGAATATTCTTATGGTCAAAAATATTGATTTCTCATAATGTAAGGATTAAATAGAATGCAAAGAGAAAATGTATAACATTTTAGTTTTTAACATTCCTGTTCACTAATAACTTTAATATTAGAGACTAATTATGATAGTTTGATGTTAAGCATTTAATAATAATTGTTTCTTCATTTACGAATTGGTATAATTATGCATAGAATAGAATGATAAAATGTATTCTAAACTTTGTTTCCTCTAAGCATATAGCTTTAAATTAAATTTAATTGGAATAATTAATTTGTTAAATAACTCTACAACATTTATAAATTTCATTTCGTCACATTATCAATTTTTTTTAATAGTTTATCTGCTTATTATTTTTTAACATCCCTTGCTTTGATTATTTTCTTCATTTTAGTATTCTCATTACTTTTTCCTGAAAACATCAACCTATCTACAACAATACTCAATGCAAATATCAACCAATATGATATAAAGGAGTAGAACATTATTCCTGTTATGCTAGAAATATCTGGTAATTTTTCTTTAATTTATTCCATCAAATATTTTAATTAATATAAATATGGATTAAGATTAAAGAGGCCTTTCACCATAAACTTCAAAATCATCATCCCATCAAAATCAAGTATCAAGGTCTAAAGAATTTCCACTTGATTTCTTTATCCAAAAGAAATTTATTTCTGATGATTTCAAATCAATTTTAGAGGAGGCGCAAGTACATTATCATAACTAAATAAGCAAAAATATTCAATCAAATCTATCCATATCAGTCCAAAGAATTAAATTCCAGAATTAGAAGGTTAAGCTTTACAATTGAGGATCCTGGAGAAAATAAAATGAATACTAAATGTGATGCTGCTCTTCATATAATTCAATTATTATAGGATAAGTGCAAATAATAGATAAATATCATTCTCTTAATACCAGAAGGTATTTATATTGTAAATTCTAGGAATTGTATCCTTTTTGATTGGCTCCAAAGGATCCTAGCTTGCCAAAATTATAGAAGAAACTAATGCCAAAATCACAGTAAATCAACCCATAGTCAATTACTCTCCTAGAACTGTTAAAATTGTTGGTGATCATAGCACAATCCATTCTGCTATTAGGGCAATAACCAAGAAGATGTAAGAGCGAGGAATATCATCTGAAGATTACAAGAAGGTTCCTGAAACATTGAATCCATAGAAAGTGAGTGTCAAAGTAAAAATCAATACTATTATTAACAGACGAAACTCATTTTTATATCCTCTGTTGTTGAATACATAATGAAAAACAAAAATGAAATCGAGAATAAATATGATGTCGAAATCAAAATTAAAGAAAGCAATGACATTAGACTCACTGTAATAATCTTATTATTATTATTATTTTATAGCAAAAGTGTAAATTAAAAAGAGATGATAAAATCATTTAATTGTTAGGTTCTTTATCCAATGTTTAAGATGCTTTGTCATCACTTATCAGAAGAGTCTCAGAACATTTAAAAAAATAAGAATTAGAAATCAAAATTGTTATGCCAGCTAGTTATGCATCCAAATTAATTGGAGCAAGTATATCTATCTATTTATACCTTAAGAGGGCTGTTAAATTAGGGAATTGGCTACGAAATCAAAAGGAGCATAAATCAAGGTCTTATCTGATAAAGATGAAACTGATCATGATTATTGTATGTTATTCCACTTAGTATTGTTAGATTGCATTGTGTAAATAGCAGGAAATCTATAAAACAAACAAGATGCCAGCAAATTGATTCTTTAATAAATAGAATGTTTCAAGAATGGAGGACCAGTATATTATTATATTTAATATAGATCATGGACAGTGGGAAATTTCTAAATGAGGATAATCTAAATTAAACATCTTAATTATAGAACAATTATGAAGATCATAAAATTAAGAGGTTTTCAAATAGTTCAATCTTATTTAGATAAAAATCCAGCTCTTAATCTGAAAGAAATTCACGTTCAAGATCGTAATCTAGAAGAAAACATAAACATCAAAGGAAAAGATCTGTTGAAAGAAGATCGGCATCATCAAGGTATTTCAAATTACACTATCTCTACTTTTTAGCTATTCTAAAAGAAGAGAAAGAGCGAATGTCTTATCTACAAAAATGATTGTTTCTAATGAAGTAATGCATATTTTAGAAAAATATCATAAATTAAGTGAATATAAAGAGAGATATAATGTAGACATATAAGCTGACGACTCGGTACTAATCCAATCTAAATAATTAGAGAAGAAATTCTGAATCTTACTTGAGATTAAAAGGCAAATTAAAAGATTGTTTAATTGTTATTGAAGAAATTTTGAATGAGCAACAAAAAATCCTAAGAAAATGAATATTAAATATAACAAAAAAATTAATAATAATAAAAATAACCTAAGAACTTCATAATAATTATTAATAAACAGATTAATAATTAATAATACAAACTCTTTATGTCATAAATCTACATACCCATGTGATTTGATAAATTATTATGTTACCAATTTTATGTAAATTATTTCTCTAATTTTTGTCACATCTTTAAATCTCTATAAGTAGAATTCAATTTTACCTTTTCATATTTTTTATTCACTTCTCTATTCAGAAGTTTCACCAAATTTTTAATATATTATAAATCAAAATAGTACTTCTATATTAATACTGAATGTCAAGATGAAATATGTTCATATAATTTGACCTTACTTAAATGTACACATTAATCACATATCAACTTCCCTCTCTTTTTCTAATACTTCTATTACCTAATTTTTACAAAACTACATTCATACTAAAATTATCTAACTTTTATTTGAATTTATTTTTAATTGAAAAAAGATTGTAGTTTAATAATTATTAAAATTGTGTTTTCGGAGAGCATTTATTCTTTTAGTGAGTTGATTGCCTCAATCCCGCTTATGTATCAGAGATATATCAGTATATTTATTCAAATAACAATATATAAGATAAATATATATAAGAATGTCTTCATTACTCCTGAGATTAAAGGTGATATCAAGTTATTGATCGAGTACTTGTCTTTTATTACTATTTTATCCTTCTTCTCATCACAATGGGATTTTGTTCAATTGAATATTATTTCTTTCTCAATACAGGGATAATGTGGTTAGGACCTTTATCTTCTTATTGTTGTTAGAAATTTTCTAGGCTACAAAGTTATTAATTGAGGCTTTTCGCATTTTTAGTAGCATAACACCCCATTAATTTATAATTATATTAATGTTTAGTGTTCTATGAATTGACTGATTATCAATAATTGCAATTATATATATTATAAAAACGCATAGTTTAGAGAGCAAAAAATGTTGAAATTTCTCCACTACAACTACAGCTTCAAAATTATTATTTGCTGATCAATATTTAATCACAAAATATTACAAAACTCCAGGATTTCAATATAGACTAAGTAATTATTAAATAATAAAGCATGTCTTGGATAGGATACCTTGTCTTGTATACGGTTCCAGCTGCGCTTTCCAAATTGTAAAATTTACATACAAAAACGAAATTTATCATCATTTTAACTTTTTAATTGAAAACTGAAGAAAATACTATCTAAGATAAATTTACTTTTTTCTTTTCTTTCATAAGGAATTCCTATCTCTATGGTTTGCCTCATAATTTATTATAGTATTAAACAAAAATGTATCTTAGATGAGGCGGAGGCATTTAAACTTTTTAGTAATAATTTAAATTTTAAATTATGAAATTATAGAATAATATCTAAATTGTAATATTAAACAGATATAGAATTTGCTTAAGGGTGTTGTTATTTGAAAAGTATTACAAGTAATTTAAATATGATAGATTAATCAATTAAGAAATATTAAAAATTTTTAAATTGCAATCCAAAAAAATATTCTTCTATTAACCCTTGAATGTAATCATAGAAAATAATCACACCAAAATCGTCAGACAAAATTAGTATAAAAATGTATAAATTGTATTTGTATTATTGACTTTGAGTGATTGGAAATTAACTAATTCAAATGAAAATTAATTTATCATATTATCTACAAAAAAAATTATACTGCTATTAGAAAATTTATTCTTTTCTCTCCGTAAACATTATTTCATCAATAAGAGAACTAAAAATTAAATAAACTAAAATCAGAATTTTTGTTCTTCGCTAAAAATTAGCTTTATATTCTTTCAGAAAACATTTAGTAAATCCTATTTAAATTATATTAAAATAAAATATTTTATTCTTTGATGGCTTAAGAGGATAGCATTCAATTTTTATATTTTCATAGTTTTATAATTATGATAAATATTTAGTTATTATTATTACAAATAACCAAATAATATCAAATACCTATAATATAATATAATACAAAACTTAGAGTATAAGTCTAATTATAAAAAGATTAATGTCTGAATATAATTATGGAAAATAAGTCATAATTATAAAGTGAGATTATGTCTTAGATATTGTAACAAATTACACAATTTATAATTTTTCATAATAATAACTATTTTGAATTAATTATGGAAGAGGACATAGAAAATGGAAGTAGATAGGAATATTTAATTATTGTCGAAGTTTGATTTAATGTGAACCAGAATAATTAATCAAGTATTCTATTATAATTCGATTTATTATATTTGAATTACAAAATATTAAGATGATATTTTAAAAGCATAAAATATGGCTTTGATGAAAGAGTAAAATTAATAAATGAATAACTAGTTTCATGCCTATGGTAAAAATAGCATAAGGAAACAGAATTTAGAGAAAAGAATGTTATAAACAATATTTTTTCCAAACAAATGGAATTTTCATTACTTTTTTAATATGATGAAGGATTGCCAATAATTCATCATAGCTTGTATATCAGAAATAGATCATTCTTGGATAATAAAATTGCTAGTCTTATTAGCCAATGCAGGGAGGAAAATTTATTTGATTATGGATTGTAAGGAGGATCAAAGAAATGATGAATTGTTTTAGGCAGTGATTTGCGAATTGTTAATAGAAAGTCAATTCAAAATAAAGATAGTTGTAAACACAAAAAAATACGAAAGTCTGCCTACTAATTTTTGTGTAATAGATGGAAAAGTCTTAATCACCACTTCTACAAATTGGACTATCAATTCTTTCAATAAGTCTCATGAATGGATGATGCTTGATAAAAAATATGATAACGTAGTTGAAATGATTGAAATATTCGAATAAATGTGGAACTAATTTAAGTTTGTTACATTTATAAATGAAGATATTGCTTTGTTAGATAATGACGATTCCCAATTTCAGTCAGTGTTTACATATTGATAGGATTATGTTGTGGATACATTATGATTTGATATTAAAATAATTATTGTAAGTTATTTTTGTAATAGTGGCAGTATTAAGAATTACCAGAATAAATATAATCTCCAAATATAAATTTATTTAAAGAAGATATATATAATTAAATTTTTCACACACTCCAACTCCAGTAAAATCTTGACTAAAATTATAGACTTTAGGATATCCCCTACTCTTATATCTCTTCACTCTTGACTCACATAACTATCATCAGGAACTAAAGTAATGTAAATAAATAATTAGGGATTATATTTGGAAATATTATATATATTATCAAAATCTATTTCCTTGGTATTAGATATTTGTGTAACCCATTCCAGACAAGTATTATAACCAGGCATTGGTATTGTACCATTGTTAGTAGTTATAATATTATTGAGCATAAGAGTTAAATTAAGAATAACTATTTTAGCCATTTTAAACCTCCTAGCCTTGTTTTACATTCTATAGGGTTTCTTCTTTTATATTCTTAACGGTCTCTCTTTGCTCCTACTCATTGGATTTCTTTATTTTTCTAATTCTCTTTTGTTTTTTACCAACACGACCTTCATGTTTATATAATGATAAAATGGCTTTGCCAGTGGAAAATTTAATTCCAAATTACTTGGCTGCCTACTTTATTGTACAGACTCCTTATTAAACTTTATTAATAAAGGCTAATCTTGTTTCATCTGAGATTTTTGAATACTTCATTAAATCTAAATTTTTTCTTTTAATTTTCTTCAATTATAGGGAAATATTTAGAATTTAAATATTATACAGATCCAATTTAATTGATATAAAGTATTAGGAATTTGTTGTAAGAAATTTTAAATTAAATTTAATTGAGATATTTCAAGGTTAAAATGTTAGGATGCTTAGTTGTAGGGCTTATTATATTTATTATAATACGAATATATATATAAGTTAACTGCATAATAATTATTTTATATATTGTAGTTAAATTAATTGAATAAAATTTACTTTCAAATTCTAAAAAATTGAATTTACATCAATTTAATTTATAATTATTATTCAAAAAATATCCTTATGTTCTCCAAACTATTATTCGATGCATTTTTTTCTTTAAAATTGAGTCTTACTCCCAGAAGAATTTTTAGAAATTTCATTATCTTACTCTTTTGTTGTATTTTTGTCTTTCACTTAGATTTGCCTAAATATTCTATCATTAACATCATATTTACAGTATTCTTATTTAGGAATTAAATCAGATAGATAAATACATCAGAATCTTTAATTTCCCCTTATAAATTTTTATTGCATTTATTCTAAGCCATTTACGATATTATATCAGGCTGTTTTGCTAGTACTAGTAAAGAAAACAACTTTTTTATCGTTTTGAGAACTGCCTTGTACCTAAGTAGTCTCCCAAATAAAAGATTTTCCATTATTGTTTTAAACTTTTGTAGTATTATTTTAAATGTAGAATGCTCATATGGTCTGTGAACTAGTTTAGTCATACTAAGTTTTCAGAGGAGAATAAATACATGATATTTGTGTAAAAACAAATGGATCTTTTATAATAAGTAAACATTCTACTTTTTAAGAGACTTAAGTATGCAGTCTAGTTAATATTAGTGAAATAATCTTTGAGTAGAGGTATATGATTAGATCTGTTATATATTCTTTCGAGATGATTTAAGATAGATAAATATTAGCACTGTTACTGTATTGAAATACTTTTGATTCGGATGCTTAACCACCAAGTCCCATAGCCAAAGTTAAGTGTTGTAGATTCCTTGAATGGCATTTACTATTATTATTATATAAATAATTATGTAAAATATTCATTAGCATTTTAGACAATTGACTGCCTGATTTGTAGGATAGATGACTAAGTAGATTTCCAAACATTTCATGCAATATCGATAACTGGGTACTGATATTTTTGGAGGATGCTATTTATAACCATGACATTAAGCACAAGGGTACGCCTTATTACAACAAGCAAAGATAGGAATAGTATTACATGGTTATCTATGTTCACAGTCTTGAGTATAGATGATATGAGGGAATGTATTGACATTTTCCTGTATTTTCTATTGAGACTCATCTAAATCCTAATCAGTCTGTCCATCTGTGTGCATGGAATCAAAGTGATTATTGAATTCATTTTTTATCTCAGGAAGACTGGCCACTTTATCTAGAGCCTAACTGACAATACTATTCATCATCTATATGTCTTCCTATTTAAATCCAGGTATTTTCTATTAGATGTTATTATTTTGAATTTGCTCCTTAATTTATTAGGATAATCCATCTAATCTTTACTGTTTCATTTCAATCTTTTGCAGTCTAATGAGATTAAGATCTTGATCTTGGATGAACATTTCCTTATTGTCATCTAGAGCATACATGATGTCAGATTCTAATTGAGGAAAGTATGTTTGCCAAGATAAATCTAATTGTATAGTTCTTTTTCTGACAGCCAAATTGGTTTAGGTGGCGATTTGTGTGATTTCCCTGATATGTTTACCTTTGATAAACTCAATGCTCTCAAACAATTCGTCTTAAGTCATATCATAAATATTCTTTTTTATTAATTACTCTACTTAATCAGTCAATCCATTTTCTTTAGTTTCCCAAAACAAAAAGCCATTAACTGCACATATGATGCCTTATTCTATTAGTTTAAGCTTTTACAATATGTCTTTAGTCAATTACTCAAATTTTTATCTGACTTCTGAGACTCTTTCTGGCATTTTCTGAATAGAACTACATTATTCTTAGAACTCTCTATATTTTTCATCAAAGAGTTTACAAAATTGTTGGACTTCCATTGTCTCATGATTATTATGCTCTTCCAATAAACAATAAGCACAACCCAATCGTTTTTAAGCCTTACACAATGGATTTTAACAGATGTAAATTAGTTTATTTTTTTCATGATTCTTTTTATCACACACAGCTTCTAAATTTAAACCTAAGTATTTGATAACTGATCTTTAATGCATCTCTGTTCCTTTGGCAACTATTGATGAATGTCTCTTTTGCATTCTGATATTCTAGGGTATCTAAACTGCTGAAGATGACATTCTCTTAGTTGTTGGACTGATACCTGAAGGACTGTGTTGAGATGGACTCTGAGAACTACGATATGATTGCTTAGCCCAATCCCTCCCACTCTGAAGCATAGATTCTTATTGAATTTCAGTTGTCTTTTTAGTTGGAGATTTAACATTCTGCTTTTGAGTGTTTGTTACTTATGTTTTAGTGCTCTTCTTCATTCTCTTATTCAATTTAGAATTTAATATATAAATAAAAATTAATAACTCATAAAATCAATAGGCAATACTTTATGTCTAAATCAATTATGCAAACAATTTAGATGCTGATACATTCATCATGATAGTATTCTCATCAAAATCATGATGACCCTCCACTTTTCCAAACTATGCTATCTGGAAATCTTCTTCTAATCTTGACAATCTCACTGCCTCCTCAACTTCTAAGTGATTATTCCATATTAGCAATGCCAAAATGCAAGATTTCAGATTTTCTACTTAAATTTATCTATCATACCGACTTTTGCATCCAGACTCACCAATTGCCAATTATTTAATTCACCCACTATTGTTTCAATTCTAATCTGATCGTATTATTTCAATGGCTCTATGTTTAATCCAAAATTGGTTTTTAAATGCAATCCAAATTTCTCATTAAATATTTACAATTGTGGATCCAACTTCTCCTTCTATATTTTATATAATTTAGTATCTGGATTCTCTCTAAACAACACAGTATCCCTCTCTAAATAACTAATAACAGACTATTCCATAAATTATCTGATTCTATCATCTGCCTCAATGTCAATGGCATTTCTGGCTAAAGTCAATAGTGGCATCGTAGTAGGCCTTATGAATTCTGTTTGCATATTAAATTCATGCGCAATAAACGAAGCCAATTAAGGAGAAGGTACAGCCAATGTATTTTTAGAAGGAGTTTTGACTGTCTTTCCATCCAACTAATTGATAATCAATTACTTATATACCTTCACCAACCATTAATGATATGGGTTAGTTGGATTCGTGGCCATTTCGATGGTAGCTTCCTTATAGAATCTTTTCAATTAAATTGGCTATTGGGCTGAAACCTATTCTGAAAATCGAAATCTAACTATTAACCCTCTCATTTAATATTATATTTGAGATGATTAACAAATGTTATTTGTTTATATCAATATTACAACAGAAACTCAAAAGAACTAAGATGCTTTGAACTAGAAGTGTTTCTACCTTGTAATCATTCTGCTGAATCTCTTAAAAAGGATCAAAAATATTATTATCCATTTTCTCAAGACTAGTACTTGCAAACCTGATAAAAGATGCATTAATTTATAGATATTGTTATATATATATGTTATGATTGTAATAATGCAATCATAAATCCTATTTGGTTGTAATTGAATAATCAATTACAGTTTTTCCAGGCAGGTTCATTCGAACACCATTGTTCAGGAAATTATGTGTAAAACAACATAACTTCATTTTTGAATCTTAGGTATTCTTTGAAGTTATTGGCTTCTCCATTCAGAATGAAGAGAGATGCCCTTTAATTCAAGAACCAAACCATGTATGACTGAAAGACACGTTTCCACTATTTTTATTCAGACGTGTCCTTTTAGTTTATGATTAGTTAGTTTTTGAGGCTTCTGAATCCATTTATGTTATGTAAGTTACTTTAGTAATAATCTATAAAACGAGAGGTTTCTTGCTGCAGTTCCATTTCTAGAAATTCGAACTATCTTCCTCTTCTCATAGATTTCACAGCTTATCTTAATATGTTTCTACAGATGTTTTTTTTGTAGTCTCTTTAAGAAGGAGATGATTTTGATATTTTAATTAGGTCTTCATCCCAATTCACAAACTTATCAGTATCCTAATGACTACCATCTGTCTCTTCATAAAAGATTAAAGCTGCTTAATTTACATAGTTATAACTTGCCTCAAATTCTTGCATTTCAAATAAGTATGATGTCATCTTGACACCTATTTTTTTTAATATTTTAATATTTTCTTTTATTAAGTGCTGGATTAGAATAAATACTCAGTTTTTTTTTAAATTTTTACAAATAAATTCATTTCTGTTTAATCATTAATCCATATCTTTAGAAATATATTGTTTAATTTTATATTTGCATCATTAAATTTACAAAAAATCTTGATATATATACTATAAGAGGTTTGCGAACATATTTGCAATTCATCATTAAGTAATTTCATAAAGTTTTACAAACTATTAATTTAATCGTTTTTACAAACTCATAAGACTCATTAAAAAAAAAATAATAAAACTTAAAATCAAAAAGATAGAGATTTGTTCACCTTCTACCTTTGATGTCCTTAATCTACTTCTAATAATCTATTTTTAATAGTAAAAATATGATTTTTTTATAAGAGACAAAATAAAATTTAGAATTGCTTAAGAATCTTTTTCACATATTTGATTTTTTTAAATAAGTATTCCTTTCAAATCTTGATTGCTTAATTTTAAAATAATATCTTAAACGACTACATTAATAAATTAGTATTTATAATACTATTTAATAAACTGCTGTTTTTGTAACATATTCAGAAACAATCTAAATAGATATTCACTAATATTTATTTTTATTATTTTAATAATTACATACTTTCAAGATTTGATATAATCTCCTTAGAGAGGCTAAGCTACTTGTTTTAATAATACTATTACATTAGATAAAATGTATTTGATTTGTAATAATTATTGATTTATTTTGCCTTAATGGGATTTGATCTATGTAGATTGTAATATTTAACAGCATGAATTCATTGATATTGGAGTAATTGATTTGAGTGATGATAAGTTCAATAATGAGGGATGTTTTACATTTAAATGAAAAGATATAAATATAATAATTTGATTATTCGATATAATTATGATTGATAGTAAGAATATTGATTTGATTATGACTTTTGCATGGTTGATCAATTAATAATTATAAATCATGAGGAGGTATAGTTTCCCACTTAATGCTCGAGTTCTGCGACCTTTTGTGTGGCAGCAATTATTAATTGTTGGATTTGGCTTTTTTCCTTTTTGATTTCAGTAATTTAGGACTGTAATTTAGAGTTTTCATCCTTTTATGTGTTGATGGCCTAAAAAAGTTTCATAGTTTTTTACTTGTCTTAAGTCCCTTAACATAGCATCTAATGTAGGTTAGGTTGTATTTTTGATTTCTTCGTTGTTATTAGTGATTCTCTATTTCATTAAATGCAATTCCTATTTCAATTGGTCAATCTCATGTTTATAACTTTAGAGTAATTCGTTGGATAATTCGGTGATGTTCTATTAGTATATGAAAATTAAGTATACATTGACTAAGAGTAAATGATTTTTGGCATTAGTGGCTGATTCTTGATCGAGTTTGGAACTATGTGGTTGTTGCACATCCTACATTTTTATTAAATAAAAATATATAAATAATATTAGATTGACAAATTGATAATGGGAAATAATTAATCTTGTTGTTCAGTTCGAATACGACAGCCCACAAATACCTTGGATAAGAAAGAAGTGTTTCTCTTGTGTGATGTCCTTAAGCATTCCTAGGAGGATAATCACACCACCTACTTGGATAAACAATGTTTCGAAAGAATATTCTAAGACAATCCTTTATTTGGAGAACAAGTGTTTGAATACTGTTCGCACATATTGTAATCGACTCAGTTGCCACTTGAAGGCTGCATTAATATACGTAAGAGTTCGCATCACATTCTAGTTTAGGGTATATTAAGTACATCCGACATAACACCAACATTACTATAGATTTGCATGGAAAACTATGATGGAACAATCCAAGTTATAACAGTTTAACAGGCATTCCAATTCATAGGAGTAAGGATAAATATTTGATAATTTAAGTTAATAACATCTATATTCCTAACATTTTGCATAAGGAAATAACAGATCGATGCTCAAGTCTTAGAAATCCTAATCCATTCACTATTCAAAGAAAAGCAAATGAAGATCAATGAGTTCTTGTCAATAATAGAGGCCAATTTTCCATACATTTAAAAACTGATACGACTCTACTTGTCTTATCGATTGCTGTAAAAACCATTTAATCAAATGAGAGTTGCAAAGATAGATAAAGACTCATTTAGTTTGAAATACGAATGGTTGGCAATTATGGGTTTGGCCACATCAGAATTGCATCGTCATGGATAAGTGTCATTATTGTATCAATCTGCTTTGTAATCAATTAATTTACAAGAGATTTTGATTTCAATGCAACAAACCTAAACTTTGTTGGTAGTCACTTTTCAAGATGAATAAACCAATAAAAAATAAACTTTAGCAATTTATAACAAACGCTAATGGTAAGTTGATTGCAAAGACACAGAAAGCATTATTGCATTTCAAATATCTCCAATTTTCTACATCTACAGAAGTCAATCCAAAAACTATTTCAATAATAATGGGTTTGGATTCTCATTTGATTAAAAGTCTAATAGATATTTACTTTGGTTAGGAGTTTAAAATAGTTACTTTTAGAATTCACAACGAGTAAAATCCTATACTAATATTTAGCTATTAACAGTTGAGGTTTGGAGATGTGAAGAACTGCAATCAAAATTAAGAAAGAGTGTGATGGATGAAGATAGAACCTCCACTTTGAGTCCTAAAGAGTAAAAAAAGAGGGTTTCCTTTCGCTTATTGGACGAGAATCAACCTACAAGGAAGAGCAATTCAGTCACACCAATTACTAAGAAATTGAATTTTATTGAAAATGTTCCACCCCAATCTTAACCACCTACTCCTATGCAAAAGTTGTAAATCGTAATTTATTCTAGTCAAATACAAATTACTTAAGATGATTAGGAGAGTCCGAAATCTCCTCATTTTAATAGTGACAATCCTCCTACATTCAATAATCCTTAAGCTCAGGTGTTGAAATCATACCCGAATTCACAAAATTTAGTTAATACTCAATCTTAGAGCAAACAATAATAAAATAGACCATCACAATCTATCATTGAAAAATATGGCAATGGATAAAGACAAACTAGAAGCTATTCCAATAATAATGAAGTGCGAAAGAGTGTGGATGATATTCTTAAAAGATATGATAAGAAATAATGAATCTATATATCTATGTATATTTTATATATTATCATAATGAAATTTCAAATTCATCTTGACTATCTTAATTTTAAATTTCATCTCCTTGATCTTAATTATCCAGTGTACAAATATTGTTAATTTCACTTTTGCTGGTTATAGAATGTTCACTATTAGTTCTTTCATTTAAATCTATTTCAAATTATTTTTATTATTGTTAAGTTCTTAGTTTTTTGATTAATTATCTACTTTTTTTGGTCTTTTAAGTATGCTTGTGTTTTTTACCTTTCTTCTTTACTTTAACTTCATAGACTTGACTGCAATCTGAACACTAACTCTAAACTTTTTTATGATTTTGAGTTTTGATTTTTTTAATATTGGATTTAAGAGATTCTTTGGTTTTAGTTACGTAGGATTTAGGAGAAACATTTTGGATTTCATCGATTTCTATGCTTTCAGAATTCTGAGTGTTCTCATTTGTACTCTTAGCATCTTGATCAGTTTTAAAGTTTTACTCATGCAATTATTCAGAAAGTAGAGCGCATTTCTCATACAAATCTGCAATTGCTTGAAGATGAATTGCAAGTGGCACAAACTTCATTGTAAGTAATTATTTGTCAATATTATATAAGATGTCTCCCTGAGATTTATATTCTATGAAATTCCTTATATTATTTAAAATTCCTGTTAAATTTTTACTATTTGTTAAATTATGAATTAAATTACGAAATATATATAGCCATTTCCCTCCATCGATTATGGAGAACAACAAAAGGACATGGATGAGGAATCCAGCCAAATTTGGATATATTCACTTCTGAACGAGTTCCGATTATACTAGTTTACAATAGTTTAGTCCACATTCTACTACAATACTTTGGTGTGCTTACCTACAGGCTTAGGCAAGACATTCATAGCCTCTATGGCAATAATTAATTTTAGTAGATGGTTTCCAAAGGGAAAAATCTTCTTTTTGGCACCAACACGACCTTTAGTGGCTCAACAACACGAAGCAATGAAAAAATTTGGAATTGATGGCAAATTATCTAAAAATGATAGAACTTATTAATCTCAAATCTATTTTTCTACTCCTCAAACCCTTGATAATGATTTGAACGAAGATCTAATTCAAAACATAGTTCTGGTTGTATTGGACGAGGCTCACAAGGGAGTAGGAGATTATGCCTATACCAATATAGTGAAAAGACTCCTTTACAATACCAGAATTATCGCTTTGAGTGCGACTCCTGGCAATAACCTAGAATAGATTCAATAAGTTGTGGCAAATCTGAGAATCGCAAAGATAGAAGTATTTAATGAATGTAATGCCTAATTAGTTGAGAGATGAGTATGATCCAGAAGTCGTACCTTATCTCAAATTTAAAGCTGTTGAAAAGGTTGTGGTCTCATTCGATAATTGTCAAATTTTGGATGATCTTAACAAATAGATGCAGCCCTTATTAAATATCATATTAGGTTTTGGAATTCTACCAGTTGAGTTAATTAGAGTTTGCTCTAGAGCAGACATATTTAGTTATGGTGCTTGTTTCAAACTTCGAGAATTTCTGACCAATTCACATTTGTAATTTCAAATTGGACAATAAAATTCAAATAAAGTATTTGAACACCTATCTCATCTCCATAAATTATCATATGCCAAAAAGATATTATTAGAATAAGGAATCCAACCCTATGTTAAATATATGGAATTAGATGATATCGAAGAAGTCCATCCAAAAATTTACAAATTAAAAGAAATATTTAAGAATCATTTTGCAAACAATCAATCCAAAGTCATTGTATTTACAAATAGTAGAGATAATGCTTAATTGTTGTGCAATCATATTAATTAAGTTGAAAATGTCAAAGCTTCCATCTTTGTAGGGTAGGCAAGTTCCAAAAATCAAGCAGGGATGAAACAAAAGGAACAACTCCAAGTCATTGATGTATATACTCTATCTTAAGTAGAAATTTAAAAATGAGTTGAATGTTTTAGTGGCTACATGTATTGCTGAAGAAGGACTAGATATAGGAGAAGTGGATCTCATTATCTGCTATGATAGTGGATTCAGTCCAATAAGAATGATATAGAGGATGGGAAGAACGGGAAGAAAAAGAGATGGAAGAATCATTGTCTTATTAACTGAGGGTAAGGAAGCCGCTGATTATGAAAAGTCAGTCAATAAATACTCTAAATTAATTAAAGAACTCAAAGACTTTAACATCAATTTATATTCCAGTAATCCCAGGATCTTGTAATCTCAACCATAAATTAAATTCATTGATGGAGATATTGAATAAATAGATATTAAAATTAAATAGGATCCTATTAAAACTAAAAACAAAGATCTTAAAAAATAAAAAAGAAGTCATAAGAATACTGATTAACAAGAAACTAAACAAATTAAAATAGAAAAATTCTTTACTAAAAATTTGAAGGATATCTCTGAAGAAACTGAAGAAAAATAACAAACTTAATCACACTATCAACCTATGTTATTAGAATCAAATTCTTTTGCAAAACCAAAAAAAGTCTAAGCAAAAAAGATTTAACTTGGTAATATTGATAAATTCATAAAACCGAAGGAACAAGTAGAAGTTGTTTAAAATAAAAAATTACAAATTAAAGTGTAACCTAAGCAACCTGTTGTTTAGGATAAGTTTGTTATTTAAATCAAGCCAAAACCTTAGTTATAAGAAGAAGATTTAACAGTCTCAAGTTTAGAATAGTTTAATGAACTCTTGAGGAAGTAATAGAATTTTACTTCCAATTAAGATTCGAACACTATGTTTCAATTCTTAGATAAATTAGATTTAGAAAAGATCAATTTGAGTAGTTAAGACTTACATGAATCTGATTTGGATCTATCTAAAATAGCCGAAGATTATATATCTGATTGATTACTTTACAAATAAGGAATTTAAATTTTTCAATATTTTTAAATCTGATAATAATTTACGTTATCTCTATATTAGTAATTTGCTCTTCATTTAGCATGTTTTGTTCTTCTTTAAAATTATCTTTCCTAAGTTTTTCAACTTTCAATTTTTTTCATTTTCATTTTAATCATATATCCTATTATAAATAAATAATTATAGATATATATTGATAAAATAAAAGATTTGAAATATAAATTCAATTATTGTTCTTGTATTTTTAGTACATAGAGAATAGTCAATTCAAAATTTTGTCTTTTTAGCTTAATTATTTCTGCACGATTACTAATTTGCAAATGCTTAATGAATTAAATATTTCTTCTCCAAATTGCATAACTCTCTCGTTTAAGGTGAGTAGGAAGGAGATTTTTTAGCAGAGTTCTCTTGATTTTCAAAACTTTTCATATTTGAAGGCCTTGTGACACCTGATGCAACCATATTTTGACTGATTTCTATTTAATTTCGACTATTACTAGATAATCGATCACATTTATGAATAGAACCTAAAATATTGCTGTATAGAGAAAATTGCTATGCTTTATTAATTTTTGAGAGATAAAATTGATCTCCTCTATTTTTCTTTGCATTTGATCTTCTATTACTATATTGAAATTCTTGTAAATTAAAGTCATCTTCTTTTTCATTAAACTAATGTTCGAATAGAACCCTTTTCTGTTCAACATCCTGTTTGTAATCATACAATTCTTCCAATTATAGAGAATTCCCTTCATCAATTTTATGTTTTTCATAGCTACAAGGGGAATAACATTTGTATGTATTTGTTCTTCTTGATATTTTGGGAAATTGGAGAGGTGAATTGTCTTCTTATTTTTTCGTGCTTTCTGATTTCAATTTAAATTAATGTGGCAATATTATGTTTTTCCTTTCGTACAATTTCTCTTAAGTTATGATTTCACTCTGTTCCTTTGTATGAAATGGTTTTCCAACCAATGTCATTTTTTTTCTATAAACTTTTGGATTCTTAAGATCTAAGAATTCATAGAGTAAATAATTTTATTAAGGGAAAAGCAAATCTGCAAGTTTTTAAATTAAGATGATGAAATTATCAAGATTTAACTCCATATTTTTATCAGCATTTTGTTTAAACATTTAAACGAGATAAAATTTGGTTAATATGAAATTAGATCTATTATTATTTTTATAATTGTAATTGATTTGCTTTTTTCGAAGATTGTTATTTTTACCACCTAAGAATGATATCAGATCGCTTGAGATTTCTAGATCAATCAATTTGAAATCTTTACAAAAAATCATAAACTTTTATAATATCATGGTGTTGGAGAGTTGTTAGAGTTTTTCAAATGTTTAGTATTTATTGGTTGTAATTGGCTATTTACAATAAAAATTATAGATTTCTTTGAAATTTTTGAGCTAATCTCTGTCTAAAATCTAATATTCTTATCTAATTTCATTCAGTTATATTTGATTGGTTGGGCTTGAAGATTAGAACTGATTTTGATTCACATATGTATTGAATGAGTTGGCTAATTTCAAGTGTTAATTTTTCCTAAGAATAATTTATTTATGTTTTTCAATCTATTATTGTTGGAGTTCTGATATGCTAACTTGATGTTAACTTTGCTTTATTTCACTTTCCTTACATATTTAAGATTCCTTTAGATTACATTAGTAAGAACAATCAGGATCATTAATTTCTGTCAAGACTTGTTTCAATTCCAGATCGGATTCCATCTGTCTCTAATTATCAGAGGACAAATTGCTTTAACTGCTCATTGGATTTACAATGTTGTCAGAGTTTTTGTCTTCAACAATTTTAGGATTCTCCATATCAAGCAAATTGAGTAAACTATTCTGACTATTTTATGGAATAGACGAATGTTTATAGTAAGGTTTTAAGTTGGAAGGCTATTAATTTGGATGATTAAAATTTTGAGGAGAAGTAAGATGATTAATAATCATTGATTCTTCTATAAAGTTAGTCATAATTAATATTTTTGTTCGTTAAAATAAATGTAGTCGATTATTACTCAATGCCAAGATTTAGATGAGGAGTATAGATAGCTCGTTTATGTAGTAAATAACATGTTGGACAATCTGAGTATAGTAAGTCTTGAGTTTGTGAATTCAAAATTAGAATTTTTAGATAAATACTCAAACACTCTGAAGTCCAGTTAAATCGATGCTAGAATCCATAGAAACTCGTAAATGAAGAACTTAATCGAATACATTAAAATGCACACGAAATCGCAGGTGAAATCACTTGCATAATCTCCCCCAGCAAAGATGGCACATCATCGTCCAAAATATTCATTTAATGAGAAGGCTTTTTCAAGCATTCTCTATAGTAGTATAAATCAGGTGACCCAATAAAAAACTCAATATAATGATGAGCTTGACTAATCTGAATAGAAGCCCACTCTAAAATAAAAAAACTTAAATATTTTATAAAATTTAATTGGGAAATAAAAGTTTGAATAAAAGAGGGGGAATGATGATATGTTTAATTTGCTATAAAAATGCATGCATCTAATTTCATAGAAGTAGGAGTTCTATGAGGAGTATGAAAATTTGTAGAAGGAATATAAAGATATAGTTAAGAGCAACCAGAGTTTGTAATTCAAAGTGAATCTTGATTAAAAGTCATCAAAATTGAAGGAGAATTTAAATTAATTAATGGGGAGTCATTAATAATTTAAATCGTACCTCAATTCAGTTATTTGATTAAATATAGACTAATATCCTTTTAATTATAATTATCTCATATTTTTGAAATAATCGAATTTAATTAATATAATTCAATTTATCCTCATTATAAAATTGAATGAGCAATAATCAATACAATAATAAAAAGTTGGCTCCATTTAGAAGATAGAGAGATGTTCTAAAAGAAGAATTAAAAAGACTATAATAGGAGTAGACAGAAGAGGAAAAATTAAACGACTACTATTTTGACGAAATAGGTCGTGTTGAAAAAGTATTGAATGAAAAATATTGTAGGAATATGAATTTTTAATCAAATCTATTGAAAAATATAGCAAATAAAATCAGTCATTAAAAACCATATGCCAAACTGAACAAAACCAAGGTTTGGATGAAACAATAGAAAAAAATGTGATTGATACCTTAAACCTATTTCTTCTCAGCACTAGCAAAAAGGAGTATTTAGAAAGCATTTAAGAACAAGAAATATCCAAGAAACAGTTATAAGTTGGAAATCTAATGATGACCTAAAATTAGAAAATTGAAGACAAAGACAAAGAATAGGAAAAAGAAAATGTTATTCTAGACAATGGATACTATCTAAAATTGAAATAGGGCTATAGCTAATTAATAATTAAAGTACCAGGATCAATAAGGACATTCAAAGAGTTAAAACAAATAGTAAAATCATGTTGTATGGCAGAGGAATAGGAGATATTTTATACAGATCTTATGGGAAATGTGCTTCAACCTGAAATGAATGTGTTGGATCAACTATATCCACCAATTTATGAGCTGCTTAAAAACTATCAACCTGTTGTTTGCATACAAATAATTAAATAAAAAAAAGTAAAAGAAGATACTAAATAAACAGAAGCAGATTTTGCATTTGAAGGAGGTATCTAAGAATTGATGACTAAATAACTTAGATCAATTAGGAGAATTGAAAAATCTATTAATTGGTCTAAATATATGGATTATTTAACTAGTTTCAAGTATGTATTAGAATCTATATTGTTTTTATCCCTCTTAATTCTCTATGCTATTGTAGAAATCAACGAAATAGACTTCTTTACTAACTCTCAACTTTTAATGAACTTGAACCTTGATATGGCCATCCAAAAATCTTATTAATCTCCAATAACTAACATATCCTAAATTATATCTTTAACTATTCCCAATGGGTCGAACCATGGTTTGAGTCCAACGTATCCTCTTCAATCTGGACTGCTCGTTTAAACTCTTGTTGGTATAGTAAATATTTAATGATAATTAGGATGACATTAACAATTGTGACATATTAAATTAAAACCAAAAGTAAATCTATGTTGATAAAAATTAATCATGTTTGATGTTTGACATAACATAAACCAGTGATTTAAATGACAATTACTCCAAATTAGGTTTTGACCCAAAGGTATACAATGAATAATTTGGAGGCTACGTTTGGGAGTTCAATATGAGTACAAGGTAATCTTTTTAAGAAAGTTATGATCTCATGATGTCTGAAAATTGGTTTCAGTTCAATGTAAAACAAACTCAATTCCTTTTGAATTATTATAACAGTCCAACTTAGAGAGTCATTTCGGTCACTATCACTACTCTGTATCTTTTCAATGATGTAGATATTTATAATTGATTTCTAGCGACTCTTAAATTATAATAGTTTTTAAGCAGAAGGCTTTAATATAAGTGAACTTCCAGAACAAGTCCTAGTTAGCAAAGACATAATATTTTTTTGTTCTATTGTCCTCTTAATCTCCTCGTTTTTTGGTAAGCATCAATGAAATTGATTTTAGACTTCTTTGGATTGTATTTTGAAGGGACTAAAAATAATTTAATTGTGATTTACTTACAATATTTAGAATTGTTAAATAGGAAGAAAAAGATAGAGGCTAAGAGAAAAATGATCAGTGAAAGTGATTAGAAAAATATATAGTAAAAAGAATTGATCGTAGGAGAATATGTAATAATTAACTTAAAGGTTATTTATATTACAATTAGAATTCCTCTAGTTTTTGATTATATTTGTAATTAGACTATTTGATTATAGACATCTTATGCCAATTTGGAATGGTTATGAAGAACACTGTCGACTCTTACTATGAGGAGGCTTTAAAGGAAATAGTTTTGAATTCGGATTAATATTAAGATACAAATGCTTTAATTCAACCCTTATTTGTGGGTAGAGTATATTCAGCTATTTTGGTGATATTCTTAATGATTTCTATAGTGAGATTTATGGGAAACTGGAGTCCATATCTTAAGTGTTATGGATTGGTTATGATTAGGGTATATGATGTTAATTCTAATTGCATAGTTTAACAAAGAGTCTTGGTTCTTGCTACTGGTTTTAATTTATATAATCAGTGTTTGTGCTATGTCATGGATTGTAACTATTCAAGGCAAACTAGTAAATCATGATAATTTCTTCTATACTTTCTTGGGATTGCTTAGGTGTACACTAAGGTTTGGATTAGATAATGATCTTGAGCAATAAGGGTTTTATAATACATATGCCAAAGATGTTATCTATTCTTTTGAAACCAAATACGTAAAAACATTATTTAAAATATTAGTTGCAATATATTATAATAATAACCATCACAATGATAATGATTCCGATATTCATTTCTCTAATGACTGACTTAGTTCAAAATACAAAAGTAGAAGCAAAACAGAAGATGATGGAAATGAAAAAGCAGAATTAAGATTGATTTTAGTAGACACAGAGTCAGTTTATATTAATTTGACCTCTTTTTTAAGAATATTTATATACCATTATGGAATATCTATCTAAAAGTTGATTAGCATAGATAATCTCTACATGGATAATGGTTATTATTATTTATTAATATCGTTAATGAAAAATTATTAATCTTAACCCATGTAATCAAGTGGAAGAGGTAGTTTACAAGAGAATCCATAATTCATGGATTTTAAGCCAAAAAAGAGCAATAGCAAAATAATGAAGACTGAGAGTACAACTACTACTGCCAAAAATCCAAAATAAGATTTATTAGAGTACTTTAAAAAGGAGAGGAATACTATTACTTAGGTAACTAATAATATCAAGACTTAATTGTAATAAAGCAGAAGCATCGATAATTTAAATAGTCAGAAAAGCGAACGCTTAAAAATATCAAATGTACTTCATTTCTATATTTTAGCGTATCCAAACAGAGGAAGGCAACTCAAATAAGAAATCACTTTTAAAAGGGAAGAATTTCTCTCTTGCCAATCTGCAAATTGATACTAAACTTTCAAAAAATACTATCAAATACAATAAATTGATTCAGATGCCATAAAACACCAATAAATAACCAAAATCTACAGTAGACTAATACTTTCAAGATCTTTAAATTAAAAGTGCAAAGGATTAGAATAATTTTTAACCAATTGACTATTAGCAATACTTTACGATTAGACAAAATAAGTAATCCTTACTGTAAGATTCTCAAACATTAAAGTACTCTATTGAATAGATTCTAAATAAAAATAAGAACCAATTCCATAGAAATAATACTGAAGTGAGATCCACAAATCAATCAACATAACAAAGAAGTGATTCATTGAAAAAGAATCTTAGAGAAGAATAAAATCATTACGATCCCCAAAAGTAATTAAAGATCATTTTAAATTACAAAGGATAAAAGTAATAACTTATTTAATTCACTAGATATCATTATCACTTTAACTTCATAGGTTAGACTACTGACAATTTATACAATTATTTGATTTAATAAATTGCATGTATTGAAAAGTCATTCATGAAACAAGGAGGAGGAACAGGATCAACTGAAGAAGTCTAGATTTAAGAAGGTTTAAATATAAATTATTCATAGAAATCAATAAAATATGTCAATTCTACACAACCTAAAAAAATATCCCTTATGATTATTATCTAAGTTTACCAAATCTCTCTTTGAATGTGTTCTAGGGTATTACTCTACAACTACAACCCTTGACTTCATAGTCTCTTTATGGCAAGAAAGTATCATTGAGAGATTTCACTTTGGTTAAGTGCATTGGGGTTGGAGGATTTTCAAGAGTATATTTAGTAAGGAAAAGAGACAATGGTAAATTTTATGCTCTAAAATTGATTGACAAAAGTTTCATCATGGAAAACTAAAAAGAGGTGATAGTTTAAAATGAAAGAGATATTATGGTCAATATGAGTAACGAATTCATTACTCCCTTACATTTTGCATTCGAAACTAAATATTATATCGCATTTGTATTGGATTATTGTGCTGGAGGGGAACTCTTCTACCATTTAAGAAAATTGAAACGCTTTACTGAAGTAGATGCAAAATATTACTTTGTTGAAATATGCATAGGAATGGCATATCTGCATTCAAAGGATATAGTCTACAGAGATATCAAACCAGAAAACATACTCTTAGATTTAAATGGACATCTTTTGTTGAGTGATTTTGGTTTAAGCAAACCCAATATGACTAATCAAGATTTAGCCTACTCTTTTTGTGGGTCTCCAGAGTACATGGCTCCAGAGATGCTCATGAAAACTGGTCACAATTATTTGGTTGATTGTTATTGTTTAGGTGCTCTTCTATATGAGTTAGTAACAGGTTTGCCTCCCTTCTATTCGCATAACACTCAAGAAATCTACACTTCCATCTTATCTGAATAGGTGGAATTCCCTCCTTATGTTTAAGTCTCAGACCTTTTGAAAGATTTAATTTACTAGCTCTTGGAGAAGGATCCACAAGAGAGACTGGGATAATCTTAGGGGATAATTGAGATCTTGAGCCATCCTTGGTTTGCTGATATCAACTTTGAAGCTATAGTTAATAGAAAAATCAACCCTCCTTACAGACCAGAACCTCTGAAATACAATTTCGATGAAGAAGAATTCAATAAAGGTGATTCAGAATTTAGGAAATAATATGCGATTAATCTTTAAAAAGAATATGTGGTATGATTCTCAATCATTTAGAATACTGATAATAACCCAAATTTTATACTAAGAAATTTTTACTTCTCCAGAGAAGACCTTCCTCAAAAACCTGAACACAAGCCAAATAGATCTAATCATGTGAATTTAGCATAACTTAATGTGGAAAATATTCCTAATTCCGATATCAATTCCCCTGAAAGATAAAGAGTATTATTAATCTTCCTAAATTATTAGTAAATATCTCCTCAGGAGGCTAGAAGAGTGCCCAAATATTCTGGTAAATCTGAAATCTCAGATCTCTTAAAGAGAAATGAATTTTCAAATAAGTCAGCTTCTTTAATCCAATCCTCCAAAATTACTCACGCTTATTCAAAGACTATGTAATAATAGAATTAAAATCAGGACATCAAAGTAATACTCAAACTTATGTTTTAGGTACTCAAATAAATTCTGGAATCGACAAAAGGTTAAACTAGTTCTGAAAGAACTGCTACCTTACCTGATTAAAACATTCATAAAAATGAAAACAATCGAATCAAAACCGAATAGTTTGCTTAAATAGTCTATCCTAAAACTACTACGAATTATTAGTTTAATAAAAATTTAAATATGTAAAAATTATTTGGGTCTGAAAAGAGATAAAAATGAATATCATTCTTATTATTTACAAATAGCAGATCATTTAATTCTAATAGTTAGAAATAAACTTTGCTTGTTTTTTTTTTTTAAATAACACAATACAAAATATCATCTTCTTATAGTTTTAATTATATAATAAAGGAAAATTATATATAATTAGCATACAAAATAAAACTACATAAAATTAATTGAATTTATATATCAATCAAAATTACACTTTGTCTAGGTGTTACACATAATTTTTTCTTAGAAATTTATCTCGGTTTGAAATGAATAATTTTAGTTTATATTTTATGATAACTTATAAATGAAAGATTTAAATCAGAAACAAACTGTTGAATGAACATGCCAATTACTTTTATAAATCAATTAGCAATTTGATAGTACTTGTAGACAAGAAAGTCGATTTTATTAATCTTCTACCACAACTCTATGTCTTCCAGTAGTGATATTCCATACTACAATTCCGTAGGAACTTAGATGGAAATAAACTAGATTTGAAAATTAATTTATAACAAGTTCGCTTATTTAATCATCTCCATAATGTTTCTTTCTCAGCAATTTCATTGTTTAGATGTTCCAAATTCTATTTTTAGACTTATTGCTAGAAACAATAAAGTAATTATTGTTATTTGTTTTGATGTTTATGTTCCCATGTTACACATTAAAGAATGTCCTCTTAATTATTTTGAGACTTCTTCTAAGTTATAGGATATTAATCTCAGCAGTATCGTGATGACAATCGATAGTACATATTTGTTCTTTATTTTTTAGAGTAGTTAGAGAGACGAATTGTAAATCAATCTATTTTTATATCGATTTAGTTTTATAGTTGATTACGCTTAAATGAGATAATCCCATCATTAAAGCCTCATGATTTTGAGACGAATTAAACTGCATAATCTTTTGATATAAATAATGTGATGAAACTATTTCTTCATATTCCATGTTAGACAATTTATAGATATAAATTTTCTTAGGATTTTATTTTGATCTAATAAGTTAGTATTAACCGTCTGTTGAGTACAAGATCTACGTAGGAATAAAGGAGAGTTGATGGCATTGTAATTTGAAGCAATTTACAAAGTCCCAAAAGATTAGACTCTTATTAGTATATCCAACACAAATTATTTTGCGACATGGTGAAATATCATAACATTGTGGTTTCATTTTAGAAATACGAAATATCTAAGACTTTCCTTATTGGTTTTCTTGATTCTGCCACTTTTTCAATTCATTATGTGTCTTTATCATTAATATGAAAGATTAATTATTGACTAAATAAAAGCATTCTTTTTTTTTCTTAATATTATTTATTAATAATATATAAATATTTTATACTTATTTCATATCTCTTTAAATATTAATGATACTTCTTATATTATAGAATGAATTAAATTAGTCTCTATCTACTTTGATTTAATAAAATTTGATAATAAGATTTATTTATTTTCCTTTTGCTCAATTTTAATTAATTAGTATTTTCTAATTAATGTAAAATGAATTTACTTAGAATGTATGATCGATCTACTAATTGCAGTTTAATTTGAGAATGAGATGTTAAGAAAGAATATTAAGGTATTATACAAACTAATTGATTATTTTTTTTATAATATAAATGTTTTATTGGTAAGAAAGAGAATAGGATAACAAATTTTTTATTATTTATGAATATTTCATTCCATTTGAATTTTATAATTGTAAAGGTCACAACTTTATAATTTATTATTTTCTATGCTATGGACTACTCTGTAGCCAGGATTAAAATAGTAAATAGGATAATCTTATGGAGGAGATGTAAAAGTATCTACTGGATCATAAGAAGTAACTGTTAATGTATTTTCATTTTGGGCTACAGGGATGACAATATTATAAACATTAAAAATGCTTTGCTTTAATGTATTTCTACGAAGGATTCCTTGTAGATTTCCAAATTTAATAGGTGGGCCCCAAGATGCCCAAGGACCTTTATAATTATAATTGTTAGTAATTGTTGTTGTTGATGTTGTAACATATACTGCCTTAATAGATACATCAGCATAACCATTATCGAATAAAGTAAAAGAAATGTAGGATGCATTTTAGGTTGTGGAATGAATAACTGCTGAATTATATTATACATTAGAACTGAATTCATTCGGCATATAAATGAGTCCAGTTCTAAATGGAGAGAGTATATTATTTTTGACTAAAGTGTCAACCCAAAAGGCTCCAAGTTTGAATTCTACTACAATCAATTTATAATATTATAAGTTATCTTACGAATAAGGCTCAAAAGCTAAATCAGTAATATTGATTTCAGCTGTTCTTGCGAAATAATTTTTATCAAAAACATTTTGAGTAGTCTTAATACTCCAATCTGATGCTGACCATACTAAAGTGAATAAGGTGACCTTCTTAGACTATATTGTAAATAGTGTATTTTGAACTCCGATTACCCTGATTACAGTTTCATTAATATTCGGGAAGTACACAATGTTACCGAATTAAGAGTAATGGGTTTCATTGATGCTTTTATAAGCAATCAAATAAGGTGCTTCTCCATTTTTTTGGCATCCGACAAAGAATACATCAGAACTTTATTTGAATATCCATAGACAGTCATGAGTCTAAGTCTTAGGAATAGACACTGAACTTAATAAATTAAGCTCCTAATCAATTATGAGCACTCTTTTTTCTGCCAAGATGGCATCTGTACTATTTGAAAGTTTGGCATTTGATATAAATTTTCCAAAATAATCCAAATCAAATTCAATGTATTCATCACAAAAAGCAAGACTTTCTTAAGCCTTACTTAGAATAACTATGAATGATAGGATGTATAACAATATCATAAAAAATTAATTATTGATTTCATATTTAGATTTGTTGCCCTTTTAAATTATGATATTCTATAATTATTTATTATAATAAATTAATATAAACCTTGAGAGTTTTTATTTTATATATATATTATAAATCCTTCAATAAAAATAAGATCAAAAGAATAGTAGCGATTTAGTGAAATCTTTAGATTAGTTCTTAAAATGAAAAACCCATTTGCTATTTCAAAACAAACATCCAATATATTCAGATTCATACATCATATCTTTCTCTTTTAAAGGTAGTAGTTATTACCATTTGGATTCATACTTTATATTATAAATTGATATTTTCGAATTTTTTATTGAGAAACTGAATAAAACAATGTAATTCCAAAAGAAAGTTATTTCATTTTGTATTATTAAATCAAAATTAAATTTATATATGTAAACGAGATAATTTCATCATTCTCAATCAAATATAAGATCAAAATTAAATATAATTTTTCCGTAAAGTTGTTTAAGTTGATTAGAGTGTTGATTTAGTTGATTGGAAAGGAGTTGTCATAAGAGTGGCTTGCTTCTTTTTGATCAAAAATCTTCCTGAAGTTAATCTGGGAGAGTGTTACTGGAAGTTGATTGCCTTCAAGGATATTATTGAATTGTGATTGCTGGTTGTTGTTGAGTGATTTGATAATAAATTAGGTCTTTTTTGGATTGAAGTAAGATATTTGAATTCAAGTTATGTCTTCTTTTTCATGAATGGTCTAAGTGTGAACAATTGATCTTGAGTTGGATTTTATGGTTTAGTAAATTGTTGATTAACTTTTAATAAGTCAGAAACTAATTTGGATCTCATTTCAAAAGATATTCGAGCATTCTTATATTAATAATAGTGTACTTTGATTTGAAAAATAAGATCAGTTCTATTAGAACAGTAACTCAAATATCTTAAGAGATTCACAAAGTCTGTGGAATAATAATTGTCGTCTCCTATTTCTCTCATCCTTCTCATCATCATTCGAAAAGCTAATCAGTGTAATTTGACATCATTACTTTGAGATGTCGACTCATCTTTGATTACTTATTTAAACTCATCCAAATCAATGCATTCTATCTTTGATAAAAAACTTACTATTCCCATCTTTATCTGTTTTATCAAAAAATGCCTTAAGTAGACTCATATTTACAGGATACTTATTTTTCTTTAACATGGAATACAGCTCGTCCAACTCAATAGAATCTTGCATTTTTAATAAGATCCATCACTTACTCGAATGATCTCTGTCGATCAAATGGAAGGTTTCTGTTACTATAACATCATCAAACAATTCCTTCTCTGTCTTTAGATATTACTCCTTTGTTTTGCTAGCATGTCTTGAATTGAACCAGTTCTTGCTTTCACAATAATGAAGGACTCTCTCTGCAGGAGGCAATATTTGCATTAAAAAATATATTATTTTTATTGTTTTGATAATGGAATTGCAATATGCAAATGTTATTTAAGCATAAATTAAGTACATCTTAGATTCTTCATTCAAACTCATATCCGAAAAGATATTATGCAGAAATGTGACTCTCTTAACTGAATGGCAGACTTTTACAACCTCCCATAGTATAACATAACTATCATTTCAAAAACATGATTTTGACAAAGATATCATAGAAGATCTAGAAATTAAGCCAACATCTTTGGAGAACTTTTAAGCTTATAAAATCAGCCTCAATGAAAAAGTACAATCAACTTCCAGAATGAATACTGCTGCTTAAAAAAGTCATAAAGCTCATTTCAAGCTCGTCACACAACATATATTCAATTGGGATAAAGAGTATCATTATTCATTAATTCATATTCCTGAACCTGAAGTAGTCATTTCAACTGCAGATGAATAGCTTAGAAGAATGAAAATTTAATAAATTAATGAATCCAATAAATAAAAAGAGTTATAGCAAAAATAACTCAAAGAAAAGAAGAGGATGAATGAAATGAATCTTAGACTAAAGCAATAATTGAGTAATAAGGAATATACGTACGATTATAATTGTTAACTTATTATAAATAAACACTCATAATTACAAACAGATATTGTTCCATAACTTAAGTTTGAAATTTTAAAGGATGAGTAAGGCAATTAAATGAAAAAGAATTAAAAAAAGAAGAAAGAAGAAATACAATAACAAGTAATTAAGAAAAGGTCAAAAGAACCTTTGATATCATAAAACACTATGAACTTTGGAGAATCAAAATCCTTTTTTCTAAATAATGAGGATGAAAATTTCGATAGACAGACCTCTAATATTCCTTTTATCAAACTTAGTAGAGGTGTTAGATTAACAGAAGATAATCATGAATTGCAATTTGATGCTCCATCACAACCAATATAACTATAACTCTAAAGAAAAGAATCTATTCATTTAGATTCTTAACATTAAAATTAATCAACATATTTAAGATTTAATATCTTAGACAAATCGAAAGAAAAAGTTATTAAAAGTAATAAATCTTGTATCAAAACTGAAAGAAACTATGACTATTTAAAGGTAGAGAAAGAAGATAGCACTTATCGATTCAAAACTTCTGCTCACCAAAATATCAATAAATCCCAATAGGCTCATCAATTAATCATTGATAATACTATTCTTAGGCAAGACCTTGTAAAATTGCCCAAAGTTCGATCCAGATCAATTAATATTAGAAGCAAAAAGGATAGATAAATAGCAATTCATTCTAAGGATCAAATAACTAACTAGAATATTTGATAATTTTTTCAATTGATTATGACAGCATTTTGTTTCTTCTTAAATAAATCAATTTACTAAAACATTAATAAATGCAATGAAACACCAGTATTATATTAATAAATTTTTCAAAATATGGAGCAAAAATTGCAATTATTAAATTCAAGCATCCAAGTCGATCCCCATAATCCTCAGATTCCTTTGACCTTAAGGCATTTGAAAGTACTCAAATATTTTCTAAACTCTAGCTTGAAATTTTTAATGAATTAGCTGTAAATAGATTAGGAACAGAAAAGTTAGCTTGTAAACTTTATTTAATATCTTTAGTACATTTCTGTGAATTGGAAGTCACCTATTTATTAATTTCAAAACAAATAGAAAATTTTGAATTAGCAATAGAAAGATTAATGAAATTTTACAATTAAGGTCTTGAAAGTAAGGATAAAGCTCACTACACTGGCATCTACTTAATTTATTTACTATCCTTTAATAAGTATTAAATTTAAGTAAATGATTCAATAGATTTGCGTAATATTATTCTTAGATTGAATTATTGCCAAAAGAGATATTCTAACACCCTTTTGTTCATTTTGTACTCTAATTAGAATATAAATTGAGCATAGGAAGTTATTCTGATCTTTTAGGTGATTATCATCCAACAGGGATTGAGAATGTATTCTTAGAAAGAATTATGGACACTATCAGGTAAAGCAAATTGTTAAAATTTAGATTATAAACAGCTTTAAGTGCCAATGCATCTTACAAATTTCTAACTCTAGAAAATGCTATTAAATTATTTAATGTTAAAACTATTCAAGAATTATAATCATTTGCTTAAAAATAACATTTCAAATGGAAATTTGACAATAATCATATTTATTTTGACAATGTAAGTTATCCAAAATAAATTGATAGATTCAAAATATAGAGAATCCTTTAAATTCAGAATTTTTGATAGCTAATTCCTTAAGATATGTTCATGAGTTTGATAAAATAATATGAAAACTTGAGTTTTTTAACTTTTTAATAATATAAATTTTAATGTTTCCAATTAATATATTTAATATAAAATTACTGTTAATATTTTTAATAGTTTCATATTGTTGTAAGGGCTAAATTCAGAATTATTTAGCTGTGAAATCTCATAGAATTTTTTAAAGAAAAGAAATGTAAATTATCAAAAAACTCAAATATTAATACTTAATTCATTATCATTATCATCATATTACACTTTGATTATTTCTACATCTGAACTATTGTTTAAAACTTATTTATGATATCTTTTTAGATGTTTTTTCAATAATATATATGATTAAAAGTCCCTGTAGCATAAGAAGCAACTGAAAATATAATAATTCTGACAATGCTTCTTCAGAATATGAGGAAAGTAAACTCCAGAGAACCCTTAAAAATCACAGGAAGGGCATTAAATAACCTTTTACCCGTTAGCTTTCGAGATCACATTCTTCTTATTTTCCATGTTGTTTACTACCAACTTTATCATATTTCTAAGTTCCTTAAACTTCACTTTGCTATGATAGTTCTTTATATACTCAAAATCACAACTTTGAGGTTTTATTGTCAATTTATTTCTCTATCTAAAATCTTAAATAATATAATTAAGCTTCTAATAACACTCTTATGGAGTTAATTTTAATTGAGAATTAATATCCAAGATTACATTTCGATGATTTTCAGAATTTATTTTATTTGCTACTTCTCCCGCTTTATCATAATTGAGATGTTTCTTTTTTTGTTTTTTATCTCCTAACTCAATTTAATTTTTTTGCTCTTCCAATAATACTTTTGCTTTATGCAATTCTTCATCTTTATAAGAATCATCATTTTTAAACAAGATTGTGGTAAGTATTTAAGTACAATCAAGTTGCATTTCCAATATTTTTTTCAATATGCTCCTAATTTCCTCGTTCATATTATAGATAATTAACGATTATTAACTAATTAATCATTGATAACTGTTCATTAAATGCAAAATATAATAGAACATTTTATTATCAAATTATTATAAACCATAAAAGAATAAACAAATTCAAGATTATAATTTCTATATCATTTAGTTTCTCTATATCACTTTATTTAACATTATTTCTTTTTTGTATTTCTCTAGAAATTCTAATTCCTATTTGTTTTTATCATTTTTTTGAGAAATCTCAAGATTTTTTTCTAAAATTTTATTTTATTTATGTATTTTCTCCAACATATTTTCCATTTATTTTTATTTGGCTAATTTAAAACGATGCTCATTTTTTTCACATAGATTCTACTTTCTTAAATCTAATAAGGATTAATGTCTAATTAGGATATCATCTGCAATACCTTTTCAAACCACCCACAAGTTTATCATCAGCTTCTTGAAGTTTTGAAATAAGAGAATCAGATCTTTTCTAATCCAAAGAAACCTAATACTACTCATATTTTTTCATAATCCTACTGTTTTTCGTAGATAAGCTTTTTTACTGTTTGATTTGAGAAATTTCATGCTTATTAAGTTAGATCTTAAGTTTTAAATTAAAAATTACTTATCTTTATGTTGATTTACTAAAATACAGTTAAACATTTTAATTTTCCTTTTAAGTATAAGATTCTTATAATTTTTTCTATTTCTCTTCAAACATCTTCAAACTCTATTATTATTTTCTTCGATCCTCCATTTATTTTTTTTGTAAATAATCATTCAAATAATCAGATTTCTTTTTCATAGAATCCATCACTTATTCAATCATGCTCTATTCTTAACTTATTTACATTTATTTCTTCAATTATCTTTCTCTTTCCTTTTCTTCTCTCTTTTTTAATTATTCCACTTATACATCTTATGATTATAAGAGCTATTTTTATTTTCTTTCAAAATGTAAACTGAGATCTTTTTCTAATTCCTAAATCACCTTCTTATGTTCTCTATACTATAATTATTCTTCATATTTATTTTTTTGGCATATCTGATCTACTTTTAAATTCTTTCTTCTTAATTTCTTTCTTATTTAATCCAATTATTTTTATTTGTTTTATTCTGCTTTTTAGTAGATTTCAGGGGCTGTCTTACTATAATATTCTTCCTACTTATTTATTTAATCCTAAACAATATTTAGAAATCTAAAACTACTAATTATAATAATTACTTATTATAATTTTCAGATTCCTTATTCACTTTTTTATTGAATAATTCCTTTCTTTGGTTGGCACTAAGAATAACAGATGTTTATTGATCTTCTCTCTGAGTTTTCCTAGATTCAGATTACTCAGCAATCAAAGACTCATCTTTAAATTTAATATTCTTGGAATTTATTTGTTTTGTAACTTATGATTAAATATGCTTTATCTGATTCCTTCGTTTTAGAAGATCATTCAATATTTTATATTTGTTAGTAACGTATTGTAAATATTTGATAAGATTCTAGAGAGGATTTTGTTTCTTTTAATAAAAATCTGCATACTCTTCAACATTTAGATCATCATCTTCTATTTTAAGCATTTCCATAGCAGCTTGAGTTCTTGGAGAGTTAATATCAAATTGCATCTGAAATACTGTTAATAAATTAGGATTTCTAATGATATTATGCTTTTGATCTGGTTCGGCCTTACCACA